TCTCCCAGGGAAACCATTCTACGATCTTTTTCGCCCACGTTTCTTCTCCCGTCCCGATTTTCTTCTTGTTGCAACCATTCGAGCATCACTCATTTTCAACCTTTCGTGAAGCCAACTGTTTGGTCTTCTATCCATTAAAGTCACACCGAGCATTCATCCCCTGCGCTGTTGCTAACATGTTCATCTCTGTTTTCTTGAGGGTCCAGACTTCTGATCCGTATAAGAGCGCAGGTTGTATACAAGCTCTGTATATTTTGACATTGTTCTTGAGAGGTGTTGTTTTCTTCGTCAGATATATAGAAAACTTGTGGAAAACTGCCCATGCAGATTGGATTCTGCGGAGTAGTTCCGTTTTGAAACTGTAGTAATACTATCTCTCTCTCCGTTCTATTGTATTCATGAGTGAACGATGCTCTCGGCGTGTAATTAATCCGGCAGACACGCCTGTATCTTACTTGATTCCCTTGCACGCGTCTTGACCACACGCGTGTGAGGCTCACGAATGAAGACTTCATGACAGTCGGCCTTCAACACGTCTCAAGCTTACACGAAAGAGCCGGTGACCCTTCCGGTGTAACAGAACCTTCCGCGAACTGACGATGAGTCCCGAAATATATGAACTGGTCAACATATGAAACTTCTTTCCCGTCTACTTCCACTTTTCTCTTCGATCCAATCTGCATGGGCAGTTTTCCACAAGTTTTCTATATATCTGACGAAGAAAACAACACCTCTCAAGAGCAAAGAACAATTTCTTCGACATGATATACGTTTTCGAGAAGTTGATGATCAAGCCGGATTTCTTGCTCTCAGTGGCTAGTTGGTTTGCCATTTCTTCTGATTTCTTCAAACTTGAAGGGAACAAAACGATGTCGTCAGCAAAACGGAGGTGTGTGAGAGGCAAACGGAGATCACAAGGTAACTCCCGTCGAGTTTTCGAAAGACATGCTCAAGAGTAGCGTTGAAAAAATTGGGCGAACATTTCATTTTTTTCAAATCAAAATGTTTTATTTCTCACACACAAGTACTAAATTTCACGAAATAGATGTAGGGAGAGTTTGGGAACATATGTGTCGGAACTTGTAGTGATGGAGGGAAGAGGACTCGCGGTCGTGTTAACCCCCCACTTGAGTAAATTGGAATAACCATGAAGTTATTCTTTTTAGATGTCGATTATGTATCTTTCATATTTTTGTTGGATCAAGAGTGTTCAGTTCTGTAATGTTGTTTTCAAACCATTTCTCAAGTTTAGATCTGAACTTATTTTTTTCATACTCAAATACTATGTTTCTATCCATGTGATTCCAATGATTGTAAACTCTTTGATTGATGAACCGGTAGTGTATGTCAGAAAGTAGAGGCCGCTCTATTTTGAGACCATTTCCTCGCAGTTGATTCGATCTACTTGTTGTATTTTGTAAAGGGATTGGAGATGGGCACCAATAGTATCCGTAAATGAAATTGTGAGCAGCAGTTATGTCTTTTTTTAAACGTCTTTGCCAAAGGGTGTTTAGTCCAAGACGTTGAAGTCTTTCTTTGTAATTCATCTTAGGGAAAAGTCTTTTTGTGAATTTCCTTTGAACTGATTCCAGTCTATCGATATCTGTTCTTGTTAGAGGACAGAAAAGTTCTGACCCATATTCAAGCACAGGTAAAATCTTCAACTTGTAGCAGTTCATGAAGTTAGTGTGCGAGAAGGTAAAACATCTAAAAAGATTATTCACGATTTTCATGCACTTTCTCACAATAACATTCACGTGGCCACTCATTTTCAAATTAGAACTGAAATGCACGCCCAGATCTCTGATGAATACATCTGTTGGAATTTTTGAGCCATTTATTGTGTAAGAAGGGTTCTCAGAATTGGATTTACCATATCTGACATGTATACTCTTTGAACTCGATAGGACAAGCTGTCTATCTGCTAGCCAGTTATGAATAGAGTTTAGATCTTCCTGAAGCTTATTTTCGAAATTTTCTATTTTCGAGCTTATCATTAATTTACAATCGTCGGCATATGTTAATAGTTCGCTGTGTTTGACTACTTTATCAATATCATTAATGTAAAGTAGAAAAAACAAAGGACCCAAACAACTACCCTGTGGTACACCCGAAAGTACGGGAATTTCATCGGATAGAGCTTCATTTATGCGTACCATTTGGGTACGTCCAATGAGATAGCTCTGGAACCAGGAGAGTAGCCGACCATTGCAACCATAGGATTCCAGTAAGTTCAACATTCTTCGATGTGTTACGGAATCAAAGGCTTTACTTATGTCCAGATAAATTACGTCAACTATGGCTTTTTCATATACGTTTTGAATCAAATATTTTTGCTTTTGAAGCAATTGCGAAACGGTATTTCTGTTGTTCAAAAAACCGTATTGTGCTTTGGATATTATGTTTTTGTTCCAAAGATGATTCCTTAAACTTCTAACGATAATGGATTCGAGTACTCTGCATGGTACACATGTTAAACTGACAGGTCTGTAGTTTTGAGGCTCACTAAGGCTTCCTTTCTTATATATAGGTCAAACTATTGATTTTTTCCATAAACTGGGCAAGCATGAGGTATCCAATGATTTTTGGAAAATCATTGATAAAGGTAGTGCCAAAGGGGCCGCTAGTTTTTGTATTATGATATTAGACAATTTATCCGTACCGGCAGAATGTAAAGGTCTAAGCTTCTTCAAACATTCGTATACGATATATGGATCAACATTTATCTCTTCCATACTTCCAACCGAGCTCATATTATTTATGAATGGTCTCTCATCGTCTTTAGTAAAAACTGAACAGAAGAAATCATTAAAAGCCTGAGCTTTCTCATTATCATCGTTAGTGCATCCATTTTTAGTCTGCATGAAAGGCGGATCAACGAATATGGTGGTCTTATTTCTAATATAATTCCAGAACTTCTTGCTGTTTGGTCCTTTATCGATAGCTTTCTCTTCTTCTTTAATTCTAAAATCTTTGATAGCTTTCCGGTATTTCCACCAATTAGTTTTATAGGTCAATAAGTCTTCGGATTTATTCGATTTTTTATATTTTATGTAGGAATTTTCAGAGTATCTCTTCAATTTCATTATCTCGGATGGAAGATTAGACTTTTTGATAGTTTTCTTGGGTATAAATTGATCAATTAGTGGCAAAGTTATATTCAAAAAAGTGCTGTACATTTTGTCAGCTGTGTCACATGTACTAAAAACGATAATTCCAATCAATCCAAGCCAATCTTTGTCCTAAAGATTCAAAGTTTGCCTCTGAATAATCATTTACAGTAAAATGCCTTTCGATGTTAATTTTTTTGGATTATTTATGTTCACTTTGCAAGTGACTGTTGAGTGATCAGATAAAGGCTTTTTCAATTTTTTTATATTTTCCACCATATTTTTTTCTTAGACGTGAAAAATTAGATCCAAAAATATTGTTTCCACGAGTACTCTGCTTTACCTTCTGCGAGAAACCCTTATCACACATTATATCAACAAAACTGCTACTCACAGAATCAGTCGACTTCAGTGTATTCCAATTTATTTGTGGGAAATTGAAATCACCCACAATTATGTGCTGCCCATCTCCAACTTTTTTGTTTATAGTTTCCAACAAGTTTGCGAACTCAACTGTGAATCGAGGGTCCCAACCAGGCGGCCTGTAAACTGATGTTAGATACCATGGATTTTTGCATTTTTCGAATCTGCTATTCTTATTGTTAATGCTTCAATGGATTTTGACACGTGTCGGTTCATTTCTTGACAATTGAAAGATGTGGCACATAGTGTTAAAAGACCTCCTCCTTTTCTATTGTTCCTACAAACGTAGAAACTCTGAAAACCCTTAAAATGCGTCAATAGGTTTAGGTCATCTTGTTCTGAAAGCCAGGTTTCACAAAAAAACATAAAAAAACTCGAAAAATTTTGGCTGGCACTCAAAAATCCAATATATTCTTCTTACTTTTCAAACCTCGAATATTCGCTATAAAAAAATCTTGTGTCCACTCATTGTGGGGAGTTGGAAACCGTCTTATATCCGCTCTCCTCCTGAACCTGTTCCTCAAATGGGGTAAATGGGGTAGGGTTTTTTTTCTTGACAATGGCCAAATCACGCACGACGTAGATGTAGCTCCCTTCTTTTTGGTTCAGCTCACGCGCATAACTCCTCAGGCGTCTGTCCTCGGCCAATTCTTCGTAGGAGAGGTCGTTTCTGGCGTAGCGGCAGAACGAAGATGAACCGATTGTGAATTTGATGAGGCGATGGCTGTGGTCGTTTCGAAGTTTGATCTTGACAGCCCGGGTCTTGTTTTCCTTCCGTTCTCCATGTCGATAGACCTTCTCAACGACGTCAGAAGATATGCCCTTCTCTTCGAGAATTTTTTGCACTTCTTCTTGGAGGTTCTCTTCTGGCGATTCTGGCACACCAATCGCGACAACAGTCAGGTCCTTCGAGTGTTCTTCCCTCGAACGGAGGGCCTTTTGTGCCTGGATGGCGATTGCAAGGGGCGACGTCAGCGGTTCGTGCGGCTTCGGAGTAGAAACGGCTTCGGCATAACTTCTCTGGCGAGCCTCCGCTAGACACTTGCGGAGCTCGGAGCACACTGCTGTGAACTCGTTGATGACGTCCGCCTTCTCTCGGTTGTCGACTTTGAGATCTCGGATAGTTTCATTTAAGGAAAGAATTTCGGCAGTCTGCTCTTTTACCTTCTGTTCCATTTCGCGGAGGCGACATTCAAGCTGATCCTTCGTTGTACGAGAGGCCATTTCGATAGACAACCGCTTCCAATGAAGTGAGAAGCGTGGAATGAAGTGAGAAGCGTGGAATGATAGAGATTATTGAACAATCTTTCATTCACAAAAAAAAACTAGCTAATCTCAGGAAGAATCTTTAAAATGATAAAAAAAGAATAAGATACTCGACAGCTCCCTTCAGTTAAACAAGTTGAAAAAAGACTTCTACCTGACACCTACGCGTGGAAAAATCGTCAAACTACAATCATTGCAACAATGAAGCCTTCTGGAATCGATCCGATTCTTCGGGATTTTCTCGGCCTCTCCTTGCTCTGCACTCTGGGAGCCGCCTTCGAACTTGTAATACTCTCTGAAGCTACCGAAAAACAAAACTGTGTTTTCAGTACATCGATCCGAAGAACTACCAGTACACTGGGACACCTGTTGATAAATCGACCGTCGCAGAACGTCCTTGGGAGCCGATTCGCTTCAAGTTTTTCTTGGAAGAATCAATGTTCACGTGAGTCCTTCGGAACTCCTGCCGTTGAAGGAGACTGAAGCAAGAGTGCTAGTTTTTTGAACAAACCCATTTACTTTTGAACTGGGAGAGACACGTTCTGAGAATCGAGAATGCATTTATGGTGTACCTCATTCCAAACGACTTGAAATACTCTGAAATGTCAGCGCCTTTCTTCTCAATCACCTATTAGGACATAGTAACCAACAAGTTTCAGAAAAGTTGACACGGCCAGGAGGGAAATTCTCAAAAGAGTCATAAAAGAGTCGTTCCAATTCTACTCTGACTCGAACTTGCGAGTTCAGCGAGATCCCAATGGACTAGCTCTGTACAAAAAGTTTGTTTCATATACCTGCGAATCTTCAAAATCAAGGTTTTTTGTAGTAAACACAATAATCAGTATAACAAAGGATATGATGTGAACGGCTTGTTGGTGAAGTTTCCCGAATCAGTTAATTTCTTCAAGGTGAGCTCATCCAAATCTTTCACAATGCCTTTTTGGCAAAGAACCTGTGGTGCTTGCTCACGTTTCCTCTCCTCACACAGGAAGTGAAAAGGTCGAGGTATTGAAATTCGATGAAACTTTCTACAGAGGTACTTCAGGCATTGTTAAAAAAGATTATGGCAAATCGCAAGAAGTTTGCACGCAAAAATAAATTAGATATAAGGAGAATTGTGTTGCGACGGCTTCCGCTGTCAGCAGGCGCCCTTGCATAAATAGCTGATTCACGACTGCCTTGAGTCAACGAAAAAAGAGTTCTGACACAATAATGAATTATAAATTCCCTGTTTCGAAAGCGCAGAAGGGTCCTTTCAAATAAAAACTGGCGAAAATGAACCTTACCAAGATCGACGTGAAAGCGAAAGGCCCACTTTTTCGCAACTTCTTTGAATCAGAAGGTTCTGAATAGAGCTCTCCAAAATGAAGGGTGATCGTTTTTGACGTTTGAATATTCTGAGCGCACAAAATAGGAAATGAACTAGAGCTCTCCAAAATAACCATTCGAACTGTGATCCGCTAAACAAGCCGATGAAAGAAAAGTTTGACAGAATTTCTGAAAACTGCAAAAATGGGGGCGCGTCTCATGACGTGTCCAGTGTATTTTAAACAAATGTTAACTCCCTATTACGCAGTGTATTTTTCGTTTTTGGAAATAAGTCATGAAGAGACGCCAAGAGCAGTTCAACTCGTTTCAACTCGCTATTCGAATGAAACGAAGTTTTCGTTCTTTTTTAAGTTAACAGCCAAATAAAGATTCTCAGGCAAATTCCAGGAGTGTTGGGAAGGTGAATGAAAATTAGAAGTTCCAAAGGCTTTCCCAAGACCTTCTAGCTTTCATACACCTTCCAACCTCCTGCTGGTTACCTTTCCAACACCTTCCCAGTTCGCCTGAGCTAGGAATCGCCTGAGTTCAATTTATTGATCAATAAAAGAGTGATTATTAGCGCCTTTCTTTAAACGGGGAGGCCTGTATTGAGACTTCTAATTTTTTCTGTATTGCAGTGTGCGAAGAACGCCATTGGATGTACGGAAGACCCAGATTTCAAACCCCTTGATGTAAGTATTGCTGAAGTTAAGCTAAAACTCGAACCGCTATACAGTGTTGCCCGTTTTGAGTTTGTCCTGAAAGTCGAGGAGGAGTCCTGTACGTAGGGACCGCAAGCCATTTCTTTAGAACCATTCAAAAAAATATGTTTTTTTCACTATTCGATGGAGGAGACTGTCAATTTTCATAATCCGTTTAAATTTTGGAAAAAGGTCCACTAAGGAAAAAGTTATAGCCAATAAACTAGCGCGCGCGGCGTTCAACTGAAGGCAAAATCTCACGGTTTACCCTCTGCCGCACGCTTTCTTTTTAATTCATTTTGCGCATTTCTGAACCGTTTTCAAATCGGTTTTCTGTTCTGAGAGGTTGTCTGAACAAAAATATAGAAGCGTTCCTATGGTCTCACGCGTCAACGAGGCAGGCGAAAAAAGGAGGTTTTGGTAAAACTCAAATATAATTTTATTCGCTGTCCCAATAATTATTTTCATTTTGAATTTTTGTTTTTGGACACATTGTTAGTTTTTAAAACAAATAAAAAATAAACCATGTCGTCGCTGAAATTTTTTCGCATTTCAGCTTCAAAGTTTGGTGTCACTTTACAAGCTTCGATGTTTTTTTTCGCGTCAATAGATTTTTTTAAAAATTTCCATTCAAAGAATAAAGAAAGTGTTAATCATTTGAAGATGTTCACTGGCTAGCGGTTCGAGAACTGGTGGGGGTTGTTTTTAAAATCTTTAAAAGTAATTAATCCATCATTGATTTAGGCGGACATGGTTTTTTTGATACATTTCACTGACGATCCCAATTTTGCTGGCTCGGGCTCAGCCGCAGCTACGCTTGGTTTTGACGTAAACACTTATAGGTATTCAAAACGTTGTTTTGGATAAAATTAAAATCTGATGATTGGAGACCGAACGTGGGAATCGTCCTTATCACCGCAAACACGTATACAATACTGGAAACGATGGCTTACAGAAAGGTTGAAAGTTTGAGATTTGGAATCATTTGAACTCCTGTATTCTTGATTTGGTTGTATTAAAAAAGAATCAGCGAATTTTCGAACGGCGACTTTTCCGATTTTTTCATATATCTGAAAAACTTTCCGACGAATCCCTTTCCGATTTTTTCCCTTATATTTTTTGGTTCATATAGTCTGTTCAGATTTTGAATGTCAATCAGCTAACTCCGCCTCTGCTGAGACGGTACCTTCTTGTGTCGATGTTTTACCGCGCGTGAAAATTTTGATCTTTTTTGATCTACATGATAGAAAAAGAGGTCAAAAATGCAGCCTTATTAAAGGGCCATCGTCAAATGTAGGTGAAACGTTGACGCGAAAGATATTGTAGCCTCAGGGGTGGAGTTAGCTGCTTGACATTCAAAATCTGAACAGACTATAAGACATCTATAAACATTTTTTTCTCCTATTTCTTGGTGTTTTAATCGAATCAAGTACCTTATTCATATAGGAAGATTCAAACAAAAAATTTTTCGAGAGAATAAGTCGGAAAAGGATTCGTCAGAACTCGGAAAGTTCGCTAGCGATATGAAAAAATCGGAAAAGTAGTCGTTCGAAAATTCGCTGGTCTTTTTTTCATGACACCCTTGATTTGAAATAATAAAAGTGAAAGCCGGGAAATTTTTTCCACACAAATTTTAATGCAAACCGAGAAAGTTTGTTTTTGTGAATTCTTTTCAGCTAAAAATCAGGACTTTAGCGTTTTTTTAAATTAACAAGTAAACATTTGGACATGCAAAGGGAAATATACACCATATGTAAACTAACTAATATTGACTGATCGCATGCCTCGTCTCCAAAAAATGTTACTCTCATCAATCTTTTGAAACTTGCAGGGATATGAAGCTTCGGTAGGTGTACTCCGTCACGAGATCGGTCACGCGCTTGGCATCGGACGTTTGGTTATGCAGTACTCGACTTACGCGTGAGGATTTTTGAATTTTTCTGAAATTGAAAAAAACGCAGTCCGAAAGAAGATGGTTCGAAGTATATAGCTGATTCACGGCTGGCTTGAGCCATCGAGAAAAGGGTCCTGTCACGAAAAGAGACGAGACAGTGCCCTGGTTGGTGGAGAGTGCAGACAGGCCACGCCTTTTTGCGTCCCAAGCTAGCCGTGAATCGTCTATACCATAACTCCAAGAGTTCCTAGAACTATTAGTGAAAATGTTTTAGAAGTTTAGAAAACTTTCTTTTTGTACACTCCAAAGTCTAAAAGGTGTTTTTTTTAACTGGCCTACTATCTTGTGAACTGAAAGAGTATCAAGTGAACCCAAAAAGTGATTTTTTGAACCCAAACATGTTCTCTGCTATAGAACGTTTGGTTCTGGTATGCATGAAGTGGTTCGTCTCAGCATTGGCTCGGAAAATCATAGCTCAAAGAAGTATCGGTTGAAAAAATCAAAAAATTTAGAAAGCTTCAATATTCAAAAACAACAAGAAAGTCTTTTTGTGTTCATCTTACTCCAAGAAAAAAAAATTTATGGAACAAGTTGAAAAGAGTTTGGCATTTTCAGTTTTTGAGAGCTAAAAATTTTGTTTCGTTTTGAACATCGCATGTTATAATCTGTAACTGTGTGAAACGTTGTTATGCACAACATTTGAAAATTTCAGTGAATTACGATCGTTTATACCGGAGTTATGGCCAAACAACCAAATAGGCATATCTTTATGGTCAGTACTGTAGCTGTGTCATTTCAGCTGTGTGAGGAAAATCAGAAAAAGTTGGCTTCACACACACAAAAAAAAAACTTAAAAAATTCTCTAAACTTCACAGCCGTTTTGCGAAATGTTTTTAGAGACATGCCCATGTTATTTATTTATTTCACTCAAACACTAAAATATGGAATAATTGAAAAGGAAGTATTTGAGTGAAGGAGGACCCGATACAAAAAGCGAGCGATTTACCGGGCACAGTGTTCCCAAACGGACGGCAGCTGTGGTCAGTAGGCGTGGCTACTGCAACAGCGGCACGGTTTATTGCAATAGGGGCGCGGGGATGAGAGTCAAGTTTTGTGGATTTAGTGGTTGGAAAAAAAGATCATTAAATGATGTTTTTTTCCTAGGTTCTCGCAAGTTTTTCAAAGATTTTTTTAATGTGTATTAGATTATAACGAACAAATTTGAATGAAAAAAGACGAAAAAGTTTTTTTGCAAATCAAAATATCTCCCAAAATGTCGTTTTTTAGGAAAACTCGTCAAATCGAACTTCCAAAGGGAAAATTGAGAAAAAGCTCGAAGCACTTCTCTTAAGAATTACCATTTGAACGTTTTAGAACAAAAACAAATACATAATAGCTTGTGCAAATAAAGTTGTCACCCAAAATGACATTTTCAAGAATAAATTCGTCGAATACTGCCTCGAAAAAAGATTTTGAGAAAAATCTCACAGCGTTTCTCTTAAGAAAGTTCAATTGAGAATTCTAAAACAAAAAAACAAACGAAATATCTTATGCGAAATAAGTTGTCATCAAAAATGTCATTTTAATGCGAATTTCTGTGACGAAAAAAATTGAAAATCACTTCAAATCTTTGGAAAACGCGATAAACAGGTTTTAAGAACACATACAATGTGAAAAGATACGAAAGAATGGTAGAATACGCAAGAAAAAGAGAAAAAACCGTATTAAAAATGAATAAAATTTTGTGGGGGTGACACGCGCCGCACCGCGTTGCGTTAGAAAAAACTCGCGTTTTCGCCCCATTGCGACGACCTTTTTTTTTCGCTTGCCGCCGTCTCTTTTGGAACACTGTGCCGGGATGAGAGACACGTATTGAATATTGAAAACAAAAATTTCAGATTTTTTAGAGAAGCCTGTTGGGCACACTTGCGAGTAGTTCATTGTTGTCGAGAGAGTCGTGAAAATTTCTGAGCGGGAGGCTGAAGTGTTCATGTCGAATTTTGAGCACAGTCTGTTCCAAATAGGAATGACTGTACTGAAAAAAAAAACATTTGTAACGAGGATCTGTTTGTATCAGTCTCAATGGAAAACGAGGTTAATTAGTTCTTCTGAATAAATTATCTGCGCTTGGAACATGGTGGGAGCCCAGGACTATTTCTTGGAGAGCTCGTAGAGAAATTATTATTCTCTATCGGAAAGCAGAGGTGGAGAATTGGGAAGGCAGTCCTTGGCTTGGCGGCCAAGCCAAGCCAAAAAGCCAAACGATAGAAATGAGCCATTAATTTACGTGGTCTTTGGCAACTAGGTCAAGTACGTGGCGATAACGCCCTGAACTAATCATTATCAATTTTGTAAATTTTGAATTGTTTTTTTTTTCGCAACTTCGTGTTAACGTTTTTAATCTACTGTAACAGTTATTTCAGCAGGGAATTGTCACTGAAACGGGTCAAAAGGCTACCTTTTCAATCTCACTAGAGAACTATTTCGACAAAAAAATTTTGAGATGCTATGAAATTGATGCAAAAGTATTTCTCTTGATTCATTTGGTTTCAAAAAAGTCAAATGACTGAAAAATCCTATTACGCCAGGCCACCTCGTTAAGAGTGGAAGGCTTACAGTTCTCTACCTGGATTTTTCCGGTGGTATGAAAAAAAAAACCAGCGAATTTTCGAACGGCGACTTTTTCCGATTTGTTCAAATCGCTAGGGAACTTTCCGACGGCCACTTTGTCCACTTTTTTGTGTTTTAATCATGAATCAACTACCTACTTTATATGGGAGGATTCAAAACGAAGAGTTTATTTAGCAAAAAAGTCGGAAAAAAATTCGGCGGAAAGGTGGCCGTCGGAAAGTTCCCTAGCAATATGAAAAAATCAGAAAAGTCGCCGTTCGAGTTTTCGCTGATCTTTTTTTCATACCACCATTTTTTCGTGTTTTTTTGTTTTTGTAAAAAAGTTTCATACATCGCTCAAAACAAGCGCTTCTAGATGTCAGGGCGATTTCGCCTTACAAATGATCGTCGCGCCACGCTGACTTTTGAAAAAGTCATTTCTGCCTTTTGGGCGTTTATGGCTTGGCAGGCAGGGCGGCCAGAGGGCAGCCATCCTCCACCTCTGTCGGAAAGCATGGACCGAGAACCCTAAGACGGTCGGAATATGAATTAAAACGAACATTCCTTCTAATAAACACCTCTCTGGTGAAGAAACGAAGCGGTTTTTCAAGTTGGGAGGATACTGGTTAGGGGTGGGCTCAAGACTTCGTAAGCGTATTCGAGGCAAGGACGAATATAATGTACCAGCCCAGCAATAGGAGAACCTTCGACCACGCCCCCGCGTGGGCGAAGGTTCCTCAGTTGGTGGGTGAGCTGGTTCCGCGTGTCCCCGCTATCTTTCCTCGACTCCTGCCTGCCTGTAATTCCCTGTGTCATGCAGCTGACATCCCAGACAGGAAGGTCCAATACGCCAACCTTTACAATTGTATCTGGAAGGAGTCTCTAGACTCTAAATGCGGGAATTTGGAATAATAAAGATTGAAAAGAAGCTTATATTTACATCTGAAAATTTCTCATACGTTGTAAAATGAGACTTTATCGCGATATAAAACGAAATTTTCGAAAATTTTCAAGTGGCTTCATAATTATATGGAGCGGTGTAGCCTACAATCACATTCCTAAGATTTGCTTGAGTGCGTACCCGGCGTAATACGCAAGGGCTTGGAGATTTTTAAATATTCTCTAATTTTTTTAAAATTTATTCTCAATATCGCATTACACTCAAACTTTTGTTCATTTTTTTTTTGCAGAGAATATGCCCTCAACAGCACTCGAGAAAAAATTTATCCCGAAACAGAAGACGCTGACAACGCGAAAGAACTTTTCATGGGACTATCCTTTCCGACAATCCTTGCCGAGACTCGAAAACACTTCGAATGTCCCGACCTCAAGTTCATTGAGTTGGAAAACGGCGGTGGCACCGGCTCTCGCGGAGGTCACTTTGAAATCGATTTCCTACCAGTACGTTTAACTTGCCTACTGCTTTTTTATCCAAGGAGAAAAAAAAAGAATTGTTTTAGTTTGACACGATGCGCAGTTCTGTACCAGTATTCAAATTACCTTTTTCTTCAATTAGCTTGGCTTTTCTTGAAGATTCTGGGTGGTACAAAGCCAATCTATCGTGAGCACGGTTTCATGTTTCGCTAACGTTCTTTTTTTTTTAAAGAAAAGGTGAACCTCTACCGCCATATTTCGACAAAGATCCCTGTCTTCGTGCCAAATCTTGCAAGATGTCTGATTACAAAGGCCAATTGCACGTGATCATCAACTTTTTGCGCTCATAGAATGTTTTTCAGAAATTATTTCAAGAAATGCCAACCAGATCGAATCTCACTGGAACCCAATTCCTGAATTTCTCCCTAATTTTAGCACATGTTTTCAGCCGAGAGTAAGTTATATTTTATGAATTTTACGCGACTTCTCTCGAGATGTGGACTTTGAGCCTTAAGAAACTAAAAAGATAAACGATTCCTCGTTTAGTTTTATAAAAAGTTTGAGAAAATTGTAAGATCTTTCATAATTTCTTTGAGAAGATTAAAAATTACGTTTTGAACTTCTTAGAGGCTTTGATTGCCAATTTTTTTTAAAGAGGAAAATAGTAGAAAGAGGCTGATAATATAGTCTGTTCGAATTTTTTTTAAATCTCAAGTCGTCGCTCAAGATCCGCTTCTAGTGACGCGAGAGATCAATTAGAAAGCGAACCATAGACAGAGCGTTTTCGAATGACGTCATTGTAATTGATTTTAAAAACCTAAACAGACTATAGTTCCAGGATTGAAAAATCGGAAAAAAAAAGTTCATTCTCATGAAAAGATAGCAGAGTAAAAAGGACTTTTGCGTATAAGCTCAAAAGTGTGTTGCCATCAAAGTTCTATCAAGAATTTAATTTGAGATTAGTAAGAAAAAATCATTCGCAATCGTGAAAAAGATAATGCTCTGTTTATATTATTTAAGAAACTTTTTTTAGAAATTTTTTTCAAATTTTTCTTTTTCAGATGACCTATTGCAGTGATGTCTTTGATGAGGTTGGTGTTTGCAGAAACTGAATCAAATTGTAAATTCAAATCAAGCCTAAACCCAAATGGCTCAGAACAAGTCTGCGCCTAACCTAGGATTTTCACTTACTTAAACGATACTACGATACTTTATCAAAATTTTAGCGTTCCGATATACACTGCGTTCAATAAGGATAGGACCCTCTCGATTTTTGACTTTCTGGCAAAATACAGAAAGATATCAAAAATCTGTGAGTGCCATTCGATTCAGAGTACAAAATAACCCCCAGAGCCAAACTTTCATTATCCTAGCACTTTTTCCTACGAAAAATGCCATCGAAAAAAACGGTTTTTTTCGACCGTTCAATAAGGATAGGACCACCTGGAAATTTTTGACTTTCATCGGTTGTTTTTGGTCAATTTCTCTTTTGATGAGTGGTTTTTTTGTTCTCATATTATTTGTTTTCAATTTTTTTCTACAGTTTTCTTTTCATATCTTCCAGGTTTAAAAAAATATTTTATATCGAAAAATAGGGAAAAAAATGACGTTTTTTTGAGCTTGCATCAAAATATTTGAGCGAGTGATTTTTTTCCAGTACTTTGAATGAACTTATCTTATTAATAGAGACATTTTTAACATTCAAAAAAACAGAAAGAAGTTTGAAAAAAACATTAGTTTAAAAAGTTAGAAAACCAGTTAGAAGATGGTGTATAATGACCGAATTTCCGACTGTCGTCGTTTTCGACCGTTTTTTTTTTCTGTATGTAGTCGGAATGGCGGTGTACTTTTTTTAAAGGATTTGTGAAGGTGCTCCCATCACAAAAAGACACTTACTAGGGAACGTTTTTTACCCCCCGGTTGAACTTTTGACGAAACTTTGCAAAGATGTACTTTGAGGTCTCCTGAATCCAGAACAAGAAAAAAATTTCTCGCAATAGACCTTGTTTTCGAGATATGCAGCCTCGAAGTTTGCACGTGAGATCTGCGGAAGCATGGAAGAGGGAATATGTTGCGCGCAGTGTCGGTTGAATGCCAGGTGATTCGTGGCAGAGTGGTATGAGGGCGCGCACTGTGCGCTAGCTGTGGTGGGTTCGAAACCCCTTTCCTGACGAGTTTTTGCAAAAAAATCTTTTTGCCAAATGTTGTTTTTAAAGAAGGATGATGCAATTTTTTTCAAACTCTTCGCAACAGTATTCCTTTTATTTATTTGAATTTTTTTAGAAAGATTTTTTTTTTTTTCTTCTGCCTAATTCTCACATTTCTATATTATTTGTTTTCAAAAGGTGATAAAAAGACACCGCCGGCCCAATTTTTCGACTATGTGACGGCTTTGTGGAGGCATTCTCCGAAGCGCCCACAACTTGTGAAGAAAGAAGCGTCTTTTGCCAACGCAATTCTGTCATAAGCGCTGAAATTTTGTTTGGTTTGATGTATTGGTTGTGTTTTGCATATTGTTATACTTTACACGGGTTGATATTCAATCATCATAACAAACTTTTTGAGAATTTTTGAGGAAACTTTTTTTATTCCACAAAATTAGTTTATTTCAATTCGTTCCATCCAGGAGAATGGCTTACCAAGTGTTTTGAATGATTGGAGTTTTGGCAAAAGATTTTTTGCAAAACTCGTCAGCAAAGGGGTTTCGAACCCACCACAGCTAGCGCACAGCGCGCGCCCTCATACCACTCTGCCACGAATCACCTGGCATTCAACCGACACTGCGCGCAACATATTCCCTCTTCCATGCTTCCGCAGATCTCACGTGCAAACTTCGAGGCTGCATATCTCGAAAACAAGGTCTATTGCGAGAAATTTTTTTCTTGTTCTGGATTCAGGAGACCTCAAAGTACATCTCTGCAAAGTTTCGTCAAAAGTTCAACCGGGGGGTAAAAAACGTTCCCTAGTTAGTTGGATTGGATAAAAAATGGCGATCTTCGGAAATCGAAGGGATAAACACCCTTCCGACTGCTACTCGAACTTTTTGCGGTACATGTAAATAAATCATATAAAAAGTTTTAATTCTAATGAAAATTGTTTTATTGCACGTTTTTATTTTTGTTTTATTTAGTTGACAAACTAAAAACCCGCCAAACGCTCTATTTGAAGCAATACCTTCGATGAGCGCGGTTAACAATTTCTCCACACATTTTCTCGGCATTGTACGTAGTAAATGAAATTTTTTTAGATTTATCTTGTTGATGAATTATGTTCATAGCATCTTCGCGAATTCTCAAAAAAAAAGTACACCGCCATTCCGACTACATACAGAAAGAAAAACGGTCGAAAACGACGACAGTCTGAAATTCGGTCATGATACACCATCTTCTAACTGGTTTTCTAACTTTTAAACTAATGTTTCTCAAACTTTTTTTTGAATGTTAAAATGTCTCTATTAATAAGATAAGTTCATTCAAAGTACTGGAAAAATCACTCGCTCAAACATTTTGATGCAAGCTCAAAAAAACGTCATTTTTTTCCCTATTTTTCGATATAAAAATATTTTTTTAAAACCTGGAAGATACGAAAGGAAAAACCGTAGAAAAACTTGGAAACAAATAATATAAAAACAAAAAAACCACTGATCAAAAAAGAGAAATTGACCAAAAAAACTACCAATGAAAGTCAAAAATTTCCAGGTGGTCCTATCCTTATTGAACGGTCGAAAAACCGTTTTTTCGATGACATTTTTGTAGGAAGAGTGCTAGGATAATGAAAGTTTGGCTCTGGGGGTTATTTTGTACTCTGAATCGAATGGCACTCACAGATTTTTGATATCTTTCCGTATTTTGCCAGAAAGTCCAAAATCGAGGGGGTCCTTTCCTTATTGAACGCAGTGTAGTGCGATCTTTCTTTAAGTGAATATTTTTAACAGTAATTAAAAAGTTTTTTTCTAAATCTAACGAAAGTCTGTCCTCTTGGACGTTTTCGAACAGTGTTTTAGCTGATTCACGGCTGGCTTGAGCCTTTGAATAATATAATATCTTGACAAGACAAAAAAAGAGTATCTGGTTGGTGACAAACGACGCCTCTTACCAGGGAATGGTCTCAGCTCACAGTGGGACTTCTGAATGAGACCAATTTTATTAGATGTAGTTTTTCACGCTGATTCCAAATCTGCTTTCAAAAGTTGCTCCGTGAAAAAAGTTATGGGCCCTCAAAAGTCGAAAATTTCAGTGTCTCTAATTGAGCTCATTTTTGGAGGGTATGTACAGTACCGCTCAAAAGTCTATTAAGTTTTGGTTTTTTGAGCATATCTCAGCGAGTACTTATCCGATATATCTTTCAGATAATGAAAATATACTTTGTAATATGTATCAAAGACAGTCCGCATCAGTGTCAGTTTTAGGCATTTTTATTGAATTCAATTTTTTTGTTTTTATGCTTTTTATTTTTTTATTTATTTTTATTAAATTTTTGTACACGTTGTTTATCATGTTTTCAGACATGGAAGAACCTCTGAGGATTTGACTGATAACTAAAGAGCCATCGTGGGGTCGTCATCGACTGATGACGCTGGCATGGGCGTGAGGCGTGCATTTTCAGCGTCAAGATGGTTTCTAGCAGCCAACGCACTGATGTCACGGATCGACGATAGAAACATTTTGAAGACGTCGAACCATGCACTCGTGTCAGACGGGAGTTTTCTGATCTGCCATCCGATCGCGAAACGACGTTCGAATCGCTGCTGAATCAGTGAAGACGTCCGCTGATTTTCGAGAATCGAGCCGCCAGGGTGAAGTGGGCGAAGGAGCATCTCAACTGGACCCGTCAAGACTGGAACAAGATTCTGTGGTCCGACGAAAAACAAGTTCCTCCTCTTCGGGAGTGACGGAATTCAGTGGGTTTGTAGACCAATTGGGTCCAGATATCATCCGAAATACCAATTACCCCCTGTGAAACTTGGTGGAGGACCGTTTCGTCGGACCACAGAATCTTGTTCCAGTCTTGACGGGTCCAGTTGAGATGCTCCTTCGCCCACTTCACCCTGGCGGCTCGATTCTTTTCAGAAATCAGCGGTTTCTTCACTGGACGTCTTCCCATGATTCCAGCAGCATTCAGACGTCGTTTCACGGTCGAGACGGATGGCGGAGTTGGCGAATTCAAGAAAACTTCCCGTCTGATCGCAAGGGCGGTGAGTCTTGGATTGGTTCTAGACGTCTTCAAAATGTTTCTATCGTCATTAAGATCCGTGACACGTGGTCTTCCAGTGCGTTGGCTCTTAGTAGAGCCATCTTGAGCTTTCTGACGCTTTAGGAACTGAGAAATGCACGCCTCTGTCACGCCGAACATTCCTGCCAACGTCATCATGGTCAGTCCATTTTGACGACTCACAACGATGGCTCTTTTGTCGTTATCAGTCAAATCCTTTTTCCAGAGGTTCTTCCCATGTCTGAAAAACATGAAAAACATATGGCAACATTATTAATTTTAAAAAAATTTAATAAAAAAATAAATAAAAAAATAAAAGCATAAAAAAACAAAAAAATTGAATTCAATAAAAAATGCCTAAAACGCGACACAGTGATTGCGGACGTGTCTTTGTATACCGTATATGTTACAAAGTATATTTTACATTATCCCTGAAAGTTATATATAAATCGGATAAGTACTCGCTGAGATATGCTCAAAAAACCAAAACTTAATAGACTTTTGAGCGGTACTGTAGATCTTGTCCCTCTGGTCACGAAAAACGATTGAACTTTTTCAAAAAAATTTCGCAGCCCAGATATGATCTTTCAAAGCCCCGCCGAACATAAGAGAATGCGCGCGCGGTGTGGTATTGCTAGCCGGCAACCGTCGAAGCAACGGCAGTGAGGAGCAGTGGAAAGGCGGCGGACTGGGGAGCACGAGGTCATAGGTTCGGTCCCCGCCCTCTGCAAAATTTTTTTGCAATTTCTCCTTTTTTGGATAATTTCGTCTAACTGCTCCTTTCTTGAGTTTTGAAGCGTGAAACATGAGAAAACTTTTTTTTGAACCTTTATAAACACCAGGACTTATTTTTGTCAAAAATTTTGTTCATGAAGTTTTCGTGATTTTCCATGTGTATGAGCATGGGTTGGAGTATGAAAATTTTCGAAAAAAATTTTTTTTTTGTTTTTTTTTGTTTCAAAAAGTTGACTGGTCCATGTAATCATGACTACGCTGTCAAAACTCACAGAAAAAAATTTTTCCAAAAAAATTTTCCACTTCCAAAAAAAGATCTTTTTAGGTTGCAGTGATTTATACGCGATGATTGCCTTTTGTCGGAAAAAAGTTTAGTCCCGAAATCGAAAGAAGGACGATGCTCATTAAAGCCTTAAAAAGTTATATTTTTCTTTTTTTATTTTGAAATTTTACTCTCGACAAAGTCTGACTGGAAAGTAAAATTTCAAAAATCTCATGGTAAAGTATTTATTCAGGAGATCAAAGCAGTACTCTGTAGAGCTTTTCATTGCGAATCGAACGGTGAACTTGGAAATGAACCAAACTTCCTAGTTTCGGAGAAAAAATAATTCAAAGTCGGAGAGAGAAAAGCTTGAGTTCCCGCGAAAAGGGCGCTCTGCAGTAAAGTTGCTCTATGGACAACAGGCTTCGCCATCTTCCGGATTTTCGCTTTTTTCTTCGTTTCTTTCGGTTTTCAATTTTTTCTGTTGTCACCAAAGTTCTTTTCGTCACAAAAGCTTTCTATTCATGTATAATATGCAAACTTTGATCGCAAAAATGCTTCTTTGGTGAAAAATGATGATTTTACAGAGTTTTCGATTGGGATAGCGATTATTTGTGTTTCCTTTATTATCAATGTGTGTTTTCTGTTTTCTTAATCGATTTTTCAGAGAAGAAACACTTAATTTAAGCAGAAATCCGGTTATTTCTCACAAAATGCGAGTCTAATGAGCCGTCCGCAACATCGCGTGCACCGCTACTGTAAATATTTGACTGTAGGCCGATCCAAAGCTTTTTTCAAAATTAAAGGCGGGAAAGTAAAATCGCGTTTTTCTTCTAAAGTTGTCACATCTATAATTTTTTTGAGTACACCATTCGATTCGGAAAGAAAAACTATATAAGATACTGCTTTCACCTGAAACCCCATTCTTTACTGCCCCTATGCCTTTAAGACGTCGAGATGCTTGGAGCATGATGGAGACATTGAATTTGAAAGCATTCCACTACAAGCAAACGATCCGCTTCTCCAAGTGCCCCTCCATCCGGAAAGCCAAAATTTTCCGCTCAAAAAAAAGGATGTCATGACTGGAGGAGAATGTTATGAGGTCTTCATTTTTTCATCGAATGCTCATATTGATACCATTTACAGATTAAATGCCAAGGAAAGAAAGTATTTTTCGTCTCGAAAGGAGTCACCTACGAGTGCAAAAAAGCTGGTGAAAAAATTCAACTCGATGAGGTTTTCGGAGCAAAAAAACTTTGAATATATCAATTACAGGAGTACAAACATCCGAATCACTATACAACCTTTTTTGCCACTTTGTGGAAGAACGATTTTGAGCCATATGAAGTGATTTTTCCACTTTTTTTTTGGTCAGGGGCGGGTATCAGCTCGCAAAAGATTTGAATGAGGCCAAGTTCGCTGGAGCTTTTTTGCAATCTTATTCGAAACTGTTTCTCCCCTCACGACCGATTAGATTGTAAAAATTAGTTTGGAACTCTTTAATTTGCAAAAATATGAGCCGCCAAGGAATATTCAAGCTAGTTTTCAAAAAGCTCCAGCTAAGTGAAGTTAGCATCAAAAAATTCCCTAAGTGGGAAAGTGTGTAAGGTGAACATTGCAGATCTCACTAAGAATAACTTCCGAGATAAACGCGATACGCTGGCGGTACATTGACGAGCTCGCATTTCTCTTGCATTTTGAAAATTTCCGAAATGCAAGATAAATGCAAGCTCGCGCCCAGAAAAATGCGAGATCGCGCCTAGAAAAAAGCGACATGTTTGCGAGTTCGTCAATGTACCGCCACCGACCTCGCGTTTATCTCGTCAGTTATTCTTAGTGCTGGTCCAAGCTTATGTGGCAGGTGGTCCCAGGTTTGAGTATTCGAAAACAAAAATTCTAATTTGAGACTACCTTCAACAGAAGTTTGGATCATATCTGCAATGTTCACCACGCATACTCCCCTCGTAAGGAACGAGTCTATCTTGAATTTCGTGTTAACGCATGATTATTAACGCATGTTTAATGTTAACGCGTGATTCAGGTTCTGCTGAAGTACAAAATCTCACGTACGGTGATCTGCCCGGCGTACTGCGAAGTGTGCGACGAACAGGATTCGAACGAATGCTGTGGAAGCTCCACTTTGTCTCTAATCCTCGCATTCGTTTTGATTTTCGCGTTCAATGCCATTTTCTGAGAATAAAGCTTTGAGCAGTTTTGAATTGCAAATTTTTTTTTCTTTTTGTACATCTTGTTTTGTTCTGCCTGTAAGTGACGGCATAGCTCAGCTGGCATAACTCATTTCTAACGTCCGCAAGGTCGTAGGTTCGAGTCCCCCTGAGGTCGACCAAGCATTTCATCCCTCCGGGGTAGATAATATTGGGAGCTGCATGCAGCGAAAAGGCTCAATCTCTGCCATCGGCCTTTGGAAAGCCGGCACCGTACTTCTTCCTACGACCTCTATTGTACCTGATGTTCTACGAGCGAAATTCACAACTTCTCTGCCTAAGCCACAGCTCCTGCCGCCTTTTAAACACAGTCAAATGAAAGTCGAACACATGTACTCTTACATTGAAGATGCAATAAACAGTTTTTTTTAACAGTAAGTGACGGAAAAACCAAAATCGCAGACAGAAAAATTACCGTAACACAAAAAATTTCCACAGTAACCCATGATGGTATATACTGAAAAAATTATTGAAATTGCATTCCCTACAGATTGATATTCAGTATACCTAGAAAGAACGCATAGTTTTTCACATACGAAAAGCCGCACCTGCCTACCGTAACCTAGCTACGGTAGGAGGAATCGGTCTGAAAACTTGCGTCGGCATTTCTGATGACAGACTGCAACAGTGGGTGAAGTCTCATTTCAAGTGTTTATTCGCCATTCCGCAATCTGCACGAAAAATACAAAAAATAATACATCAAAACAGTTTTCGTTAAATCGCAAACCGCTACTCCCTGACATCATTCGTAACACAAGAAATAAGCGTAATCGAAATATTTGGCTATATATTCATTTTATTTACGTGAACATGATTCAGCAGATTATTATTATCTCATTTCATCACGTCGACTGGTCGGTCTCATTGCCGCTCTCTCATTGGATAATATTCCGACGCCCGTCAGCCCTGGACAAGCTGGGCTCCGTACTGTTCCATTGTGGTGAAGCAGTTCATTCGCTGGTACTACCCGCGGTCCCACATTGTTTCCCAACGCTAGCTGTCACGCCGGGACGTATTGGACAACGATTGTGGACCGTAACCCGCGCCGACGACTAACTCTTCGATTATACCATGATTCAGCAGAGATTTTCTTCATCTTACTCTGAAGACTGAATAAATTGAATTGAAATTGAAATTGAAAAAAATTGAAGAATGGGAAGAGCCTGAATTGTGCCTTTGCATTAAAAACTGCGCCTACAGGTTCATGCATTACTTAAGAAAATAGGCTTAGTTTTAAGGCTTCAAACGGAGGCGGAGCGCGCATAGCGCGAAGCCGACTGTGGCTCGCTTCGAAAAAACTGAGCCACAGTGAAAAGTTCGTCAAATAAATTTCATTAATGAATACTTGACATGAAAGGCATTTAGTTTCAAAACGTGGTCACTAATAACACTATCAGGTAGCTCTAATCGATTTGCAAACTTGATACGCGTGGCGAAAAAATCTTTGAAATGTATTTCCCAAAAAAAAAAGAAAAAAATAATAAAGGAGCATACTGTGCGTAAGCGTGGGCCTCGACGCCTAGGATTATTCCAAACCTTTATAAGGTTTCTAAAAAAAAGTGAGAAAAAAAAGTTTCCAATCAAAAGGGGATTTTCAAATGTGATAACTTTCTGTTTCTCATGTGACCGGAAAAGTTTTCACGTCGAATCTAATTTTATAAATTGGAACGTAAAAAATGAATAAAATGATATGGCTGCGTGTGCGAATTTTGCAAATGAAGATGATGTCGGAGGGATGACGTCAGGGAGTAGCGGTTTGCGATTTAACGCGAAGTCATCAAAACAATCAAATCAATCAAATAAATCTAACAGCTGATCTGTGGAAACGGCTGGAGGAAATGATTGTCTGTATAGACGGTGCTAACCCCCATTTGGTATTTAAGTTTTTTTCTTTGTATTTTTTTAAAAAAAGTTAGAATTTTTTTCTAGATTTTTAGTAGGATCTAATGATTTTAAAAAAACGATGTGTTTAATTCGAACCATGAGGTGAGCATAATCCGAAACTTGCCGATTCGTATTCAATGATAGTTTCTCTCTCCAGTTGGTTCCAAATGGGTATGACTCTATGATTTAGGAAGCGTTGTTTGATCAATTCATTCTTTGGTTGAACAAGTCTCATTCCATTTCCTCTGAGTTGATTGTTTCTACTCGAATTCATCATTAATTTAACAGGCGACTCACTCTAAAAATATCCATGAATGTATTTGTGAACGCAACAAACGTCTTTAAAAAGTCTTCTAGTCCATAACGTCGATAGTTTCAGTTTGGCTAATCTACTGCGATAATCCAATTTCGGATATAATCTTTTGGTAAATTTTCTCTGAACTGATTCTAGTTGATTTATATCATTCAAATTTAGCGGGCACATTAGTTCGGATCCGTACTCAATGATAGGCAAGATTTCATCAAAATCAAAAAGTATATTTTTTCTATCGTACCCACTCTTTCTGAAAACTTTTAAAAATAACAGAGACAGCATGTTAAGCGACGTCTCAAGTCGATTAGCTACTCTGATCAATAATAATCAGTGAACTGGCTCGAGTGAAATATTTTTCTCTTACCCAAGTATATAAGCCACCGTAGTTTCAACTTGATATGAGTACCCGAGCCCGAGTAGTTCCCTAGTTGAAGAATCTAAGAAGAATCTTCGAAATTAGAAAAAAAAGAACAAGATACTCGACAGCTCCCTTCCGTTATACATTTAATGAACTTTTTTTTCATATCTTTTCCTCCAGCCGTTTCCACAAATCAGCTGTTGGATTTATTTGATTGTTTTGATGTTTTATTTTTTGAATTTGTCGTGCAGATTGCGGAATAGCAAATTAAAGTTTGAAATGAAATCGAATAGTTGAAAAAAAGACTTCTACGTGACACCTACGCGTGGGATAATCGCCAAACTACAATCATTGCAACAATGAAGCCTTCTGGAATCGATCCGACTCTTCGGGATTTTCTCGGCCTCGCATTGCTCTGCACTCTGGGAGCCGCCTACGAACTTGTAATACTCTCTGAAGCTACCGAAAAACAAAACTGTATTTTCAGTACATCGATCCCAAGGACTACCAGTACACTGGGACACTTGTCGATAAATCGTCCGTCGCGGAACGTCCTTGGGAGCCGATTCGCTTCAAGTTTTTCTTGGATGAATCCATGTTCACGTGAGTTCTTCGAAACTTCTGCTTTTTAATGTGTTACACCGGAAGAGAAACTGGCACTTTTGTGTAAGTTTTATGCGTGTTGAAGGCTATTGTTTATGAGCCTCAAAAGCTTGTGGTCAGGACGCGTGCAAAGGGACCAAGAAATAAACAGGCGCTTTTCTCACATGCATATTTCGTGATGTCAAACTCGACTACGAGGCAAAAAAAAGAAGAAGAAAAGAAAACAGTTCCTTTGGAAAAACTCATTCGCGTGATGGTCGACTTTACAAAAATGAATAAGAAAGAGAAAATAAACTGTGAGCGACACGTTCTGAAAATCTGGAGCTAAATTTATGTTTTACCTCATAATTTATGTTGTACCTCATAATTTATGTCATGTACACTATCACCAACAAAAGTTTCAGAAAAGTTAACACGGCCCAGAGGGAATATCTAAAAAGAGTCTTAAAAGAGTCGCTCCAATTCTATTCTGACTCGAATGTGCGCGTTCAACGAGATCCCAATGGACTAGCTGCGGACAAAACGTTTTTTATATACATTCGCGAATCTTTGAAAACAACGGCTAATTGTAGTCAATACGGAAGACAGTTTATTAAAGGACATTATGCCGCTGATTTTAATGAGACGTTTGAATATCCCGAATCAGCTCATTTCTTCAAGGTGAGCAGTTTTGTTCTTGGTAAATCATTAAAAAAATTTTTGAGGTGCTGCAGTTTGCATGAAAATGTTCAAAATGCGATCTGACAAAAAAAATTGAGGAATTTTCTCGCCTTCCCTCTCTGGGAAAGTTCCAAAACGCGGGGGCGAATCTGTATTCTAGAATGGCCCCCCGCAGTACAAAACGGGGGCCGATTCTGAAACGCCTAGGCAATCTTTCATATTCGCCTCCCGCACTGCTTTGAAATAGTTCCCCCAGAGCTCATTCGAACAATCCCCCCTCCCATTACAGAATGACCCTCTTCCCTTTCAGAATGACCCTCCTCCCATTTTAGGAATAATCCCAAGTTACCACCATGTTTGATTTTAAGTATGAATATATAATCAATCGATCCGTCTTGTCGAGATACGTACAAAAAAGAAACAATAACTGGGCGCTAGTAATAAGAAATAACTTTAATTTCTTTTCGCTGTGGCTCAGTTTTTCGTAGCAAACCAGAGTCGGCTTCGCGCTATGCGCGCTCCGCCTCCGTGCGAAGGATTTACTAAGCCTAATCAAAGTTTTTGGCAAAGTCGGATTATGCCGATTTCATAATCTGAACTTCTCATGATACGCGGTCAGCGACATGATTTCTGGAAATCATATCATGAATATTTTTAGACTTTCATAATGAACACGAATTTACATCAGAAAAAACAAAAAAAAAAAATTTAAAACAAACCATAACAAAAAATGAAAAGGACAAATTTCAAAAAAAAAATTCAAAAATGTAGGCTCTGACACATTTTCTACAGGATTGATGCGAGACTTATATGTGGTGTGGGGGGCTATACTGGATAGTTGCGGGGGCTTGTCCGAACGGGTCGCGGGGGTTATACTGTAATATGCCCAAGGATTTTCACGCCGAAATGCAAAACTTGGAAGGAGGGAACCTTATGCGGCGGCTTCAGAAGTCAGCAGGCGCCTCCCGAATTGTAAAATGTTTTTTTTTCGCAAATTCGCGGCTAACAGAAATTTAACATGGTCCAATTCACTACCATACTAGCGATCAATTTAAAAACAGATCATTAGTCAATTTGCCCACCGTGAGGCGTTCGTTAAGAGATGTGTAACTTTTCGAAATAGTTGCATGCGAGTTTGCTTGATATTTGTGAAAAACGTACTGAAATAAAGGCTTCTCATTTCTCTGTACTGCAGTGCCCTACACAGAACGCCGCTGGGTGTATGGAGGACGCAAATTTCGAATATCTCGATGTTGGTATTTTTGAATTTAAGCCGAATCTCAAACCGCTATGCAGTGGGGCCCGTTTAAAGTTCGTTCTGCCAGTTACCGCAGTGAAATCGACAGCAATGCACTGCGTACTCGTGAAACGAAGCAAAAAACGCAGATATATTTCGATGAAACCCAACCATGCCAAAACTCTTTTAATTACTTTTTTTCTCCAATCTTGGGATGCGATATTATTTTGATGGCTTATATCACTTCAAAAATTAGACTTATCAAATCGAAAGAAAAACTAAAAGAGGGACCGAAAGTGTAAATTACAAACTATTAGTACTTAATTTTAGTTATTTTACCGGAGGTATGAATGAAAAATGCCAGTGAAATATCGAAGTGTGAATTTTCCGATTTTCTCATATCACTAGGGAACTTTCCGACTATTCCTCTCCCACCAATTTTTTTCTCGATAATCTCGTCTTTTTGAATTAAAAACAAAAAAAGGTTGTTGATTTATTCTTAAAACACAAAGAAAAAGGTGAACAATGGTAATAGATCGATTATAAACAAACTTTTTTATATGTTTATGAGACCTATTAGCATGTGCTCGCGCTTTCCAAACGATTTTTAACTGGAATTTCTAGTCTGATCATGTTTGACTTGAACGACCCCTCGTTGATTTCGGTTGCTTCAATCTTCCGAAAAATTGACGAAATCCAAAACTTTTTCTTGTTAAAATGATTGTAGAACAATTTTAAGCTGATTAAATATCGAAAAGCACTCCTTAGACGCGCTCAAAGTCGTCGACCCAATGCATAAATATTGAGAAAACGATGACTTTTGTGTGTAAAAAGTATGATTGGGTGACATTTTTTCTCTTTATGTGTATATGAGGTTAACTTATTTTTGATCCTACGGAAATGTTCAAGGTGGCTACACTGGATAGCGGTTTGAGACTACTGGGAAGTGATTTTGTTTGTTTTCAGAAAAAAAAAAAATTAGTTTTTATTTCAAGATTTAGGCTGATATGGTTATTTTGGTAATTTTCATTGATCATAAACGTTTTGTTAACACGGGCGCAGCCGCGACACCCTATGGTTTTGACGTAAACACCAAAAGGTATGCGTTCATTTGTTCCCAATAAAATTGAAATCTGATTATTTCATACCGAACATGGCATTCATCGTTATCACCAGGAACACGTTGTTTAACGTCGATAACTACTCTTACAGAAAGGTACAAGTTTTGAGTTGTGAATTAATGCCGCCTGGCTGTAGATTAGAGACACAGAGGAAGACCGTCTCCTACCTATAAAAGGCAGGGCGATCTTCAGCTGGGTCGAAATCCTCTTATCTTGAGGCCATCTCTCGATTCTCTATGTTTAACTTGCGACTATACACTGCGCGTCATAGCTATAGACGCACCCCATTTTTGCAGTTTTCAAAAGATGTTTTGAACTTCCTGCTGTGAACCTATTTTATAATAAACCTTGGCTGGAATGATTAACATCAAAAAGAGAACACCAGAAGACTCGGTACAAAACATTTTCGAAATTCGTCAAAAATAGTTTTTTGACCGGGTCATAATTATAGACGCAGCCTGAGTCAGGTCTCATTTTTTTGTCCAAAAGTCAAATCAGTTTAGTTTTTCAAAAAAATTTTGGTTTTGAGCTGAGTTATGAAGCTTTTAGTGAAGCGCGAGAAAACCAAAAAATCTGACGCTTTCCGAATTTTCGGCTGCCGCCTCACTGCTTTGTCTCGTTTTCCATTTATATTCAACCGTTTTTTAATCGGTTTTCTGTTAAAACTAATGAAACAGCAATTTCTCGAAAAAAGTAGTGCACAGTCGAATTCAATAGCATCTGAAAGAACAGACTGTCCAAAAGTCAAATCAGTTTAGTTTTTCAAAAAATTTTGGTTTTGAGCTGAGTTATGAAGCTTTTAGTGACGCGCGAGAAAACCAAAAAATCTGACGCTTTCCGAATTTTTGGCTGCCGCCTCACTGCTTTGTCTCGTTTTCCATTTATATTCAACCGTTTTTTGAACGGTTCTCTGTTAAAACTAATGAAAATGCCTCTAAGATGGTAATTACTAATTCGTTCGAAAAATAAGAAAAAAAAGGATCCATGGCACCAACAGAAAAACGATTATATGATACTTTCTGTTCAAATCATCAAGAAAGTACAGTCTAACAGTCACATAAACAAAATGAGAAATAATTTCAATTATCATAGAAAAACACAGTTCTAAATTCGTAGTTCCGGATTTCCCATTTTTCGGCCGTAAAACTCTTATTTTCCATCAGAACGGCGCAATGTCACACTCACGACACCTTCGACGCGCAAAAACAAAATAAAAAGTCGACCGTTTTCGATCATCCAAAACGGTCATTCTTTTTTTCTGAAAATGTAAAATTTTGAAGGCAAAAACATATCCAAAGAGAAAACGTGAAACGAGTTTTCTCTTAACGAACGCTCCAAAAAACGTAATTCAGTTTTGCGGGTGTTTTTTGTAAATGCAATTTTAAAGCTATTTTGCTCGGATTTTTGATTTTGTTTTGTTTTTCGCGTTATTTAGATCTTTTTCAGAGAAGGTCTAGAGAAAAAGTGCCTTCAAGACTTTTTAGAAACCTTTTTTTTTCCAAAATTTCTTGTTGAGACCTTTTGCACTTTTCCCGTGAATGTATAACTATCCTTGATTTGAAATAATGAAATCAAAAATTAGTAAACTATTGAAAACTATTAACACCATGGTGATATTCACTGGTTTTTTAGAATTTGTGTTCGTTGTTTTCGTACAACGCAATACTGAACCAAAAACAGAGAGAATAGGGGGAAACATGGAGAAAACCTTTTTCTTTAACCTCCTACACTTTTACCCGATTTTCGAAACGTTTCGACAGAGTGTCGTAAAAAACTGATTCGACTTTTTTGATTCGAACTTTTAACCTAGTTTCAAGTCGAATGCGCTATTTTTTATTTTTAAAAGAGGTTTCTATGTGGAAAATAAGTTTTTTTAATATAGAAAAAAATTAAAAATTCCTGCGTAGCCAATTCTTTGTGCGGCTGCGCAAACTTGAAAAAAACCTACAAGGCGTATTAATAAATTTTTTTAACTTTCACTTATAGAGAAAAATTCTAACTAAAAACTTTATTAACAGAAATATTATTTTATTTTCACTTGTTCAAAGCGAAAAAAATAGACATCGAAATTTTTGGAAAAATTCGTTTTAACATGCTCACCGGTTGAATGCGCTTTTTTTAATTTTCAAATTATGATCTTTATTTGATTCTTGATCAATTAAAAATGAATAAATAAAAACTTCTGGGTAGGCTGAAAGTTCAATGATCGAAAGTGTGAAGCCAAAGTTAAAAAAAGAATGAAAAAAACGCCAAAAAGACGGTTTTTAAAGCTTAATCTTCATGAATAATTTTTTTTATGATTCTCTTAAAGTGGCATGAAAGAAATGCGGTTTTTTGCATTGAGTGATTTCACTTCAAAATTCTTTTGCGAGGAAATTTGAATTTTCTTCTTGTATTCTCTTCAAATCAATTCGGATTTCTTTGCGATATCAGATAAACAGTTAAGCACACAAAGTAAAATTCCAAAAAGGGTTTTTTGATTTTGAAAACCTCATGTTTAACTGGCCACGTGCCTTAAAATTTGTCTTCAAACATTCCATCTCACCAATTCATTGAAATTTGCAGGGATATGAGACTTTAATAACTGTAATCCGCCACGAGATCGGTCACGCGCTTGGCATCGGATCATTGACTGCAAAATACCCGAATTATGCGTGAGGAATTTTGTAATTTACTGTAATTGGATAACGCAGTTCAAAAGAAGATGATTTGAAGTTTACTATGACTTCAAGCGTTTCTAATAGTTTACACACTCAAAAGAAAGTTTTGTGAAACGTTGCTACTTTACAAAACTGAATAATTTTTTGAAAAACACTATGAAAGCATAGGGGCAGTAAAAAACGGGGTTTTTAGGTGAAAGCAGTATCTTATATAATTTTTCATTACGAATTGATTTGTGCTATCAAGAAAATTACAGATGTGACTAGTTTTTAAGAAAAAAGCGATTTTAATTTTCCGCCTTTAATTTTGAAAAATACTTTGGATCGGCGCTCGGACAACTGTTTACAGTGGCTGTGCACGCGATGTTGCGGATGCCTCATTAGACTTGCATTTTGTGGCAAAAAAAATTCATGTTGCTTTTTACGAACTCATATTTATATCACAACAACTACAGATGTATACAAAACTTTTGAACAAAGTTTTGTAAGGCTCCGCCTTTTTTGAGGATAAATTCTTCATTTATTCAGATAGAGTTATTTATTCTGTTTCTCGTCTCGATTTTCAGTCTCAAAAAATCCCTTCTCGTGCAGCCTAGCTGTACCCTCAAAAAAAAAAAAAAATAAAGCTCAATCAGAGTCATTCATTTCATTTCAAGTGTTTATTCGCCATTCCGCAATCAGCACAAATACAAAAAAAAAAATAAAACATCATTTCATTTCAAGTGTTTATTCGCCATTCCGCAATCAGCACGACAAATACAAAAAAATAAAACATCAAGACAATCAAATAAATCTAACAGCTGATCTGTGGAAACGGCTGGAGGAAAAAGATTGTCTGAGTAGACGGTGCTAACCCCCATTTGGTATTTAAGTTTTTTTCTTTGTATTTTTTTAATAAGTTAGAATTTTTTTCTAGATTTTTAGTAGGATCTAATGATTTTTAAAAAAACGATGTGTTTGATTCGAACCATGAGGTGAGCATAATCTGAAACTTGCCGATTTCGTATTCAATGATAATTTCTCTCTCCAGTTGGTTCCAAATGGGTATGACTCTATGATTTAGGAAGCGTTGTTTGATCAATTCATCCATTGGTTGAACAAGTCTCATTCCATTTCCTCTGAGTTGATTATTTCTACTGAATTCATCATTAATTTAACAGGCGACTCACTCCAAAAAAATATCCATGAATGTATTTATGAACGCAACAAACGTCTTTAAAAAAAGTCTTCTAGTCCATAACGTCGATAGTTTCAGTTTGGCTAATCTACTGCGATAATCCAATTTCGGATATAATCTTTTGGTAAATTTTTCTCTGGACTGATTCTAGTTTATTTATATCATTCAAATTTAGCGGGCACATTAGTTCGGATCCGTACTCAATAATAGGCAAGATTTTTGGCTTTATAGCATTTTAGAAAGTTATTTTGAGAGAAATGAAAAACAGCGAAATAAATTATTTATTATTTTCATACATTTTTTTGTACTACTATACTCACATAATGCCCCATTTTCAGATTACTCGTGAAGAAGAATCCCAGGTCTCTGACATTTTGTTTAGTGCTAAGAGTTTGATCGTTAATTTTGTATGTACTGGGTTCTGTCTTTTTTCCAAACTGAACTAACATGCACTTCTCAGGAGATATTGATAGTTGACGGCCCTCTAACCATTGTTATACATTTTTTAAGTCTTCTTGAAGTTTGGCTTTATGGTTTTGTTACATTACTAGATAAATACAGTTTACAATCATCTGCGAACATGCTCAAGTTACAGTATTTAATAACTTCTGACAAGTCATTGATATATACTAAAAAAACATAAGAGGTCCCAATGAGCTACCTTGCGGTACACCTGACGATATTTTTATCTCATTCGAAATACTGTTATTGACTTTAACTTTTTGTGATCTATCTTTCAAAAACTCTTCGAACCAGTTGAGTATTACTCCCTTACATCCGTAGGATTTCAAGACTTCAATCAATCTTCTATGACAAACCGTGTCAAAAGCTTTTTTAATATCTAAATATATGACTTCAACGTAATGATTTCGAGTTTCCTCAAACAGATATTTTTGAAGTGGCAACAATTGGGAGATAGTACTGCGATGATTTAAAAATCCATGCTGGCTATCAGAGATGAGCGAAGATTGCCACATGTGGTTTCTCAAAGCTCTCACCATTAAAGATCAAGACAATCAAATAAATCTAACAGCTGATCTGTGGAAACGGCTGGAGGAAAAGATTGTCAATGAAATTTTCGACTTTTTAGGGTTCATAACTTTTTTCACAGACCTCCTCGGCAATTTTCGAGAGAAGATTTGGGAAAAGTAGAAAACTACATCTAGTGATGCAGAGCTTCTGAACACCTTTCTCTCAGGCGTTTTCAATTTTTTTTTTCTAAAGACCTTCCAACTTCTATTTTTTTTCCCAAGGTTTGCCTGACTAGTGAGTGCGTACCCGGCGTAATAAGAAAGTAAGAAACTCCCAGATATTCTGTTTTTTTTTTTCGTTATCCTCGATATCGCATTACGCTCAATCTTTTTTTTCCTTTTTTGCAGAGAGCACTTCGTCAACAGCACTCGGGAAAAAGTTTATCCCGAAACAGAAGACGCTGATAACGCGAAAGAAGTTTTTTTGGGAATATCTTTTTCGACAGCCCTTGCCGAGGCTCAAAAATACTTTGATTGTCCCGACCTAGAGTATCTTGAGTATGAAAACGGCGGCGGCTCTGGCTCTTTGGGAGCTCATTTTGAGTTCGATTTCCTTCCAGTACGTTTAACTATCTTTCTGCTTTCCTCATCCAAGGAGAAAAAAAATTGAACGTTCAGTTTGATACAATGCGCAGCTCTGTACCACAGTTTCCATCATCTTTTTCTTCAATCACCCTGGCTTTGCTGGAAGATTCTGGATGGTACAAAGTTAATCTATCGTGAGCGCAATTTAAAGTTTTGATAATTTCCTTTTTTTTTTAAAGAAAAGCTGATCCTCTGCCGCCACATTTCGACAAAGATCCCTGTCTTCGTGCCAAATCTTGCAAGATGTCTGATTACACAGGCCAATTGCACGTGATCATCAACTTTTTGCGCTCATAAAAATGTTTTTCAGAAATTATTTCAAGAAATGCCAACCAGATCGAAAATCTCACTGGAATCCAATTCCTGAATATGAACCTACTTTTACCAAATGTTATCATCCTATGGTAACTATTCTCTCATAAATTTTGCGTAACTTCTCTCATAACGTGGACTTCGAGAGCTCTTCTGAAAACCTTAAAAGATGAACGACTCCCTATTAGGTTTTTTTTTTTGAAAAATGCAAGAAGAATTATAAGCCCTTTTACATTTCCTTGAGTAGATTAAAAGTTACGTTTTTACCTTCCTAGAGGCTTTTGATTGCGGAGGCCTTTTGCAAGAAGAACATAAAAATAGTGGCTGATATAGTCTGTTCAGATTCCCAATGTCAACCGGCTAACTCCGCCCCTGCTGGCACAATATATTTTTGAGTCGATTTTTATTCGATTTTTGATCTCTTTTGTTTTCAAAGATAAAAATATAAAACAAAAAATGGAGCCATATTAAAGTTTCATCGTCATCTGCGATGAAAAATTAACACGAGAGATATTGTAGCCTCAGGAGCGTAGTTAGCTGCTTGAAATTCGAAATCTGAACAGACTGTACAAGTTCCACGATGGAAGAACGAGAATTCGGATAAAAGTTCTTTCTCCTAAAAAAAATAGTAAAGTAAAAAAAGGAGCTTTGTGAAACCATCCATATAAGCTCAAAAATGTGTTCAAATAAAGTTCCAGAAATATTTTGACTGCTCTGCTTTTGGTATTTTAGAAAAATTATCAGCAATTTCTTCAACTTTCCCTTTTTTTCAGATGACCCGTTGCAGTGATGTCTTTGATGAGGTTGGTGTTTAGAAAAATTGATTAAATAAAAAATCAACTAATCAACAGACGTTTGTGCAGTAGTTCCAAAACCTAGCGCGGATACATTCTTTTCGAATAACGTCACGTGTTTAGAATCAGAACGGAAAGTTTGCGGGTGGTATGAAAAAAAAGCCAGCGAATTTTCGAACTCTTTCCGACTTCGGAGAGAGGGATCGATTCCCAGTCCATCAAAGATTGTTTGAGCAACTTTATAGAAAATTTCGAACCCTACGCAAAAATGAACTTCCATGTATAGTCTGTGTACCACGACTTGGAGTTTCACCTAACGACATTCCGCTGTTCCGCTGCGTGCTCGGCCACGCCTTTAATTTTTTATCTTATTTGAGAACTCGACCAACACATGTTTCTAGTGGAACGCTCCATTTATCAAAAATGAAAACCAATTCAAAGCGAGGCCGAGGCTCGCAAAGACTTCGCGACGCAGCAGAACAGCGGAATGTTTTTCGGTGAAATTCCAAGTCTTGGCACACAGACTATAAATTTTACAAAAGTGTGTATTTTTGAATAGTTTCGTACTATGATATATTTTTTTCAATAAGTAGGGGGCGCAAAGCCCCGCCCCTTCACGCCACCAAAATGACGATTTTTTTGTTGCAAAAACGGTTTTGAGGCGTTTTTACTAGCTAAAGTCCCATTTTATAAATGAACTGTTTCTGTTAATCTAAGTAATCGACAACGCTCTACAAGACGGAATATTTTAAAAACTATGTATTTTTCAAAAATAAGCGAAAAAGTAAGATTTAACACGAAAAAAACTGACAAGTTTCACAAAATCGTCGCGTTTCAGAAAACCAAGTGAGGAACGCTTCCGAACTTTGAGTATGTTATACATTAACACTTTCTTTATTTTTTGAGTGAAAATGAAAAAAATCTACCGACGCGAAAAAAATATTAAAGCTTGTAAAGTGACACCAAACTTTGAAGCTGAAATGCGAAAAAAATTTTTCAGCGACATGGTATACTTTTTATTTGATTGAATAACTAACAGTGTGTCCAAAAAAATAACAATTCAAAAATGAAAATAATTATTGGGACAGCGAATCAAATTATATTTGAGTTTTACCAAAAACCTCCTTTTTTTCGCCTGCCTCGTTGACGCATGAGAGAATAGGATCGCGTCTATATTTTTTTCTTATGTTATTAAGCGTTCAAAAACTCTACCAATGAAAAAAATTATGAAAAAAATCGATCGACGCGAAAAATAACGGCTTTGAAAAACCCCGAAAAAAATAGCAATTTTTTTGAAATTTCGGAAGATTTCGTGCAAGTGTCCGTAGCCGTGTTTGCGTCAAACACACCGATGCGCCCTTTTAAATGTCGCAGGAGCCGTTTTTCGGAGTCAAATTGCACACTTTCCTGTTTTATTTCGAAATAACATTATTTTTTCTCATTTTTTCTTTTTTCCAAACCAAATGATAATAATTTTTCTGATTAGAAAAAAGAAAAATAAGCTGAAACTTCCTTGTGACCTTTTTTCTAAGTAGTTTTTTGATATTTTATCAAAAATTCTGATGATAGTTATGCGAATGATTCATGCCAAAACATAAAGATCAGTTCTGACAACCTCTCAGAACAGAAAACCGATTTAAAAACGGTTCAGAAATGCGCAAAAACATTTAAAAAGAAAGCGTGCGGCAGCGGGTAAACCGTGAGATTTCGCCTCCAGTTGTACGCCGCGCGCGCTCGTTTTTTGGCCATAACTTTTTTCTTAGTGGAGCTTTTTTCTAAAACTAAACGGATTATGAAAATGGACAGTCTCCTCTATTGAACAGTGTAAAAAACATATTTTTTGGATCGTTTTAAAGAAATGGCTTGCGGACCCTATCAATAAGCGTTAAAAACGTATCGCTACCACTTGATGTCGCAGTTTCAAACGGAAACGAATGAATTGAATTATAGTGCCCTCATACTTCTTTTTTCAATGTCGACTGTTTTTGTGTGCATTTTTTTTTCTTCATAAAGACTTCGAGGTGCTTGGAGCATGATGGAGACATTGAATTTGAAAGCATTCCACTACAAGCAAACGATCCGCTTCTCCAAGTGCCCGTCAATCCGGACAACCAAAATTTTCCGCTCAAAAAAAAGGATGTCATGACTGGAGGAGAATGTTATGAGGTCTTCATTTTTTCATCGAATGCTCATATTGATACCATTTACAGATTAAATGCCAAGGAAAGAAAGTATTTTTCGTCTCGAAAGGAGTCACCTACGAGTGCAAAAAAGCTGGTGAAAAAATTCAACTCGATGAGGTTTTCGGAGCAAAAAAACTTTGAATATATCAATTACAGGAGTACAAACATCCGAATCACTATACAAACTTTTTTGCCACTTCGTCGATAAACGATTTTCAGCCATATGAAGTTATTTTTCTCCTATTTTTTTTTGGTCAGGAGCGGGTATCAGCTCGCAAAAGATTTGAATGAGGCCAAGTTCGCTGGAGCTTTTTTGCAATCTTATTCGAAACTGTTTCTCCCCCACGACCGATTAGATTGAAAAAAAATTAGTTTGGAACTCTTAAATTTGCAAAAATATGAGCCGCCAAGGAATATTCAAGCTAGTTTTCAAAAAGCTCCAGCTAAGTGAAGTTAGCATCAAAAAATTCCCTAAGTGGGAAAGTGTGTAAGGTGAACATTGCAGATCTCACTAAGAATAACTGCCGAGATAAACGCGAGACGCTGGCGGTACATTGACGAGCTCGCAAACATCTCGCATTTTTTCTCGCGCCGGTCTCGCATTTTTCTGGGCGCGAGCTCGCACTTTTCTAGGCGCGAGCTCGCATTTCTCTTGCATTTTGAAAATTTCCGAAATGCAAGATAAATGCGAGGTGGCGCCAAGAAGAATGCAAGCTCGCGCCCAGAAAAATGCGAGATCGCGCCTAGAAAAAAGCGACATGTTTGCGAGTTCGTCAATGTACCGCCACCGACCTCGCGTTTATCTCGTCAGTTATTCTTAGTGCTGGTCCAAGCTTATGTGGTAGGTGGTCCCAGGTTTGAGTATTCGAAAACAAAAATTCTAATTTGAGACTACCTTCAACAGAAGTTTGGATCATATCTGCAATGTTCACCACGCATACTCCCCTCGTAAGGAACGAGTCTATCTTGAATTTCGTGTTAACGCATGATTATTAACGCATGTTTAATGTTAACGCGTGATTCAGGTTCTGCGGAAGTACAAAATCTCACGTACGGTGATCTGCCCGGCGTACTGCGAAGTGTGCGACGAACAGGATTCGGACGAATGCTGTGGAAGCTCCACGTTGTCTCTAATCCTCGCATTCGTTTTGATTTTCGCGTTCAATGTCATTTTCTGAAAATAAATGTGCTTCGAGCAAAGTTTTGATCTGAATCATAACTTATTGGAGTCGAAAATCCCTTTCTTTTTATATTCGATTTCAGTTTTTAACTTGAGTGAAATGAATTTATGAAAAAAAGTTTTTTTCCTGATAACCGGTACCAAATTTCCAAAAACAACATCAAATCGCTCAAAAAAAACTCATTTTAAAAGAAAACAAACTGACCTTGGTATAACAAAACGTAAATCACCCATAGTTGCCGGGTTGCTTTTCACCTTCAACTAATTGCTCATTGTTAATCAGAATCATGAAAAATCAACCTAAGGATTCAAAATGTGCGATCCCTCGGAGTGGACCACTTTTTGAGAGGAATCATCGGACATTTTGTGGAGTCCTGAAAAATTCCAACATATTGGAAAATTTATCGAAAAAAATGCATTAAAAAACATTTTCGCGAAATTCGAGACATCCGTAAGGAAGTGCAAAAGTCAACTGAACTCTGGATAGTCAGAGTTTCGAACTTCGCATAATCATTTTGAACACGAAATAAAATTCCATTCGAAGTTTTTCTACAAAAATCTAAAAGAAAAGCTCGATACAGGAAAAAATTTAGATGGCCTAAAAAGTAAAGAAAATGTTGACGAAAGATGAAGAGAAGAAGATAAACCTACACCTATTGACATAGGCCTACTATTTTTGGTGCCTCAAAATAGCGGTTTAACATCGAAATGAAGTTATTCTGGAACAAAGGCAAAAAGAAAAAAGGAAAAAGAGATTTTGTCGAAAATCCGCGGATAAAAGTCGCTGACTGCAACCCTCCGCATGCTTTTCTTGGCCACGCCCAAAAACTGCGATGTGGTTGGTACGACAGAATCTCAAGTCCGCAAATCTCGAGGACCGTAATCTTGTGTACGCAGATCTAAAGTCCCATAATCTTGGAAACCAAAATCTTGGAGACCAAAATCTTGGAAACCACAATCTTGGAAAGCAAAAATCTTCCCTTTTAGTCTTCTTTATTGCACTTTATCTACTTATATTCTCTTGTTTGGATCACCGAATACAATTTCTGATAAAATCTATTCGCAAAAGCGTTGATTTTTACTTTCCAAGATTGTGGTTTCCAAGATTTTGGTCTCCAAGATTTTGGTTTCCAAGATTATGGGACTTTAGATCTGCGTACACAAGATTACGGTCCTCGAGATTTGCGGACTTGAGATTTTGTCGTACCATCGCGATGTGCAGAATTTTTAGTGGCGTTTTCATCGGAGAAACGGAACACGATTCAAAAGGAAAAATCGTGTTCTTGCACCAAAGTTGTTCCAAAACAGTACCAATTTTTGTTTCGGAGCAAATTTTTTTGCGTTTCGAAGCATTTTTCGTTTTGAACTCGCGGTTATTGTAGTTTTTTTTTTCATATTTCACGGCGTTTTCATCGGACAAAACGTAAATTGTTCCGAAACGCAAGGAAATTGCTCTAAAACGATAATTAGGACTTGTATGTGAGCAACTTTAGTGCATGAACACGATTTTTCGTTTTGAAGCATGTTTTTTTTTCTCCAATGAACACTTCATTGAAGATTTTTTCTGTGAAAAACACACGCTTGAGCGTTTTAAAGTTTAAATTTCTTGCAATGCTAAATTAGATCTCTTCAATTTATTTTTTATGATTTTATTCACGCGTGGGTTTCAAATGGACTTTTCGAGAGGCCCTTTATTATTTTTAAGTGTGCGTAGTTTTAATAGAACAGTTTTGCTGGTGTTGGAGCTTGAAAGATGAACCTGAAAGAAGATCCTCGCAGCGAGGTGTAGATTTGAAAAAATAAGAATATCAATGTCTGGTTTTTTTTATATTTTAGGTTTTCAAGGCTTTTTTTTCCGAATTCCGGTTCTTTTCGCGTTGTGGAGCGCTTCAGACTTTTGATGAAAGCAAACTTTTTTTTAAGGAAAGTTGGAGAAAAATCTGATAAGAAATTTATCCTAATGTTCATTAAAATTTTCATCACAATTCTCATTAAGTGTTCAAATTAAATTTTGAAATTTTAATTTTTTTCAGATGTATAAAATTTGCATCACTGGCAGAACTTCTACGCAAGTTACTTTGAAAGTATCATCCCAGGTTTTTTTCTAATCAAAAATGAATGATTAATATTTTTTTCAGAGTTGGGAAAAGTATGAAAAGACACGTTTGCGAAGTGGCCTGAAAATGAAAAACCAGATGAAGCAGGAAAAGTACCGGAGGAGAGAAAAATGATTCAACTGTTGGATATCTTCGTCTAAATTTTCAGTTAGTTCTTTTTTTATTAAGCCGCTTTCAAAGTGATTATAGGCCATTCCTCGCTAGCTTGTCACATTTTTCTTTCCGCCAAAAGGCCAGGTCAAATTTAACCAACTTTCGCTTCAAGACCGTTGTTTCTTGCCGTTTTAAACGCAGAAATTTGATCTAATTTGGTATACGGTCTTTTTGGCGGGAAGAGAAACGTGACAAGCTGGCGCGGAATAGGCTATACGCGAATTCCAAAAAAAATCGTCAGAGAGAGAAAAAGATAACTAGATTTTGGACAGTCAGAGATAATTTTGCAGTTCGCGGAAATTACTTTGAAAATGGCAACAGTTAACTTTTTTTTTTTCGTTCTCTCTACCTTTGGCATTGAGATGAAGTTTCCATTTGTGAAGTTATGAGTTTAATAAGCTGGAAATTCGGACAAAAGTACGTTTTGCAATCGAAAAATACACTATCTCGATATTGACAGCCATTTATTCCCATTTGAAAGCGAAAAAGACGAATAAAATTAAAAAGAAGACGTGAAGGAGTGGAAAAGTTGAAGGATGATTATCTGGCTCAGGATCATCTGAATCTGAATCCTCGCAAACGTCCGAATATTCAGGACAAATGACAGTCCGGTTGACCGTGTAGCTTTGGAAATGCTAAAAATCTCCAATTGAATATTAATTTCGAAGTAAAAACAACCGAAATCTGGTTGAGCTCACTCTCATCAAAATAAAGAGAATTAAGCAAGTGCCACTGATGGTTTTTCTCATAGGCCTGTAATTTTTGTAATAGTTGTTCCATTGCAAATGTGACTATTTTTTCGATTTCTGACCTCATTCAATTTGATTTTTTGGCCAGGCTCGTCGCATTCGTAGGTCACACCTTCGGAAACAAAGCTGACTTTGTTATCCTTGCATTTGATCTCAAAAATTCATGTAATTTTTTGAACTGCGAATCTAGACAGTTCCAGTTTCTGGCAAAGACTACAGTTTGAATAAAGTTTATTAGTTTTCTCATACTGTTCATATAACAAAATCATCTTTTCTATATTCAAAAATTCGTCCAAGATGTTTTTTGGATACTTAAATTTCTACTTTTTTTTCTCGAACCTCGTATCATTATGGTTCGTTGAAAGTTCTCCACTCCGCCTTAACACCACCCAGTACTCTTGGTACAAATGAAGTCACAATACTCTCGCCGTCGTGCTCCAAACAGCGCCAGGCCTGAAATTTTGGTTTTCAGACCGTTTAGCCGTTGCCAGGAGTTTTTATAGTCTTCCAAGGATGAGAATGAGTAAAAAAAAATGTGGTTCGAAATATAAATATCGCCTTGTAGTGCTTCTCATAGTATGTCAAAAGTTAGAAACTTTGTAAATGGCAGTTTTATTGTTGATTTCTTCTAGGGGCACGAATATTTTTAATAATCATAGTTTTCCTCCTGTTTTTGTAAGGCTTCAAGTAAATACTTACAAGAGTGACTGAAACTTCTAAAATTTCTCAAAAATCTCTTTTCCTGAAAAAATTTTTTCAAAGCGTTTGAAGATTGTTTCACGATAATCATTCGGATTAAAAAAAGTTTCTGTTTATAACTCACTTGACTTTGCGACGCGTGACTGCAGGTTACTACCTTAAATCAAAAAAATATTCATTATCGTTAATATTTTTGGATGGTAATAGTTTTTGCGGCCAAGACTTTTTCAAGCCTTGGTCATCCTGGTCGGGTAGAAACTCACCGGACAAAATGGACATTGGGTGAAAGGATTTGTTGTTTTATATCCAAACGAGTAGTGAAATCGGCGTCCGGTAGCACACTTTGTAAAGCGATCACTGGAAAAAATAATTGAGAAAGTCTGAACTCACCACAGCGAGTTTTTAGAAACTCTATAGCTGATTCATGGCTAGCTTGGGACGCTAAGGGGGCGTGTCCTGTCTGCGCTCTCTACGAGCCAAGCGCTATCTTGTAGATTATCGTTTCAGGACCTTTTTTTTTGATGGCTCAAGCCAGCCGTGAATCAGCTATAGAACATTTTCAAAAATTCATTTCATTCTATAAACTTGAAATAACAATTCAAAACTACGAGCTACAAGGGTTCGCATGAGCAAGGGTTTTCGATTTCTGATTCACCTTCGGCGGTCCGAGATCGATATTTATGAACCAAACAAAATCAGCCTGAAAACTGCTCAGTTTTGATGCAATGGACCTTTGTATAGCTGGTTCACGACTGGCTTGAGCCGGTGAGGGCGTGGCCTGTCTGCGCCCTCCATTAACCAGGCACTGTCTCTTTTTTTTATCGTGTCAGGACCCTTTTTTCGATGGCTCAAGCCAATGAAAAGGTGAATTTTCCAAGGGAAAATCCCTTGTCTGTCAATGATTTTTTTACTCACATCTAAGGGCTTCTCTTTGCAATCTTTCTGGGTTGGTAGACACTGAAAAAAAGTTTTTTCAATTTTTTTTTTCCTATCGCCATAACTTGGAACTGACCCCTTTGTGCTCTTTCCTCTCGAATTCTGAGTGATTTAGAGAGTGCAGACAGGCTAGACGGTTTCAAGCCACGGCGAATAAAGTTTAAAATCTTACGCGGAAAAAGTTCACTGATGTTATTGGAGGCGTATCCTTTTTTCCGCACACGACAAACACACCGTCGACCTTTCTACATTGATATTTTTTAGACAGGAGAATAGTTTCAGAGCTCATTCAATCTGTTTTCAATTATATTATTCCCTTTTGGCGAATTGGTACTTTTATAAGTAATTTCGGCCCTTGAACTGTATTTGATAATGATAAGTTGTAGCTTACGATAAGTGAAGAAGCAGGCCGGAGAAGCTTCTACGAATCTTGACATCATAATATTTTAAAGCCTCATCTATCGCTTTTTTCACCATTTCTTGTTCTTCCTCCTTCATCCTGGAATACACTTACAATTCAAAAGCAAATGAAAGCTCAAAAAGGTGAAGAAGAGACCAAAAGGGGCTTGAAGAGACGCCAGACAATCAGAGACCTTTCTTTCTCTGATCTCTCTTCTGGCCGCCATTATTCTCCTCCTTCTCTGAGCCACTTGTCTCTCCATTGCATGTCAACTTTTCAAAGATGCTTGAAGTTCCGGAGATGGAACTCACTTGCTGAGAGATTCAAGATAATGAATTTGGATTCGGATCGGCTCCCAGGGCCGATCGGCGGCCGAAGACTTCGAAATCAGTCTTTTTCCTGTCCATGTGACTGTGGAGTCGGTTTTCTGAACTTTTCAGTTTTTTTCAAGAATCCTTCGGAATCAAACCTGGGAGCTTCCAGCGATAAAAGATGTGTACAATAGAAAAAAAGCAAAACCGAGAATTTTCATCCTCGGATACGAAGCATAGACGTTACATTTTGTTTTGGAAGTAGGAAACAATAACGTGTATTTTGAACTGCATTAAAATAGAAAGCATACATTGACAGATCAATTTTCAGCGCCAACGACCAGGGGGTTTCCACTCGACGTCGGAGAGTCGCCTTACAAAAATTAGCCAACATGCCGAGTCACAATGATTTCTAAGCTCAGGGAGGTAGTACTGAATAAAATTTGAGAATCCTTGGGAGGGAGGGTAGGCTGCCCAGAGATTATTCTCCACAGTTCAAAATTTTCCATCACTCGATCTATTTTTTTGATTCCCAGAAGTCTACGGTTCGCTTCTCAATTCTTTTTTCTGTTCGGCTTCCACGTCATCAGCAGTAGGAAATAAAATAAGGTATTTTTCCTTCTGTCTTCATTTAATTTGAAATTTTCTGAAGAGTTGTTGGAAAATAATAGTTCTGAGGGTTTTTTTTTTAGCGTGCCCTGCGTCAAAAAGGAGGGTTCAGAAGTTCCTCAGACGCTGAAAAAACCCAGATTTCGGCTTTTCAGTCAATGTCGAAAAATGTCATAGTTGATTTCAAAGTTTATTGAGGTCACTGTAAACAGAAAGGGCAGGAAAAATGGATTTTATTGTACTTTTAATTGGAAATGAAGTCATTCTTGATTAATTTGGCAAGTTTCGACTGATTCTCAAGAACAGGTTACTCAGATAAAGAGGAAAACGACAAGAAACGAAAAAATCAAAAAAGAAAGGGCAGATTTCGGGGCGGTATTCTCACAATTCATTGATTTTTTCGGGGCCACGGTAGTTGTCGTATTCTCGATGGCCAAGTCTTCTGAAAATTGAAAAAAAAGTGCTTTAATAATTTCTCAAAAAAAACCGATCTGGTAGTACTGGATGCTATACTGGTTCGTTGTCGTTGGCGAAGTTCTGATTTGCATGACGATAGGCGCGAAATCCCACTCCCGAACTCCATTTGTCGCCGAGGACTGGTAGCTGGAATTTTTAGAAGTGGAAAAATCTGTATATTGGCTGAATTTCTTGATTAGAATTGATAATGGGAGAGTATTTGTTCTGGTTTCAGCTTTTCTGATAATATTTCGGGAAAATTGAGACTCGGGCAAATTCTGGGAAGGAGAATGGAAGCTAGAAGGTCTTGAGAATCCTTCGGAAGGTGTTCAGAAGGTAGTTGAAAGGTCCTTGGAAGGTCTCAGGCGAATCCTGGGAAAACACTGGGAATACAATCAGCAGGAGTTTGGAAGGTGTACGGAAGCTAGAATGTCTTGAAAAGGCCTTCGGAAGGTGTTCAGAAGGTAGTTGGAAGGTCCTTGGAAGGTCTCAGGCGAATCCTATGAAGGCGCTGGGAAAGTAACTAGCAGGAGGTTGGAAGGAGTATGGAAGCTAGAAGGTCTTCGGAAGGTCTGCGGAAGGTGTTCAGAAGGTGAAAAATGGAAAATTTCGGGCGACTTGCCGGAAGCCGGCCAGCAGGTCTCTGGCAGGCGTGGAAGCTGTCTTCCCATTACTTTCCGAACAACTTCCCAGTAGTTGCCTGAGAAGGTATTTTGTTGAAAAATAGCTCAAGTTTCTTAACTCAATGCGCTCTACTGCTAAATTTGCTATTTTCTTGTCTTTTTCTTCTGATTTTTTCAACATTCATTGCTTTATTTCTTTTGAACTCACGTTCCCCAGACTAAGAAGCCGACTTCGTTGATGAGAGTCACATCCAACTTGGTCAAATTCTCATTGGAGGGTTCTTCGGCGAGTCCAACCATATATCCAGTTTTCATATAGAAAGCCGGATTCGGTTTCAAGTTCACGTTTCTACTTTTCAAAGCGTTTCCCATAGTCAGCCCCGTGGTGGTCGAGGAGGTCACCGTGATGTTTTCTTGGATTTCTGAACAAATAATGATAATCTTGTCGGTATATGTATTCCAACAGACCGTAGTCGTTTTGGACAGTGAAATTGACGCCTCCAGTCAGGACGATGTGAAAAATGGGCAACGTAATTTCCAAGGGCTCCATTTTCGGGAAGAAGCTAGAATTTTTCTTTTTTTTTTCAATTTTGGGTCGCGTTGGAATGGCTCATTGCATCGCGGCTGATAAGAGACTGCGCCCGATCATGAAACGACTTTTATCTCAAATTATGACACTGACGCTTGCATTGAATCTTTCAGTAAGATCTTGAGTTCTCTGGTCACATTAGGAGTAGCTGAACTTGGAGCTGCGCCCGACCATGAAACGACTTCGACCGCGGAGCATCAAGCCATTCCAAAAACGTTTCAAGAAAAAACGAACTAGTAAAGTTCTGGCTCTCCGAGAGGGTTCGAAAAAATCCGCTCATATGCGTTGTTCTCTTTGGGAACGTCTCGGTAGATTTCAAAGGTTGAGTTCTGGAAAAAAAAATTTTTTTTGACATTTACGGAGTAGTTTGTGTTCCTCGTCTCTCATCCGAACGTCAGTTATGACTGTTGAATATTCGAGACTATTTTGACAACGGCGCGGTAGAAGAACAATAGTTGAATCTTCTCCATGCGACTTTAACTCCTGTTTGCCGGCGACGTCGTGGATGTAGAAGTTTTCGTCTGAAGTTATACAGTGAAATTTTCTGACATGTCTGCGCCCTCTTTTCCCTGACCGGCGAGGTCAGAGATAGGACGTAAATACGAGATAGTCTGATGAGGAAAAGAGGGCAGAGAAACTCTATTTTTGACATAATTTTTTAAATTATGATAAGGAGAAATCGCGTAGGCAATGGATAGTGTCTTCATAGCGGATTCGATTCAAAAATTAGAAAGGTCATTTTTCCGTGATTTTTTATTTATTTGAACCTACCACGGCTCTGTTCCGTCGTCAAAACGTACAAAAACCCGCTAAGCTGTCTTGTCGTTTCCTCATCGTTCAAATTGACGATAGTCATGTCATCCGCGGTTAAAACGAACGGATTTTTCAATTTCGTGTCGTCGAACATGTACTGGACAGCGATCTCGTGAATTCTGAAGATAGTTCATTTACGGTGATTCGAAACAGTCTGGCAACTCTGCGCTCTCTGGTTCTCTGATGGAAGAAAGCTTTCTGATTTCTAGACTTTTTGGGCTGATCTGGTCTTGGATAATTCATGTAAAGGCATTTAGAAAAGGTTATGGAAGTGGGAAAAATAATGATAACAAGATCAAGAGACTTTGTAGGACGAGAGAGCGCAGACAAGCCAGAATTTTCCAAGTCGTTCTCACGTTCTGGAGGTGCCTCCCGACACTAAGACAATTTTCGTGAGGACTTCTTCGCTGTCGACGTTGCCGGAAACGTATACGTGCATGCCATACTCGACATTTGTGATTTTTTTGAAGGAGTGTGAAGGAAAGGAGGACAATTGCAGGACTAGCTGCTTACGGCTTTGATAAATCTCGTAATCTCGGTATTCGTATGAGTCACTGAGGTCGGATGCGCCTGAAAGTTCGTTTTTTTTTTCACGTTTGATTTCAATTATGAGACCTTACCAAATTCTGCAAAGAGTAGAAGAAAGACGATCAGTAGCATCTGAAACGAAAAAAAAAATAATAACTGCAAAATGTTGCGTTTTTGCGGCTTAGCGCTGGTTTTGCATAAGAGTGGATTACGGTCATTTTTCAAGTCGCATAAATTTCAGTTGTAGCTTTTTTTGAGCTGGATGACTTTTGGATGACGTTCAGAATGCTGTTAGAGTTCCATTAAGATTTGAGAAATGAGTATTTCGGAGTACAGATCGAAAAATTTGAAAAGAAAGTGAGGAAGCGTCAATATTATGGATCCGAAGGCTCTAATTTGTTGACTACTCCGACCATTCGTGGGAACTTTCACTACCTGAGTTTTTATATTTTTTTTTCTCACGAAAATTTAGGAACTTCAAAACATCCTGAGGCGTAGTTCTTACGAAAAAATCTTGGTACAGTTTTGGGAACGGGGCTTTGATCTTTAGAAATGAGCATTTTTATTTAAGGCTCCTTCCACAAAACCGTGCCGCAATCCTTAGTGATAATTTTCCCTGTTAAATCATCTTGTGGCACAATCATTCAAACAGTTTATTTATGAAAAAAATAACAAAATTGTACATTAAATAAGGCACAGAACAAAAACCATAACAGAAACAAAAATTGAGTGAGAAACTGTTATTTTGGTGGTGGTGGTCGGAATTCTCGTCGTAGTGGTCGTAGTGGTGGTAGTTGTACTTTTGCTGGAAACAGTTGATGGCGGAGATCCAGAAGACGTGGAGATTCTGGTTGGTGGCGTCGCAGGGCTGCTTGTAGGTAAACCTGTAGTCGTGATGAGGTCGCCTTCTGAAGAATATTTTAAAGTTACTTTTTTTGGCCGCGATGCGACTATGGATCCTAGATGGCTTGAAAACTGCAAAATGCACAAGTTATTTCAGATATTTTGTAAATGAAAGCGCGCAAGTGGTTTTCGGTCCGAAGCAAGAATTAGAAAACCGCAGCGCATGGGTAACGTTTTTACCCATTCCAAATGCGACCAAGACTTCTGGAGTCATTTTCATTAACATTATTTGTGGGAATATCCGAAATTTTTTACATCAGTCAAGCAGTCACATTTGACGGATGTTCAACGTTCTCTAATCTTGCCGGTGAAAGAAAACAGGTCAGAAGTGAGAAATGAAATAATAAAAAGGACTGACGGATTTGGAAGTATTGGAAAGAATAAACAGCGGCGGAAATTCTGGAAGGCGTCACATAGAAGGCATCGCCCAAAAATGCAACTTCAACTGCTCGGTTTGGAACGGCAGAAGTGTAACTGAAAAAATATACGAATTTTACTTGGAAAAGAAAAAATATTCACTTCTGAGCGAATCCATAGACGGGGTCGACGATTCTAACCTCCACAGGGGACAGTACATTTTTCATAGTTATCTTCAAAAAATCAGTTTTTACTTTGCACTTTTTCCAATACGTACCACAAAGCCGGTCCAGCCGGTATAGTTTCGGTCAGGCATATAAATAACGGAAGCATTCGTTGCGAAGTAATCGTCCATTATCAAGCCGGTCGTGGTGGCAGACGTTGCCATGGTTTGAGATGGGCCTGAGTCGTTTTTAAGTTGCCAATTTTATTGCACACTCCGGTATAAAGCACCATGCTGGCATTTGGAATGGCTCAGAGCGTAGGAAAGGAATTTTTATGCAGTTGGGCGCAAGTCGTTTGAAGTCCGGTGCGACTTGTGGCGGTCCCAGGTCTGCTGAGCCATTCCAAGTGCGGCCATGAACTTTCAAGTGAGCCCAATTTTCGTGAAAAAAGGTTCTATCAACTGAATTGTGTAGGCTCAAAACCAACCCATAATGTTTTGAGCCCTGAAAGAGATTCCGCCATTTGAAACGATGTAACAAGCCGAGTAGTAGATTTGCAATGGTTCAATGTTTGAGAAGAATCTGTACTAATCGAAAAATAAATTCTTGATCTTTTCCATTCCATTTACCGTTTGCCAAACTGATCAATGGGATTGGTGAACATCCTTTTGGAGATGTTGTCATCAAAAGATTCGTTTTCAATGGGATGGCCTCGATAAATCGCCATGCTTGAGGTCTGGAAATTAACTTTTTTTTAAAGACTGGAATAGAAGGGGGGATTCATGGGATAGTCTCGGTCGGACCTATAAAAAAGGGTCAAAAAACGAGTACAGAGGGGGGAGGGGTTGGCAAAAACCGAAAAAAAATATTCAGGGTGCGCGCTGAACAACGCAAGTCCGATCTAATGAAAAAAATCAAACAATCATGTATAAGAAATCAAAAAAATTAATTTTTGTAAGTGGGAAGGGGGAAGGGGGAATTTGCTGTGGCCAGTCATGATCATCCCATGTATGCCAACAACAAAGGAACATGCGCCCTATGGATAAAAAAACCGTAAATATTAGTGATAAAAATTTTTTTGAAATTATTTCTGAGCCAATTTTGAAAAAAAATGATTTTTCCACCGAGCTATCCATAGAGCACACTTTCATGTGGAACTTTTTTTTTATTGAACCTCTTTCATCATAATGTTCGAAAGTACAGCCGTATTTGCTGGGAACCCGTTGGTGATTGAAAACTTTGGAAAGACTACAATCGTCGACATTTGATCATTCAGCCTTGATATGTGTTGATCTCCGAATATCTCGTAAACGTAGAAGTTGTTGTCTGAAATGATGAATTTTAAAATAACTGAATTGAAACAGCTTTTCGAGGACATTCAACGAAGCGAAAAATTGTAGGGAATTTTTTTGGCATCACCCTGTACCTTTAAAAATCCGAAACACAGTTATGAATGAACTATTTGAGAAAATAAAAATAAAAAGTTAAGTAAGGACCTGAGGACTGGTTAGCTGTGAGAACGTAGAGGTACCCAGTAATAGACTGGGTTACTGTCTGATTGTTCGAATTCATCACGGTAAGTTGAGCGACCGGCAAAATCCAAGGCATTTTCAGGCCTGAGGCTTCATCTTGGTAGCTGGTCGACAGTTCGTAGGCTCTGGAAAAACTTGGTTTTTGAGGAAGTTAGGAGCTCCAGAGTGGTCCCTATAGGGCTACTTTACCAACCGCTATAGGGGCCACTAAAGCTTGCAAAAGTGATCACTATAAGGGACGTGCTGATCGATAATTTTTATGAACTCCATGCGAAACAGCATTTCCATTGGAAAAAATGAATAAAATAACCTTTTTTGAATAAAAATTAAACGACCCCTGTAGAGACCACTCAAGCTTTAGCGGCTGAGGGTTCAGACGTCAAACCCCTATAAGGACCACTTTGATTTTACCTCTATAGGGAACAGTTTTCGGTGCATATAGAGGGTGTTTTCCCCCTAACCCCTATAGACCCCACTTAAAAATTCCTGAGTGCGTCCTGAGTTTCTGAGTTTTGAGAATTTTTCAAATAACCATCAAAGAAAGCTTTTTTTTTACTCTCCATAAAAAGGAATAAGATCCTTACGTTTTACTTTCCGCTCCACTGACAAAGACCAGATTATTCAACGGCGACGTGTCATTCATCAACGCCGCCACATAAACTTTCATCCCAACTTGCAAATTTCTCAAATTCATATTGAAATCCGGCGAAAATTCTGACAGCGGAATGAGTTGCTGACATCTTGCCAACCCTGAGTCATACTTTTATCATGAAATATTCGAAGAAAAAAAGTTACCAAACAAAAAGGTGAATAGAAGGCCAAGTGTGTAGAAGCGTGCCATTGTCGGGAAAACCGCTGATTTTGATTTCGGCGCGTTTTTATACCTTTTTTCGAAGGGGTGGGCGATATGATATCATCCCCTTTTTATCAGTACCTATTTTTATGGTCCTCGAAGATTTTTAGTATGTTTCTGGAGTTGAGTTGGATGATGATGTGGTGGATTTTGATGAGCTTCTTGTTGAAATCATTAAATAGTAGCTTTTTACGGAGTAGCACCCTGAAAGAGAAAAAACGGTCAAATCTGTAAGTGATCCTTTTAGAAAAAATTCTCAGTTTTCAAACTGAATCGGACGATTCTCTCAACGTTCGAGTGACTACTTGAGATATATTTAAAGTTGCTTTTGAAATGATTTTTTTCTCTTTAAGTAGTTTTTCAAAACGAACATTTACTCCGTTTTGAAGTTTTTCATATGTTACAACTTAAAAAAAGCTTTTCTGTAGAGAGATTAAAAGCTCTAGGGGCCTCTTAAGTACCAATGAACTGGAATTTCCGGTACACCATCCAAAAATACCGAAAGAAATTTAAAAAAAAATTCATTGTTCGATCCTAATAATTCCCGCTTGACCACATTAAAACTTCAATTTAATGGCCACTTTACCAACCCCTATAGGGGCCGCTAAAGCTTGCAAAAGTTGTTCCTATAAGGATTTTTAGTCATACATGTTAGTTTAAAACTTTTATGTATCTTATGCGAAGAAGCATTTCGATTCGAAAAAATAAATTTTAAAGAAAATTGAAAGACCCCTATAGGGACCACTTGAGTTTTAGGGGCTAAGTGGTCTGACCCTAAACCTCGATAGGGACTACTTTGATTGTACCCCTATAATGACCTTTTTTTCGGCCTCTACAGATACCACTCTGAAATTCCTCAATCATTCAACTTCCAGAAGATTCTTACAAAACCCTGCTCTCGAAAAATCCCTCGAATCGTCGTGAAAGAATTCATTTTGCAAGATTTAACAATCCACGTCAACATCAAATATTATGAAACATTTTTTGTACAAACAAATCTATGAAAGGTTAGTCGCCATCAGAACTACAATGGAGGCGAGGAAAATCGAAGGAAAACTTGTCAACTTTGTCGTTGTAGGGATCACTTGGGGGGTAGTAGGGAGGGGTGTTTGAGTTGGTTTGACCGTTGGAATCGCGGAAATTGTGGAGTTGGGCATGGCCTTGGTTGGGACTGTAGTTGAACCGTCGTTGGCAGTGACGACATGCATCGTTGTCATCACTTTCGGGGTCGTTTCTGAACAAAAATGTGGAGGATACGATGAAAAATCGGATCGCCATTATTTTCGGCTTTTTCTTCCTGAGCAGGTTTTTCCTGCCCTTTGTAACCTAAATCAAGTAAAACTAACGGATTTGGTAGTACTGGAAAGAATAGAAGCCCGAGTTCATGTTCATTGGCCACACATACATAGCATCAGCAAGTGTCTGAGTGTCGAACCCTTCATAGGATGAGTCTGAGGTGAAGCTGAAAAATTTTTCAAATAATTTGAATCTAGATAAACAAACTTCTCATTCCAAACGTAAGATCCGAACTCGTTCAGTTGAACTACGACGGGAGCCAAGACGTTTCTCAAGGTCGACTGAATTTTGTGTTCTTAGTGATTTTTTTGAGATCGTGAAGCTGTTTTTGGTGGGGAATATTGAATCAAAAGTACAAAAAATCAAAATTTTCATCAAAGTATGAACTTTTTGTACTTATAGAAACGGCAAAAGGGCTCCGGGAGCGGAACCTTGGACTCAAGATTGATAGGCTAAAATTTTAGCCACTAGGCTATGTTTTGTATGCGAAGAACGCTAGAGAATTTTTATAGAGTTCGAAAATTGGCCTCTTAAGTTCTGTCTAATTTTTCTAAGCTATTCGGTCAGATTCTTTCACCTAAAAATATTCGATCAAAAAGATATGATTCATAAAATCATCCTATAAGCCTTATCAAAACTCAATAAACATCGAGGACAAACATATTTTTGATAAAATTATCAATATCGTCATCATCATCATCTCTATCCTTATCAACTTTGGAATTTTTAATAGTTATTTGCTAGTTCAATGGTTCTTATCAGCAGGAGTTCCGTAAAAAATTTGAAAACATTAAAACGACTTTTGTTTGAAGTTATTTTTCCACCATAAACCGCTCCGCGGCCGCGACGCGTTGTTACTGTAGCCGCGGGCCAAATCTACAAACCTTGTAACCAGTATACCCATTGTAACGGTGGTCCGGTTGATAGTAAATTGTAGAATTGGCCGTGAAAATGCGGTTCATTATCAGTCCAGTAACCGTCGTGGATGTTGCATTTTTCGGTAAAGTAGATGAAGCTGAAGTATACGTTTTTCAAAGATTCCGAGAGTAGGGATCTTACTGAAGGAATTATGAGCTTGGAAATAGATTCCGCCGCTGGCAACGATGTGAAACGCTGGATAGGAGATTTGCAATGGGTCAACGTTGTAGAAGAACCTGAAAAGTGGCATTTTGAGGCATAATGCTGTCAATGAACTATAGTTCATTCATCACTTGGTGACTGTATTATGAGTGTCGCGGTCTTAAGCTTCCATTTTGAAGCAGGTAGAAGTACAAAAACTTCGAGTGTTATGATAATATGATAATAAAGAGGTAAACGCTCAGGTGAATCCTGGGAAGGTCTTTGGAAGGTGTACGGGAGGTAGTTGGAAGGTAAACATGGAAATTGTCAGCCAGAAGCCTGCTGGAATGCTAGTAGAAGGTGATGGGAAGGTATGTGGTAGATAAAAATGGAGAATGCCTATCAGCAGCCTTCCAGAAGCCTGCTGGAAAGCTTCTCAAAGTCTTCCGGAAGGCTTTTTTCAAGTAGAAGGTGTTGGGAAGGTATGTGGAAGGCGTTTGACCACTTGCTGGAAAGCCTCCAAACGTCTATCGAGGAAACGAAAGCACAAGCTTCCCAACTTTTACCTGAGCGTCGAATCAGTAAGACTTTATATGATAGGCAGGTTTTCCCTCTAAGTTTTGCAAAAACGTGTAGATTCCATTGTCGAGTTATGTACACTTGAAGTCTAGCCGCACTAGGAATGAAAATTGTAATACCGGCTTCAAACGCCTTATAAAAATCATTTGAGCAAAGGGTTGAGCTTTAAATCAACTTTAGCGCTCTGTGAGCCATTCCAAATGCGACCATCGACAATCGTGATAAATTTAGCACAATGATAGCCCAGGCTAAAAAAACCAGTTGAGGCTCGCTTTGGAAACCTGGGAATATTTTTTTTTCTACTTTTCTTCAAAAGACTTGTTGATCACTCACATTGTTCCCAAGTCGACATGGTCCATCGGATTGGCGAAAACTTTATTTCCAAGGTTCGCACTCAAGTTGGCCGAAGGATAGTCGCGATAGATTTGAATCGCAGAACCCTGGGAGATTTATTTATTAATTTTCAAAAGGATAGCTCAACGGCTCTCATGTTGAAGTTGGTGAGAGTGGCCGCGTAGTCCTTGAAACCAAAGTCGACGAGGGTCATCCGTGGAAGCATGACTATTGTCGAGTTTTGATCGGAGCTTCGGTCGATGGTCTGAGTCCCGAAGACGTCGTAGACGTAGAATGAGGGGTCTACAAGGATTTTTCGATTTAAAAAAAACGTTTAAGGATCGGAAAACTCCTATAGCTGACTCACGGCTGACTTGAGCCATCGAAAAAATGGTCCTGACACGATAATGCACGAGATAGTGCCTGGCTCGTGGAGAGCACAGACAGGACACGCCCCCTTAGCCTCCCAAGCTAGCCGTGAATTAGCTATAACACTCTAGCTTATCTGCGCACTCTTTTCTCTAGCCGACAGAAAGGTCAAACTGTTTTTGAGTATGAAAGCCTGGACTATGTCTTGGACCTGTTCTATTCATTCATCACGACTTACAAGCGTCGGACCTCTCTGCTCTCTCTTTTCTCTAGCCGACAGTGTTCCGATTTTTCGAACAGTGCAGTCGTCATTGATCGTAAAGATTTAGCCGATTCTAGCTCGTGGGCGTGGCCTGTCTGCGCTCTCCACGATCCAGGCACTATCGTGTCAGGACCCTTTTTTGATGTCTGTTGTGAATCAGCTATACACTAACTTTTTAGTAAAAGGCGAGTCTTGGAACAATTTCAAATTCCCGACATAGGAGATGAGAAAAATTTTTAAGATATACAGTAACATCCATGGTGAATGAACTACTTTTCAAAAATCCAAAAACGATCGATTCCAAAAAACAACCTTTCGATTGTTCGGCACTCAAAATGTAGACGAAACCAGCCATATTGCTAACTGCCGTATTATCCCGGTTTGATACGGTAACTTGAGCCGCAGGTAGGACCCAAGGAGCTTTCAGGCCAGATGCCTGGTCTTGATAGCTTTGTACAAGTTCATAGCCTCTGAAACCAGTAGAAGTTCAGTTTTGGTTAAAAAATATGCGAAAACATTTTTTTTTGAGATTACGGCTTTTGAGCGAGTGACGACAAAAAGTTTTGAGACTATGGAATTTTTGAAAATCGGGCGATTGGAGTGAATCAATGCGTTGCGGTCGCGCTGCGGTTCTAATAGTAAATCTAGAGAAAAAAAAAGTTGAAAATTAAAAAATGTCTTGAAAATGTCTAGTGGAAAAGCCAAGAATAAAATGAGAAGTTATTGGATGACCCAAAATTTTTTTAAAAACTTATAAAAACAAACGTTTTGGTTTCCTTTCCACTGGTGAAAACATAATTTTGAAGTTGTTCAGTGTTGGACGATATACAGCTCACATACAACTTCATACCAATTTCCACATTTTTCAATTCGACATCAAATGACGTGGTGAAATCGCTAAACGGCAGGAATTGTTGGCCTTCTGATAGGCCTAAAAACAATAAAAAGTTTAAAAAGTACACATTTGAAAAACTAACCAATCAAGGTGAATAGTAAGAAAAAAATAGCCATCTCCAACTTCCGACTAGAGACAATTTCGGCTGGGAAATTTATACGAGGAGTGATATCATTCTCAGGGTTTTTATCAATTTTTGATGACTGTTCCCTCCATTTCTGGTCATTCCGAAAGATAAAGACGCAATGAGATTAGTAAGATGCAGGTAAAATCGAAAGAGCAAAAAAAAATTCCATTTTGCAACGGTATCGAACTTTAGTCTCGATGTCGGGCAAAATATGGATTTTTTGAATTTTTGTAAGTTCTCGGATGGTCCTAACCGGGAAGGTCATTCGACTTTGCTGCCGCGATTTTTCCGAAAATGGGCCAGAATACTTCTTGATGTCTCAAATGAAGCTCATAAAAGCCTGCAAAATTTTTAATTTTTCCAAAAATATATTCTGCTCAGATTTTGAATGTCAAGTCGTCGCTCAAGCTCCGCCCCTAATGGCGCGATGAACCAATCAATTCGAGCGAGCCATCCACAGAGCGTTTTCGAATGACGTCGTTGTACTTGACACTGAACAGACTATATGAGCTCAAAGCCCCAAAAAAGCTAATTTCAACGGGTTTCTAGAATTTTCTTCCTCTTTAAAGTGTCTTATCTCAAAAACTAGGATTGTTGCAGGTTGAGACTTTTAGAATCTTCTACTAGTACATCAAGGAATGTTCTGGCCAATTTTCAGGAAAATTCGAGCTAAAATCACCTTACTTTTGAAGGTTTCTAATGTCCTAGAGTGTATTATAAGCTTGATCCGTGTCAAAAATTGCCAATAAATAATGATGATGAATATAATTTTGATAATGATACCATCATAATAATCATGATCCTTATCAATTTTCGATTTTTTATACGATTATTTGCTCGTTCAGTGGTTTCTTATCAGTCAAAATGTCTTAAAATTATGGAAATGAGCGATTTTTTGAATTTTCAAAACTAAACTCCATCAAGTGATGCTTGGTTCAATCAATAATGGCTGAAGGCGATGAGAAGAAGTCAAAATATCGATTTCCCCAAGCGAAAGTCGTTTTAAGGTCGGGCTGCACCATTTTTATTCTTACAACAAAAGGAAAAGCGGAAAACACGGGTGCAAAATGGCCGCCAAAAGGGTTCCGTTTTGCGGTCTTTATTGAGCCTTTCTTTCTTGGTTGGCTAAAAAGTCTCAAAAGAGGGTGAAAAAAGGGAGAGGCCGCGAAAATGGTGAAAAAAGAGTGAGGGTGCAAAAAGCGTGCTGAGAGGATCGGCCATTGATGATTTCCGATTTCATTACTGTGGCACATTTAGGTTCATACACAGTCACTTGTAAAAATTATTCTCAATTCAAAAAATTCTGTGTTCCACAAAAGGGTCCGAAAAGGGTGAATAAAGGCCGATGAAAGGACGGAAAAGGACAGTGAAAAGGGAACCGTTGCCACCCGTTTAGGAACAATAAATGGAAACCTTTTGAACCCAAAATGGACGCTCAGAGGCCCCGTAAAGCCTATGTAAATCTCACTCTTGTTTCATTTCGAGCTTGAGATAAATATAAATAAGTAATTTCATTATTGATCGAATTTATCATATATTTCAAAAGCTTTGGCTTGAACTCTTCTCTCAAGTTCGAACAGATCGCCAGGATAATCGGTTGATTCAAAAGGTCCAAAACCCGCGACTTCTTTGAGCCAAAGTCGGCCCCAACTTCCGAGGTTCACGTCCCGGTAGTGTCTGAAAAGCTCCTTTTCAAAAAATAGGTACAAAAGTCGAAAGCTTGAAAAAAAAAACGAAGTTCAAAGAAGTTATAGAATACCGATAGTTCTACATACAGGGTGACAAATAAATATTGAAACACGTTTGAAACGTTATAACTTTCTCAAAAGTCAACCAAACACCACCAAACTTGGAACACATTTTATTCATACAATATAGAAACAAAATTCAAGTATAGTTTTCAAAACGTCCTCCTTTAGCTTTGATAGCGGCCTTCAGTCTCTTCGGATACGCATCGATCACGGCACGAAGGTAGTCGTCGTCGATTTCGTCCCATTTCTTGATGAGCGCGGTCTTCAGAGCTTTGATACTTGGGTAGTTCTTAGAAGAGACCTTCTCGGTCAGATATATCCACACGGCATAGTCCATCGGGTTGTGGTCGGGCGAGGAAGCAGGCCAATCAGCGGCCGAGATGAACACGGAAAATTGGCGCGACACCACTCTTGAGTCACTTTGGCACGATGAGCGGGGGCGCCGTCTTGCTGGAAGGTCCATGGTCGGCTTCCGTAGTGAGAATTGGCTCAGGGCAACACCCTCAACTTTAAAATCTACTCCCTGTAGTATACTTGGTTCACTTTGACTCCAGAATCCACAAAAATCAGCGGAGTTTTGCCGTCAGCGGTAATTCTGGCAAAAACCATCACGGAAGCCGGAGACGAAGTTTTATTCAGAATTTTTTCTTTTTCACAGGCACTCTGATAGTCAGTAGCGATGATCGGATGGTTTTGGCCGTTCTTGTTCGCCTCCACAGTGAAGATTTTATCGTCGGTAAATAGCGTCGTCAGATGCGAGCCATCTTACGTGCCAGCGAGCAGCTTTCGAGCCTTTTTCATCCGGAATGTCTTGTTTTTTTGATTGAGGAAGGCTCCTTTCTGCATACGGTAGGGAATCATCTTCAGCTTGTCCTTGACAATAGTTCTCATCGATTCTCGACTCATTTCGTATTCTTTTGCCATCTTTCTCACGCTTCTTTCCGGAGTGCGTCTGATTTTCTCTCGAACGGCTTTGACTGCTTCTGGAGTCGTGACGGTGACTGGACGTCCCCTTCTTTGCATGTCATCTGAAGTACCGAGATGCCGATAGCGTTGTGCAGTTCGAAAAACGAGAACACGAGACACTTTCAGCTTTTTACCGATCTCTGAATTCGTCATTCAGCTTTTGACACAATCAATGATTGCGGTAGGGTACAGAGATGGGGCCACCATTACCTGAAAATTGAAAAGTATGAGCTGTAACTTCAAACACATGATAAGTGAGCATGAATGAACGAAATAAACAAAAAAATTCAAAGGCCAGTCCGTTGTGCAAAAAGCAGCGATCAAACAAAAAACGGTTTCAATATTTATTTGTCACCCTGTAGATATATTTGACGAAGCATAGTGGTTGCGTTTGGAATGGCTATTAAAGCGTCGCGGTCGCGTTGCGGTTTGTTAAAGTGCTTCAAGAAGGCGCAAGTCGTTTTGGGTCGAGTGCAAAAAGCGCACCGCAGTTGATCCATTCCAAACGCGACCAGAAACTTTTAAGCTTTAATAATTGTATCTTTTTTAAATTTTATGTCGAACTTTATCAAAATTTGAGCCTTATATGCGAGAAAAACCTATACCTAACGTATCCCAGCGACCCATCCATTCCAAACATTTTGAACCCGGGATAAAATTGCTCAACAAAATGGACCTTCATACCAAACGCCTGAATTAATAGTTATTTTTCCCTTGGAATTTTTTTGATAGTGCCTTCCTAGTGTCGACAATACATTTGGCAGTGTGGCCCGGAGGTCCCATCGAAGATGTATTTTGGAATCGACGGCTAGGCATCCAGTCATGGATCTGTAGATGTTCTTGAGAAGCTCGGAAAATTTGAAGAACCTGATTGGATCCTTTGTATTTTCTAGGCATCGTTTGGTCCTTCATTACCCATCTTTGTCGGAATTGGATGGCGCCAACGGATTCATCATTTATTAATCTGAATAAAATAAACTCGAATAATATTTTCTGTAGAACACAAACAGAAAAAAATAACTTCAGGGTTCAGGAAATACTAAAAAAATAAAGAAAGTTTTAAATTTTTTTGGAATTTTCATCTTCCTATTTTAAACTTAAATATAGCTCAACTTAAAAAGTCCCGAATTTGATGGCTTAGAGTTTATGAAAAACGTGGAAAAAAAGTTAGCTACAGACCTTAATCAATTCATTTTTAGAAATGAAACTCAAAATTTGTTAGGAATTCCAGCTACGAGAAACCGCAGAAGATACGTTTCAGAGCGTCTTCAAAATTAAGACTTTTCAATAGAACTCGTTCGAGTGGGAAAATTTTCATAACATCATCGTTTCTATTCACATTTCTATCATACGGGGGCTAGGCCACTTTTTTTAATAGTGACGTCATAGCGCAGGACCCTCAAACATTGAAAAACCCGACTTTTTTGACTATGAAAATGCGTTTTCTGGATGATTTTTTGGACCTTTGTTAGGTAAGTTTTATCACTGAAAAATTCTGAAAATGCTAATTTTTTATTCCAGTTTCGTCATAGAGAACAGATTGTTCTATTAAAGTTGAAAAATCAATCTGGAAATCACTTTGAGCCAAGTTATGGACCCAATTTTGCGCTAGGCTCGAAATGTATTGTCACACTTAGAACGTCTAATTTCCTCCAAGTTGCGCCCGACTCGAATCGACTTGCGCTTTTTCGCATCAAAAATCGTTTGAGTGATTCCAAGTGCCTTGCAATGCACAAAAAATATATCTAACTCACTTTAAAAAGTCCAAGAGTGTACTGTTCCCTTGAGTCATGATCAATCTCTCATCCAAATCTGCAAAAACGTTCCAGCGACTGCGGCCACGTGATCGGAATGTACAGTCCTGTAGATCGCTTTTTTCTAATTCTATTTTTTTCGATAACTCACACGATTCGCTGGAACTTGCCAATAGGAAGCCTCGAAAAGATCGTTTTCCACTAAGTATTGGACCTGGAATGACTCTGATTTTGAAGGAAATGGCCGCATTTGGAATGGCTCAAGTGCGACCATACCTCAAGTTCTCCCGTTCTTTGGTAGTAATTCAGCACCCGTTGATCATGGCTATTGATTTTTTGGACGTATATGTAGAATTTAGTAGCTCCCTGGATATTGACACTTGAAAACTGTATTTTGAAGTTTTCTTGATTTTTTTGCTTTTTCTGACGGATTTTCGAAATCTTCATAGGCAAAGTCGGCAAGGGTGGAAAAGGCTCTATAGAAATTTTCCTTTTAGGGCCTTTTTTCTGCCTTTTTTGCTGCCTTTTCGCTGCCATTTTGCGGCTTTTTTTTTTCATTTCCACCATTCCGACTTTGCCCGAGTTTTTAAGTTCTGATAAATATTAAAACTTTTCAGAAATTTTTATGATTCAAAAATACTCTTAAGGTGAACACAAACCTGCATTTTGTAGTGTTCAATAAGCTCGATTAACATCAGCCATTTCGGCTCATCACCGTAAATTGGAGCCAAGCATACTCCCAACATGTGCTCCGGCTCTAGAAGACTTCATTTTCGAAAAATATTCCCTCAAAAACCTGAAGTAGACGGTTTCGGCACCACGGCCATTGTAAACTCCGGAATTTCGTCTTTTTTCATGGTCACGGTCATTCTCGACGTATTTTCTCGAGGTGGACAGAAAATGGCGAATTGAGGATAAATAAAAGATTTGAAGGGGAGTCCGATTTCGATTCCAGTTAAGGAAAAGTAACGGCAATAGGCTGAGACTCTGAAAAATTAAAAAGTTAAAAAAATTTTTTTATTTTTTTGTTTGTTGAATTAATCTAGAAGAGACCCAGACAGATCGATTTTTTTGTTTTTGCTTCTGGGTCTCTCCAAGTTTTAGTGATCTCTAGATTTTTTTTTTTTTCTAAAAAAATATCGAAAAAAACGATCTTGGGGTAGTTTCTGATCAACATTAAAAAAATAGTGACGTCATCTTTTTTTGATTAAAGCCACTTCCAACTCTCTCAAAAAGCTGAAGCCATTTACATTAAAAAAACTGAATTTATGGAAATTTAGAGAGTATGGGGTTTCAAGAGAGAGAAGAGACATTGACTTGCTGCCTGTCTCCAGGTTTTCCGTTATCTCTAGCTTTTATCAATCAAACTCACCCAATCGGTTTTTCTAACGGTATAACGACAAAAAACCCGTGATCCACTTCAAAAACGGACATCATTTCCAATTTTCCAACTTCTAGGTCCTGAAAAAATATTTTATTTCCTTTCCAAATGATTTTTTTACTCTCTCATCTTTAGTTAAAGAAGTCTCATTCAACATTCTTCGTCTATAAAAGTCGAAAGGATTTTCCTCTGAAAAAGGAATGATTTTTTAAAATAAATCAAACCAACCTGTAACATCCAGGGACTCATAAATTGGCATGAGAGGCTCAATTTTCTCATTTTTCAAACATTTATCATAGTTAAAAATGATTAAGTTAACAACTGCAAATATTAGAAGTAGAAATATGAATCCCTGTTTGAAGATTGATCTGAAAAATATTTTAAAATCAGAACAATGAAAAAAAAAAATTTACCCTTTGCTCTGGTGATTTTCTAAGCCTTTCATAGCCTTATATAGTGGGGAATGATCAATTTGCATCGAATCGACACGGAGGGAAAATGTTGTGAAAATCGCCTCGCAGCCTATTCAAACATAGATGTATGTGACAATTGTTACGGGGTGGCTTTGAGCAGCTGGATCGTGCGGAAAATAATGATTGCAACAGTTTTTTGGATAAAAAGGGGATAAAAGGCATTACTTTGAACTTGGATTGATAACAGGAGGATGTTCACCCTTGGCAGCTTTGACTTAACAGACAACAAGGTAAAAATGACATTTTCAAGAAGTCAGCGTGGTACAATATGTATTATGAATGTTTTTTTCAAAGGCATGAAGTTCCTAACTAAGGAACTATAGTCTGTTCAGATTTTTAATGTCAAGTGCAATGAACGGCTGGCTTGAGCCATCGAAAAAAACAGTCCTGAAACGATAATAGAAGAGACAGTGGCTTGTTGGTGGAGAGCGCAGACAGGCAAAGCTTCTTTGAGTCCCAAGCAGCTTGGGCCAAGCTAGCCGTGAATGAGTTATGTACGAAATTCCCGAAAACTACTTTTTGTTACCGTCCCAAGAACACCTTGCAAAAAAGCTGGGGCGTGGAAGAATTTGGGCCATAAAATAATGTTTTGTGAAAAAAAATTTTCGAAAAAGCCATTCCAAGTGCGACCGAAGAGTTCGGTTGGCTTTTGAGAATTTCTTTCAGACTAAAAAAAAGATTCAAAAAAATGTAAAGAATATTTTCTAAAGGGTCAGGTTCAATAAGGAAAAAAAGACAAAATTTAAAATTTCGAATTTTTTTTTAAGTGAAGGGAACTTTGCTCTGCTAGTTGATCCATTCCCATTACGACCATCTGAAAAATGACGTTTCGGTTTTGAAAAAAAAACATTCGGACAAAAATCAACGTGAAATCTCTTCCAGACGCCATCATTTCGCACTCATCTTCTGTCGCCAAAGAGTCAGTTCTCATTTTCAACTCGAGCAATGGTCTACGTGGAGAGCGCCTATCTGGATGAGAAGCCGAGGGAAGCTGCTCCAGCTCCTCCTCCGGCCGAGGAGCAGCAAGCCCCTGAGGTCATTCTTCAGGTTGGGAGCTGGGAAGTCAATAGAGGTTTTGACGATTGGTTCAGAACATTGTGGCAGAGCTGCCCAATCTGACGCCGCATCAGCTCGACGAGGCCATCGACTTGTACCGTCAGCATCATACGCCTCAGAAGCAGCAGCAGTACCGAAATGAGCAGCACCAGTACCGACAGGAGCCGCAGCAGTACCGACAGGAGCAGCAGCACTATCGACAGAAGCCGCAGCAGCACCGACAGGAGTCCCAGCAGTACCGACAGGAGCCCCAGCAGTATCGACAGAAGCCGCAGCAGCACCGACAGGAGTCCCAGCAGTACCGACAGGAGCCCCAGCAGTATCGGCAGGAGCCGCAGCAGTACCGACAGGAGCCTCAGCAGCACCGACAGGAGCCCCAGCACTACCGACAGGAGCCGCAGCAGTACCAACAGCGAGCTCCTCGTGAGTACTGATAAAATCCTTGGTCATATATGGTCAGACCTTTTACAAGACCCCTCCTCCAGAATTTTATAAACTACCTTCCTAAGGTATCATTATGGCCAAAAATACCGCCCTGAAATTGAAACTTGATTTTATTCCAAATTTCCCGAAATTTTTGTAAGCCAACTCCTTCTCCTGGGCTGAATAAGCTCTGAACTTAGTTGAAGTTAAGGAGCTGTAGATGTCATTCTTGAGCTTCCAGGATGATGAACCAGTTTAGAGGAATTTTAAGGCACCACTTTAGGGGTGAAGACTTTTAGTGAGTCCTCTAGAGGTTTCTTTCTATAAAGTTTGAAACGAACTAATAATTTTTGTTTTTACTCAAAACTTCTAAGTTCCTAGTGTTCCCTGTAGTGATTAGAAGGTTCATAAAAACAGGTTTTTCTTATCTACAAGACTATTGATTTGATTTATCACCAGTTTTCTGCTTTTGGGGTTTTTTCAAAGGGTTTTTTTTTTTGGACTTAACTAGGGTCTATAGAACACTGAGAAGTTCAAAACCTGTCATAAACTTACAGATGAGGTTCAATCGGAATACTACGACTTTGACGAGAACATTCCGGCCATGTACAGAGAGCAGAAGCGCGCCGCCGCCTACGCCGCAAGGAACAGCCCTTCAGTGGCCCCTCCAGCCGTCCAGAACGACTTGGTGACGTCATTCGATCGAAGGAATGAGCAGCAGCGTGGAGCTACTCCAGCTCCATCGATTCCCAACCAGCAGCACCGTCTTCAGAGCGGCAGCACTGAGCAACACCAAGAAGCTTCTGGGTACAATTTTTAGAGATTGGAAAAAATAGCCAATGATTAACTAGTAGAAAGAGGACCCCGAAATGATTTCAGAATCGGAAACCTAGAGCAGTCCCTTCACACCAACTGCCGCAACTACTTTGCCCCGCCAAAAGCCCTCAAAAACTTTTACGCCAACATGGCCCGTGTCGCCGAAGTCGCCGGCGTTGATGTAAGTGGTCAGCAAAAAAGTTTCGACCACGGCAGGATTCGAACCTGCAATCTTCTGCTCCGTAGGCAGACGCGTTATCCATTGCGCCACGCGGCCGGTTGCTTTGGCAGCTGGCGGCGCGCACTGTCATACTGACGGCGGCATGGGTTACAGAACATGGCCAGCGCCGAGTCGACGTACATCTTTGATACTTCGGAAGCGGAGAAGAATCTCGTTTCCGGACAGCAGTACACCCAGGACTATAAAACTCTTCGTGAGCCGATTTTTCATGATTTAGGGGAAAATTTAGTTTTTTTTAGAGTATATCCCTGGATTTTCGCCTCCAGATGAGAACCGCGAGCTTCAGAGGGCTGATGTTGTCGTGAGTTTCTTAGGGCTTGAAAATTGTTTTATTTAGCTATTTTTTTTCTGTTCGAAATACTGCTGGATGTGTAGAAAATCATGAAGTAGTTTTTGAAAAAGTTCTCGAAAAAAGTCGTTTTCTGAACTTTTTTTAGGAGCTCAACCCCTATAGGGACCACTAAAAGCTTGTAAAAGTGGTCCCTAGAGGGAAAATTGCCAGTCAATAAATTTTAGGAACAATATAAGAAGAAGCATTTCCATGCGAAAAACCTAATTAATAAGCGTTTTTTGAAATTGAGAGACCCATATAGGGATCACTTAAGCTTTAGGGGCTAACGGGTCAGACCCTAAACCCTATAGGAACCACTTTTTCGGCCCCTATACGGGCTGTTTTACCTCCAAGCCCCTCTAGGGGTCACTCTGAAATTCCTAAGATTCAAATTATTTTTTTCAGTTGTATTTTCGGTTTTCTTTAACTGAAATCTCCGTTTCAGTCGCCAAATGGCGACCAACGATCCCCTGTAGTGGCCACTGAGAACGTCTATCGCATCGTCGGCGCGGTTCCTCAACTCCAGCAGCAATTCAACGCTGCTGAACACGCTGAGTACTTCCAGCAGCGACGCGAGAACCCGGCGCAGGTCGAGACACAGTCGGAAGGACGTGGAGAAGAAGCGACGGAGAGCTCGACCGAGCAGGCCTCCGACGAGAAGACTACCACCGAGGCGGTATATTTTTTCTTGATTTTCGAAAATCTGTTTGAAAATCATTGATGGTCGTTTGAAGGAGCATACACTATATATAACTTTTTGAAACTTTTTTTAGATTTTTTTATATTTTAGGTTATGAAAAAGCTTTCAATATTTATGGGAGTGTTTGAGAAATGAAAACCTGAAATTTTATTCAAAGCGCATATTTCTCCGATTTTTCCATTCTGAAATGAATAGTTTAAGATGTCGGAATACGTCGGTTTCACAAACGAGGAAACTTTTGCCACCGCCCAGCCGGTGAGAAAAGAAGCTCATCCAACTGGCGATTCTTCTCGCGAATCTCGTTAGTTTTTTTTCTCGAATTCTATGGTGAATTTTCCGGCACCGGCTCACACTACACTTCCCGCTTCCGTAGCACCATTTCCTCGCAGGAAACTTCCTGCGAAACTGCTCAGGTCTTGAAAAGAAAAATTTGTATGAAAATGTGAATTTAGCTCGGCCCCAGCAAGTTTTCGAATCTTCCTTCACGTGCTATCGGTCAACACGCTTCTCCCAATGCTAGAAGTGCACAGGTATCTTGAATTTTATTGGCCTTCTTAATCTTTTTAAAGGAATCATATTTAAAAAAATGTTCATTGACCTTTAACAATCGCTCCTAAAACGAACTTTCAGCCGCGTTTTAAAATTATTTTCTCCTTCTGCAATGAAAATTCAAAGAAAGTTGAAAAAAATATCAAAAAGAACAAAATTACAGGCCGGTCGCAACGTTGGCGGCTACGCTTTCCAGCCGGTCGACCAGTTGGGTCCCTCGGAATATCAAATGGCCGACCTCAACGAGCTCTCCTCCCTGCTCGAAGCCAGAAACGGATGACTTTTATGCTTTTTTAATAAATTTTTTTCGTGAATGTACATTTTTGAACTTTTTGTTCGTGTAAACTTTTACGCCTGTGTTTGCAGCCAAACGCTATACCTTACGACTAATAGGAAAATTTTTCAGTTTTGAGTTTTTTGTTATTTTTCCGGTTATGCAATGTTTTTCCTTGTTTTTAGGCTTCTTTGAAGTTTTCTAGTGTAATAGACGACAATATTCAGGTGTTTGCGTATTCTGAAGAGTTTTTAAAAGTCCTTTTGAAAGCCTTTGGAAATTTTCTTGAAAAAACTCATTTTAATTCAGGCGAAATGGTCTTTCTTTCGATTTTTTGCTCTCTTCTCTTTTTGAAATTTCTTTTTAATACTTCAAACAAGTACTTTTAAAAAAACCCGAGAGAAAGAATTTTCAAGCCTTTTTTTCAGGTTCTTCTTATTTCTTTATTTTTTTCATTTAGTTAAAAAAATTCTCAATGATTTCTAATTTTCCAGTGTCATAAATATGGCCGACGAATCGACGGTCATCGATTTATTCCCCGTGGAAACGGAGATATTAGACGATGGCGGAGAAAAACAGCCGGACTTGTGATATTTGTAATAAACAGTATGTTTTTTTGATTTTTCATTTTAAAAATTATAAAATTTTTTTGAAGATTTGCCAACACATCTGCCTGTCGACTTCATCGGGTGAAATCGCATCGGATGGTGGACGATATTACGGATAAGAGATTATTTGATAGGACCAGTGAGAAAGGTTGTAATTTTTTTTTCAAAAAAATAGACGGAAAAATAAAATTTGTTTTTAGCTAGATTAATTTATCACTGTCCCAACGAGAAATGTCTGGAAAGGGCGGTGAAATTCGAAGGGATGCGAAATCTACGGCAACATTATGTTCGGGTTGGTTTTACAATAAATTTTTATGATTTTTGCAACGTTGAACTTTTTTTTTTGTAAATTTTCTATTTTTTGAAAGATGTTTTATGAAATTTTGATCATTTTTTTTTTTAGTTTTTTCGATGAAAATATGTATCATTTTTGACAGGAAATTAATTTTTTAAAGTTTGAACTGATGAATTTTCAATTTTGCATATTTTTTAAACTTTCCTTGACAGTTTATACTATTTCTTATACTATCAGAGTTGATTTTTTTATAGGATTATTTAGAGAAATGTTTAACTTTTGTCATTTTTTTTGAACTTTTTTTATCAATTTATATATTTTTTCTTATACTATCAGAGCTGATTTTTTTCTAGGATCGTTTAAAGAATTTTTAAACTTTGCTATTTTATGTCAACTCCAATAATTTTAATCAAAATGAAGCCTGAAATTTTTCCTAAATCAAAAGAAAGAAATAACCTATTTTGTTCATTTTTATAAGTTAAAAATTTTCATAATTATGTGGGGAAATATCAAAGTTTGTTTTCCTTTTTTTTCATCGATTACTTTAATTTTGATCATTTTTAAGCTGTTTTGACAGTTTATACTTTTTCTAACACCAGAGTAAATTTTTCTAGGATCATTTAGAGAATTTTAAACATTGCTCTTTTTGATAAACTCTCTTAAATATTAACCAGGATGGAATCTGGACTTTGTTTACCTAATTTAAAGTGTGTTTCTTTTTTTTTTGACCTTTTTTTTTTGAATCTTTTTGACGTTATTTCAATCAATATGAATCCTTTTGACGTTATTTCAGTCAATTTCAATTCTTTCGACTTTATTTAAGTCAAGTTCAATCCTTTTGACGTCATTTTTCAAGGTTCATACGGAGAAGAAGCACACCTGTGAATGTGGATATCGAACGGCGCTGCAAAAAGATTTCATTTACCATCAACGGGTCCGATGTCAACTTTTGAAGCTTCAAGCCACGGATGGTTTGTTTCTTTCGCCACTAGTTTATGGTAAAATGAATGAAGTTTTGTGGAGATGTTTTTTTTTTTCACGGAAAAAAATATTTAAATAATGGTTATGCTAGGAAATTTGTTGAAAATCAATATTTTTTTCTTTGAAAAATGAAGCAAGGAGTTCAGTCATTTCAAATACAAGAATTCGTCCTTATAAATGTTTTTTTTGTTTGAATAGTCGTTAGTTTTTTTAGAAAAATTAGGAGCATAAATTAAATACTGTTACAGTAGTTATAGATACTGTAATTACTTCTGATTTTTTTCTTTTTAAAAAAATGAAGCTTTTTTTATTTTTTTGAGGGATTTTTGAAGTTTCTCACTAATTTACTAACGTTCTTGGGTCAGGTTGGACAGTTCTATCTTCTCCCTAAGTTCAGTTAAGTCCATAGGCAAAATCGGAAAGGGTGGAAAAAGTCTCCATAAATGTTCCTTTTTTGCTGCCTTTTTGCGCCATTTCATCGGCTTTTATGCACCATTTTTGCTGTCTCTCCCCTTTTCCACCATTTCTAGAGCCTTTAAAATCCCAGAGAAAATGGAAGGCTCGATAAAGAGACTTTTTTTGCTACCTTTCTGAGGCCTTTTTGGTGCCTTTCTGCGGCCATTTTGTTGCCTTTCTGCGGCCTTTTTGTTGCCTTTCTGCGGCCATTTTTGAGCCTCTCCTTTTTAGAACCCATCATCCACCATTCCGACTTTGCCTGACTACTAAGTGGTTTCGTGAAGTTCTCTCCAACTTACTACTATTTTTTTGCAAGTGAAAAAGTTCAACCTTCTCTCTAGGTTCAGTCCAGATACAGTTTTTTCTAGGTACTTCTCAACTATCACTTTCATTTTCCTTCAATCTAGCTAGCTAACGGGAAAGAGCGAGGAAAAAAAACATTGAAAAAGCGCGATTAGAACGACCTTGATAGTGAGATATTTCTACGCTGCATTCACAAACCGTGTTGTTTTGTTTCTCTTTGTGTTCGGAAAATTGGAGAGGAACCGGTTTCCCGGTACGATAACTATGTGTTTATACTGTATTTTTGCAGCAAGGTTTCTTTTTTAAATTATGAATTCTGAGTGGAATTTTAATGTTAATTGTTTTCTGATTTTTATTGATCCTATTTTTGAAGCGTGAAAAAGAAAATGAAAAAATTCCACCAGGAACAGATATTTCAAAAAAATTTTTACAATCAAACCAAATTTCAAAGAGAGCCAAAAAAATGTAATTTTTTTGAGACTTCAAGTTCTTTGACATTTTTTTGAGCATTTTTCAGAGCTTTGACCTAAAAAAATATAAGATAAAAAAACGCATTGAAATTTTTTTTAAAAAAAGCCTTAAGAATGAGAAGATGATATTTAATCCACAAGGTTTCTCGAATATTTTCTAGAAAAAGAATTAGAAGAAATTTTCCCCACCTTTTCCATCCCACCAGTGAATCCTAGGAAACTGCGAAACCCATACAATACGTCCACTTTTTTTTCGGTTTGGCTTGTTATTGAAAAAGTTCCCCCCCATTCGCATTTATCGTGGCTGAACATTTTGAAGCGCGAAATTGCGCTCCGAGACCTGTTTCTTTCATTGTCCGGATGGTTGGTTTTACTGATGGATGGTTTTAGGTGGCAGTTGGGATATGCTACTTCATTTGATGGGAAATGGATAAAAAGGTGGATGGGAAGGCTTTGAGAAGGGTTTTTAGTGGAGAAGGTATAGTAAGACTGGAGTAAAAAGGGAGTTTTTTTTGAGTTTGTAAAATCGAAGAACAGATATTTTAAACTATTTCCGACCTTTTTTTCAAATATTTGTAAGGGTTTGAAGGCTTAACATGGGGTTTTAAAATTTTAACATGTTCAAAGAGATTTCAGTAGAAAAAGTTGACATGACGGAGAAAAAAATAAAAGTTTTTCGTAAGCTGGAAAAAAATTGGAATCGATTTATTGATGATTATTTTATCTTAAAAAAATTAACTCACACCAAGTTTGAAAACACAGTTTTCTCAAAAAGTCGCTGAGGCTTCTAATTCTTGGAAAAATTGTAACCGTTTCGCTTTAAATGGAAATTTTTTAAACGGTTATTTGGCTTCTAAGAATCCCAAGTACTCAAAAAAACCTTAAAAAAATCGTCAGAATCTTTGGTCTTTTTGATTTTCAGAAAAAAGTTCAGAAGAGCTTTTCCGATGATAATTTTATATTTTTATCGCTTTACTGTTATGAAAAAATTCAGTTCGGAAAAAATTTTTTTAATCTCAAACTCATAATGTGCTTGTAATTTTTAAAGCCTTTTTTTTCTTAAGCTACAGAAAATTTTTGAAAATAAAAGTCAAATTCATTGGAGAAAAACTAAGATTTGAAGTCCCCACGATTTTCTCCTGATTTGTTTCTTCCACTTGGTAGAAAAAGCTCTATGGCCTCTTTTTTATCGAAGTCCATTTGATCTAGGCAAAAAAATCGAATAGCCACCTGTTGTGACGCAAGATAGCCAGTTTTTCCTTTTGGAACAACCCGGTTTTTGTTGGAATTCGCGAGGAAATGGAGTGTGAAAAAATTCATTTTCTTCGACGGCCAAACAACGATAAAACATTGGCGGGAAGAAGTCGTGGTTTTTATTGGAGATGATGGAATTAGGCGTGCGAGAAGCGACGTCTGTATCCGCTGGCGGCGGCCGGGGTCTCGACGGCGGCGGTACGTGGTGGGCATGGGCAGTAGGCGGCGTCTTGTCCTGTAAATTTCAGACGTTTTGTTTTGAATGAAAAAAGGTATAGTATATACAAGTAAACTCTATTACAAAACGTTAGATAGTCTTACCTGGAAGTCCGACTCCACCAGCGCTTCCGGCCTCTCCTGGAGCTCCGGCGGCTCCGTCCTGTCCTGGGGCTCCAGCTGGTCCGGCTTCACCGTCCTTTCCTGCGGCTCCGTTCTCTCCGGCAGCTCCGTCTTTTCCTGGGGCTCCGGCTGGTCCTTCTGGTCCGGCTGGTCCTGGAGCTCCCGATCCGCGTTGTCCGTTCTTTCCTGCGGCTCCTGGCTGTCCTGGAGCTCCGTCGCTGCCGGCGGCTCCGGCGTCACCAGCTGGTCCAGCTTCTCCGGCGGCTCCGTCTTGTCCTGGCGCTCCTGGGGCTCCTGGCTGTCCGTCGGCTCCGGCTGGTCCAGCTTCTCCGTCAGGTCCGGCTGGTCCTGGCTCTCCAGCTGGGCACTGGATGCAGCCTCCCTTCTGCTTGGTGTCGAAGAGACCGATGCCGTTGGCTCCAGCGCGTCCAGCTTCTCCGTTGGCACCATCTTCTCCGTCGGCTCCTGGGGCTCCTGGAGGTCCGGCTGGTCCAGCTGGGCAGTTGTTGGGCTGAGCTCCGCAGCCGCACTGGCCACCGGAACGCTTGTGACGGCCGAAGAGGGTGTTGGCATCGAGGGCACGGCTTGGGACTGGCACGATCATGTCTTTCCAGGCTTCGTTGGCGGTCATCTGCAAGACGGTTTTTAGTAAAGGTTTTGAGGGGAAAAAAGTTGGAAGTTGAAAATTTGCGCAAAAACTCACTCTGAACTCCTGCATGTCATCCATGACTTCGTCGTAGAGGTTGTTGATGTCCTGGAAGAGGACACCGACCATGACGAGGCAGGCGAGGATGACAACGCCAGAGGCGCCGGAGGCGACCGTCACGAGGAACTTAGCGCTCATACTTTGAGTAGTTTGAGTTTGAACTGCTGGTTGGCATGCCCCAGACCGAGGCTTTTATACGGGAATCGTTTGCGCGCCATTGCGAACCGAGGAGGCGGGGCCGGCCTTGCGCAGGTGTTGTGTAACGATCAGGTATCGCCGCTTCCTCGTTTTTTTTTATCTGAGAATAAAATCTCCGTCCACCCCTAGGTCTTCGAGTGAAAGTTGGTGTTTTTTCATGGGTTTTGGAGAGGTTGAAGTTGCGTTTGAATTTGGAGGAATCCGTTTAGAACAGAGGTTAGAGGAAAATGTTGAGAAACAAGATCCAAGATTGATCCTTGGAAGTTTTCAATGCTTCACGATTTTTGGAAGATCGTCGATTTTTCGTAGAAGTTCATTCGAGCTTAGCTTGAGACAATGTTCAATGGATGCTTTCAAATTTTACTTTTTGTGGTCTTGAGTGAACTTTTTAAGCTTGTCGCGACGTGAGGATATTTTACCAAGGGAGATTTTTTGCGTACGGATTTTTTTTCGGTATCCATGCTTTCGAGAACATTGTCAGCTTCAAATAAAGGCTCAAATCTTTCAAAACGCTTTTCGAGCCTTTACAAAGAAGGTCATTTTACTTTGCGGTTGGCATTTTTTTGAAAATTGGTCAGGGCACTCTTTGATTCACCAGATGAAGATTCTAAGAGTCTAAACCTGCACAACTTCATAATTTTTGAAGCAGGACACCTCAAAGTCAAAGAAAACCTTTAAAATCCTTCGAAATTTGCTATTTTTGAGCTTTGAGACAGTATTTCTCAGAAACTAAAAGGTTGTGCAGGTTAAGACTTCATTTGTTACACCAAGGAACTTTCTGGGCGAGTTTTAGAAAATTCCCAACCGCAAAGTAAAATGACCTTTCTAGTTATCTGTCAAGCATTGATTTAAACTTCTGCTGGCTCTCGAAAAGCTCAGAAAGAAAAATTTGGTCCGATTCCGGGTGTCACCTTAACAACAACTTGACACCACACGCCAAGGTCATTTACACACTTACATTTGGAAGCTTCTCCGTTTCATTCGTCACACACACCGTTTTGAGACAACGAGACACGGGTTGTAATGGAAAACGGGGGGCCGGTGGTTACGTAATACGCGTTTTTCAACGTCTGGTTCGATTTGACAGATTTGCCACCGGGTGTTTGGATGCCACCTTGTTGCAGTTTTCTTAGGAAATCCGCCAAGATCGGTGTAGTGTGGAACCATTTTTCCCCCTGGCCTCTTCTCGTCTGTGAAGGTTTTTGAGAGGAATGAGTGGGATTGGAGGAATGTCGTTGGAACAAGTGTTAAGCTCGAAAATTGCCTTTTTAAACAAAAATAATTTTTTACTTGATAGAAGATTACGTGAGTATGGTAATAAATAAATTATTGAATGGTGGGCATCAAAATTTGGTTTGAATCTTTGATAGAAGAGTTTTTTTAGAGCATGCTAGGTCCATTAAGTCTACTAGAATCTTTAGAAGATTTTTAAAATTGAAAAAAATTTTTTTTGAAAGCTCACGCTCTTTATTGAATATCCAACTTTTGGCAGTACATTTTTTGCTGGTCTATTCATGATTTTTGAGATACTTTATTGACTTTTGAAGTTCTCTAAAAATCATTTTACCATACAGAATCAGGAGTTTCGAAAAGTTGAAAACTTCTTAGAAAAATCAGAAAAGTACGAAAAAAATAAAAAAACAATTTCAGCTTTTTCAATTTTTTTGAAGACTTTCACATAATTTAACAATACTGCCAAAGTCGGAAGTGCGGAAAACGGGTGCAAAAAGGCTGCTAAAAGGGTTCCGTTTTGCGGCCTATATTGAGCCTTTTTTCTTGGTGGACTGACAAATGGCCCCTAAAAGGGCTCGGCCTTTATTGAGCCTCTTTTTATTGGTTGGCTAAAAAGCCTCAAAGAAAGGTGAAAAAAGATTAGGGTGCAAAAAAGGGTGCTGAGAGGTTCGGCCATTGATGAATTCCGATTTTATTACGGTAGCACGTTTTGGTTCATACACAGTCACTGGTGAAGATTTTTCTCAATTTAATAAATAGTGTGACAAAAGGGTCTAAAAAGGGTGGATAAAGGCCGATGAAAGGAAGGAAAAAGGCAGCGAAACGGAAATCGTTGCCAGCTTTTTGGAAACCTTTGCATCCATAACGGACGCTCAAAGAGCCCGTAAAGGGTCCTCCTGAATCTGCTTATGAGAGAGTTTTTATTAGGCTCAACTTTTTCGAAAAATAAAAAATTTAAAAATAGCCAACCATTGCTTTTGATAATGTTTCTCGGCTTTTTTCCGGTTCTTATAGTCCAATTTTCTAAATGATTTTTTTCCGAATTCCTATCGCATTTTTATTATTTCAGATCCCGACGGGAAGCCGAGCCGGCCACACCTCAAGCGGAAAAAGAAGATCAACGGCGAAGATGAGACGCCGAAATTGGCCGCCACTTTTGCCCTGCCGCCAATGGAAAGTCTCCAGAATGGGTTTTTCAGAAAAGGGGAAAAAAGTATGGAACTAGACTTTTCATAGAAAAAAGATGGTGGTCCAGCCGATTTTCCTGATCGTTCCGGCGCCGGACGTCGCCTCCGTCGTGGAGAGCATTGCCGAGTGGGTGTGAATTTGAAAGGAAAATTCAGAACGGATACCCTTTTTTTCTCGATTATCGCTTCCAGAGCTCTTTGAGAGCTTTAGGAACTTGTTTTAGGAGTAAAATCCGATGAAATTTATTTCAAAAAAAAAAATTTTTTTTTGATCAGGACTATGGTCATAACGGTAGCTAGTCCGATTTTTCTATATTTTTTTAATTTTCATTATTTTCTTTTTAATTTTTATTTTTTTGTAGTTCTGGTTTTTGGTTATAAGAACAGGTCTCTTTAAAAAAATCTGCCTGTTGTTTTTTTTTCTTTAGTTAGAACTTAAGTTCGAGTTTTTGATAACCTTTGTTGGTTTTGAAGTTTTTGATGGAGTTAGGTTCCTGGCTGTAACTTATTAGGTAAACAAGCTAATGAACTGGTTTTTGCCTTTTATTGAACTGGGCCCGTCGGAAACAACTGTGGAAAGTTTGACAATAATTGAACAACTTATAAAAAAAGTTATGACGAAAAAAAGGGAAATTATATGTCCTATTGCACGGTAGTGTGTATTTTTTGTTTGTAGTTTTGATTTTTAGTTAAAAGAACAGTTTTTCAAGATGTGTCCTTTTTTCAGTTAGAACTGAAGTTCGAGTTTTTGAAAATACTTGTTGGTTTTGAAGTTTTTGTTGAAGTTAGGTTTCTGGCTGTAACTTTCTTGGAAAATGAGCTAATGAACTGATTTTTTGGTATTGAAAAAAATGGACCTGTGGGAAACAACTGTAGAAAATTTAACGATAATTGAACAATTCATGAAAAAGTTATGACGAATAAAGTGAAATTGTATGTCCTACTGCACGGTAGTATGTGTTTTTTGTTTGTAGTTTTGATTTTTGGTTAGAAGAACAGTTTTTCAAGATGTCCCTTTTTTTTTTTAGTAAGAACTGAAGTTCGAGTTTTTGATAACTTCTTTTGGTTTTGATCATTTTCCTAGAAAGTTCTGGCTGTAACTTTCTAGGAAAATGAGCTAAGGAACTGATTTTTTGGCCTTATTAAACTGGGCCCTTAGGAAACAGCTGTGGGAAGTTTGACATGAATTGAACAACTCATGAAAAAGTTATGACGAATAAAGTGAAATTGTATGTCCTACTGCACATTTTTGTTTGTAGTTTTTATTTTTGAATGAAAAAAGTCTGATTTTCGGGTAGAAGAACAGTTTCCTGAGAAAAGATCTATGCCTCTTCGAAATGTGCCTTTTTTTAAATTTAAAACTGGAGTTCAAGTTTTTTACCAGTTTATATTTTCATTAATGAAATCACTAGTAAATTCAAAAATTTAGGTCTCTGGGTAACAAAAACGAAGTGGCCATCCGAACTTGTGCTGCTGGAACGATGGTTACTAGAATCTCTTCTACCGATTCTCCAAGATTGGACAACAACTCGCCGAATCTCAATAATTTGAGAAGCCTTCTGGATGGGGTTTATTATTTTCTAGAGTGTACTAAATTTTGTGTTCTCATTGCCTAGAATTGAACAAAAAGGACAATTTGAAAAACATTTTCGAGAAAGTTTTGATTTTCGGTTGGAGAGAACGTCGAGTTATGATTTTTTTAAACTTTAGAAGGATCATTTGACAAAAACTGAAAAATCGGTTTTTCGGTCTCAGGTCTCATTAAATCAAATTTATGGGGGGCTAAGCCTAAGCCTAAGCCTATGTTTTATTCTAGAATTCCCCCAGAGTTCTAAGACGATTATAAAAAGCCTAGGCAATCTTCGAGAATCGCCCCTACCTAACTTTGGAACAAGCATTGCAAGCCTTGTCCAGATCAGACACATCCACATTTCAGAGTCGCCCCCCCACCATTCCAGAACAAACAAAAGATGAAATTTGATGGGGAACTCGTTTGGACGGGGCTGTGTGGGGCTGATTTTTTTGAACTTTATGAAAAAAATTTTTTTCTTTGCAAAAATATTGGGGTTTTTGAGGTCTTTATATCATTCTACATGGAAGTTGACACGTGTGAAACTTAGAACAGTTTATTTTTCTAAATTTTGTACACTTTTGAATTTTAATTCGATTCAGCTGTTCTTTTTTTTCCGGTGGAACAAAACGACCTTCATCGAAGTGAGCCCTATTCCTACAACCACCCGTCCACTTCGACAATTTGCGAGAACGGCCAAGTCATGCAAAACCAAAATGACCAGCAATCAAATTACTATTATCCTGAGGTAAACGGTCGTATTTTAAAGACGTCCGGAAATTTTCATATTTCTAGAACGCGCGAGAAGAGAGAGGCACAGCAATGGATCAAATTCTGGGTTTTCCTGAAGATTTTTATTTTAAGAATTATATTTTTCAGATGACTGTAACATGTACTGTACCTACGATCAGTACGATATGAATTCGGTGGGCGATATGAAGTTTATAAAAATTCAGTATTATTGATTGAAAGTATCGATTTTTAGACCTAATATCCGACCGACAACGGCTGATTTTGGCAATAATTACGTTTCTGAGGGTCCTCAGACCAGGAATTTCGGGACTACGATGTTTGATTGGTATGTGTGCTCCATGGGGAAGGATTACGGTAGTGAAAATTAAGAAGTTTTATCTTGGGAATATGATACTTTTTTTGATACTTTGATGGTCCATCTTCGCTGATGTTCTCAGCGTGGACCACACGTTCTCCAGGCGGCTCGGTCTTGCGCGACGGTCATCCAGTGGCGGCCTGGCTGACTGATGTTCTTGCGGAAGTAGTCCGTCCATCTGGTCGGTGGGCGCCCGAGTGGGCGCTTGATGTTTCTCGGAATCCAGTGTGTTAATCTCGTGGACCAGCGGTCGTCTTGTCTGCGGATGACGTGGCCGCCCCAACGATGTTTCCCGCGTTGTATGTGCTCTTCTAGATCCCGGATTTGGGATAGTTGACGGAGGTCTGTGCTCCTCTGTTCTTTTTTCCACTGCTCGAAGCGAGTGGTGCCGATGAGAGCACGTTCCAGTGCGCGGTAGGAAGTTCGTAGGGCGGTTGCATTTTTTTCTTCGTGTCAGGCCAAACTTCGGTACCGTAGGAGATGGCAGGGATTATCGACGCTTCGAAGATGTGAGCTCGCAGTTTCGGGTCTTTCAGCTGACTGGTGACTTCTTTGATGGAGTTGAAGGCGGCCCATCCAGCGCGTTTGCGTCTGCCGATCTCTGCTTGCAGGTCGTTCACCATGTTTACTTCCCGGCCAAGGTAGATGTAGGATGTGACCTCCTGAAGGTCGCGGCCCTCAAGGGTGACTTTGCCTTGGTCGCAGAAGCGGTTCTTCATCCACTGCGTCTTCTTGACGTTCATCTTAAGGCCGATCTTCTTGCCGACTTCGTCCAGATCGTTCAGCATAGAGGAAAGTTCGGTGGTGGAGCTTGAGAAGAGTACGATGTCGTCGGCGAAGCGGAGGTTTGAGAGGACCTTGCCGTCGATGTTGATGCCTCTGATGTCTGTACTGTCTTCCCAGTCGTGCTCTTCGTCCCATCCAAGTTGGCGCATCGCGTCTTCTAGTGCCGTGGAGAACAACTTGGGGGAGATGGTATCTCCCTGGCGAACACCTTTCCTGATGGGGATCGAAAGCTTCTTGTCGAACAGCTGGATGGTCGTGTACGTTCCCTCGTTGCTGTTGGCGATCAGCTCGACGTACTTCGTGGCGACTCCGGCGGAGGCAAGAGCATTCAAGACGGCGTTGATCTCCACGCTGTCGAATGCCTTGTAGTAGTCGACGAAGGCCAACGCAAGTGGCATCTGGTGCTCCCGGTGCCGTTCCACCACCTGGGTCAAGGCGTGGATGTGGTCGAGGCAAGAGTAGTTGCGTCGGAAGCCAGCCTGCGAAGGCGGTTGGAAGTTGTCGAGTTGCTTCTCTAGTCTGTTGACGATGACCTTGGTGAACAACCTGTAGACGACCGATAAGAGGGAGATCGGTCTGAAGTTGTTCAGGTCGGTGAGGTCGCCCTTCTTCGGAATGAGGATCGTCTTGGACGTTTTCCATTGTTCAGGAATAGAGGCTTCGCTCAGGTACTTGGAGAAGTGCCGGGCAAGTAGTCGGTACAGCGAGTCTCCTCCAGCCTTCAGCAGTTCGGATGAGATGTTGTCGGGTCCTGCGGCCGTTCCGACCTTCAGCTTCCTGATGGCGTACTTGACTTCTTCGGGAAGGATCGGGGGTTCATCTTCTGGTGGCGGCGTTGGTGATCTGGGGACGGGAACTAAAAAGGGGATGACTATGGTTTTTTGTCTGAGCTAGATGAGTAGGTTGAGGAAAAGAGTCAAATTGGAGTCCTACTGAATTTCTCTTGATTTGAGAAAATGTAGAAACTGACTCTTTTCGTTGCCGCTCCCTGCTTAGCGGTGTTGTTGCCTGCCACGCGGGTCTTCCTGAGTGAGCGTTGAGTGCGGGTCGGACAGCGATCCGTTCAACCTCAAACTTGGGTAATTAAACCTTTATCATAAATATTCCGCGAACAAATTATAACGATAAAGTAATAAATTCAAATAAACAATAAGAATGAGTAAAAAAATGAAAAAAAGAATGAAAGGTTAAATGGTTTGAGGGAACGACGTGGCTGGCTAGACAGGTAATGGAATGGCTCCTAATGGACCTTTCCCCTGGCGAGCCAGCCACGTCATCCTCTGAGTGGCGGGGAGGCATCTACCTTTGAGTCGGTGTCGACACTCCCCGCCTGAGATGAGTTGAGATGAATTATTATGAATTAGGAGATGAATTTGGATGGATGAGGAATGAAGTTAGCATTGCATTTTAAAATGAAAAATATGAGTGAAAAAGTATGAACGGAAAAGAGACAAAAAATGAGAAAATTAAATGAATAAAATGAGGAAAAAAATGAACACAAAAAATTGCTTTTCCGCTTTCCTTAGCGTTGTTCTCTGAGTTTTATGAGTGGTCGTCGTCCGACGGTTCCCGCCTCGGATTGAATGCTTGTTGAGGTTGCGTTGATTTTTGTGGTTGGGTGACTGTTTTGATTGTTGGTATGATGGAGTTTATGGATCTCGAATGAATGAAGTGAAGAAAATGTTGACAAATATGTGTAGAAGGCGCTTTGGAGTGAATTTTTAGACCATATGACGTGGCATTTTTTCGTGTCCGGAATGTCTTCGGCGCCACCCAAAAAAATGACACATGATGGTTGCTGGTTTGACTAGAGTGACGTTGACTATAATTTTTAGACTCCATAGGATGATCTGGAACCCAAGAAAGCCAGTTTTAGCCATTTTCCTCACTAGTCCTGGAAGAAGTGGTATGATAAAGATGTATGAAATCGCCAGGGCTGCTAGAATGGCAATGAGTGTGATCATCGTAGTTTTAATCCACGTCTGATAAACTTCCATGATATGCATGAAGTCTGGCCATGTGATTTCGTTGAGATTGATCTTTTCTCCTTTTAAAAGCGCTTGGACTGTCTGAAGAGGAGATCCTGTGAATTTTAGGACACCAATTACTTCAAACTGATTGATGTTTTTTCCTCCACATTGAATTGTGCAGTTTTCTTGAAAATGAGCTTGATCGACGTAGAATCGAATCTGTGTTGTTGAGCCTGTTTTTGAACAGGGAACTGTAAATGCCGTTTCCGAGCATTTGATTTCGCCCATTAGTTGCTTGGTTTCTGAGAAACAGGTGACCATTGTTTCTGCTCCTTTTTTGCATCCATAACATCCCGAAACGTGAGTGGTTTCAATCTGACAGTTGTCTTCATGTCTGATGATCGTGACGTCGATTTTTTCCGTCGTTCTTAATGTTATTTCGGTTGTGGTTGCTGAGTCGAAGTACAGTTTCGGTCCTTTCTTCGCTGACTTCATTGTCCAGCTCGGAGTGTTGATTGGAAGTTGGTTTCCAAATGAGCTCATATGGGCTGAAATGTTGAGATTTTTGCAAGTGCAACGCATGATTGTCTCTGCAGGTGAACATCTGCAATTTTCAATGAGTGTGCAGTTCATGTTTTCTGCGGCTAGCCAGTCTCTGCACCTGAGGTCGGGCCATTTCTCCTGCGGCCAAGTCGCGATGCTTTGATCGGTTTGTATGAACCAGGAGTTCGTGAGTGGCACGTTTGGAGTATGCAGGGAACTGAGAGTTATTTTGGCATGGCGAGTAAGTACTTCAATGTTTGGACGAAGTACTAGTACTGTTGATGTGGACGCTGGCTTGTAGGAGTTGATTTCTGTCGTTGTCCATTTCACGAAGAGTTTTTCTTTCCACTCTGAGCAGCGGAACAGAGTGTGAATTTTATTGTTGACTGGTTTCATGTAGATCCTGTAGAAAAGGCATCCGGAACTGAGATAAAAACAGTCGCAACCTGGTCCTCCGCATGATTCGGAGCATCCAGTTATTCCAGTGAAGTTGTTGACTTGTGCAAGTTCTGGAATCAATGATTGTCTGGTTATGTTGCTGCATTTTTCTCCAGAACAAGAGCCCATTCTGGGACACCTTTTCACACTCAGAACGTTGTATTCGGCTTCTCTCGTGAATGTGAGTACTTCTTTGGAGCACTCTAGCGTCAAATTCAGCCATTCTGCTCTGACTTCTCTCAGGGTCGTGTTGTCGTGAGTTATTTGAAGACAAGCTTCTCGTTTGAATGGATTCAAATGGAAAACTTCTTCTAGTTGAACTTCGCAGTCGTTTCCGTTGCAGATCTTCGAATGATGGGACATGACATCGATTTCTTGACAGGCCTGATTTCCTGCAATCAATGCCATCAGAAGTAGTGAAGTCGTAGAGGTCGAGATGTCTTTCCACATTCTTGTTCTGGTGTTTGAACGTCTTTTCTCTTTTTTCCAGCATCTGAAGAGAGTCTCGTAGACGACCTTTGTCATGAATTTTAGGACACTCCAGATTCCTTTCGCTATGAGAGTAGCTATCCATTTTATTCCTCTGAGTGAGCAAACCAATGGAGCTCCAAAGCGGATTGGGACCCAGAAGAGGCAGTATATGAAACTGATGATCCCGTAGATGACAATGCCGGCTCCCAAAATGGCCAATGTTGGAGAACATTCTGGATTCGCTAGGTTGTCCATGCAAAGGGTGCAATCCAATGATTTGCAGAATGGTTTGGCTTCGCAGTCCATTTCGGCTGTCTGAATTAGTTTCCCATCTGTTCCTTTCAGCTTGACTGTGTGACGATGAAGTTGTACTGACGCTGGAATCCATATTTCAGTGTCGCCTCTGGTGGAGTAGTGTGTTGAACAATGTGATTCTGCGCACACTTCCATTTTCAAAAACGTGTGGTTTTGAATTCTGACTCCGTCTGCGGTACATTTCCAGCTCCAACTTGATGAATTTGATGGAAGTACTGGGCTGGCACTGGCTAATGTGACACAAAGAAGAAGTGAGACTTGAAAAATTGCTGAACTGAGCGCGAAAGATGACCTTCTTGATCCGTTTTGCCTGGGATCTGGTTCTGTGGGTTCAGCTTCAATCTCGTTCTCTGAGTCTGAGTCTTCTTTGTATTTGACTGATGTTTTTGGTCGAAGGTTGTATCTTCTCTGGACGTGAATTTCTTCTTTGTCTGAAGTGTCTTCCTTGGTCCTTCGATTGATGTCCTGATCGTTGTGTAGGACTTTTGATTTGGCTGTTGGTTCTCTTGGGTCGGAAAGTTCCATGGGCACCAATAAATTGATTGGTCTGCGGACTGTCCTTTTCGTAGGAAGTAGGACTTCCACTTCTCGTACTGCTCCTGTCTTGCTTGTTTGAAGTTTGGTGATTCGACCGGTTTTCCAGTTGTTCCTCGTCTGGTTCGGGTCTACCAATAAAACGACATCCCCTTCTTCAGGGGTCTGCGTAGATCTGGAGTTTCCAATTTGTTGTTGATGATGTTCTCTCAGATTTGTCAGGTATTGAGTCTGCCAAATGTTCCAGAATTTTTCTGTTGCTTCGTGTGAGTACTGTAGCGCTGCCACCGCTTGTGTTCTTGTTCGAAGTTGGGAAGCTTCTTCTGGAGGTAAGTATGCTGCATCTGAGTCGGCATTGGAATCTTCCCATGGGAATTTGATCTCCAAATCCTTCTGTAGAAAGTCGATTGGTCTGAGTATTGGGGATGATTCCCATTTCGACTCCAAGTAGGTGAGCGGACGAGTGTTTAGTGTTCCCGCAATTTCGATGAGAACTGTTGCCAATTGATCAAAGTTCAATGTCTTGTTTCGCAGTGATTTGTACAAGGAAAGTTTCACTGATCTGATGAGTCTTTCGTAGAATCCTCCTTGCCACGGAGAATACGGCGTTATGAATTTCCATCGGATTCCTTCTCTTTCGATAAGGTTTTGAATGATATCATCTCTCGTTGCACTTTTGACTGCGTCTTGAATGATTTGTTCTCCCAGAGAAAACGTTGGTGCGTTGTCCGAGACAATGGAGTGTGGTACTCCGTGTCTGGAGAAGAATCTTCTGAGAAATCCCAAGAAGGAGACTGTGGTCAAGTCTGGCATGAGGTCAAGGTAGATCAATCTTGTGATTGAACATGTGATGATTCCTCCATAGGCTTTTCCTTGAGTTCCGTCTTCTTTCTCAAAATTGAGAGGTCCGAAATAATCCAGTCCAATGTGCTGAAAGGGTGTTGCTCTGGTCACTCTTTCTTTGGGCAAGTCTTCCATATCTGGATACCTGTACGGCAGTTTATTGAATCTTTGACATTCTGAGCAATGACTGATGATGTGTTTGGTCTGTTGACGAAGTTTAGGAATCCAGTAGGTTTTCCTGACTTCCGCCATTGTATGAGCTAAAGAGACGTGTTTTTCTCCATGAGCTTCCATGATGATGAGTTGTGCCAATGCTGAGTTTGGTGCTATCAGTATTGGTTGCTTTGCTTCTTCTGTCAGGCTGGAATGCCCCAATCGACCTGTACATCTGAAGATTTTCTGTGTGTCCTTGAAGACTTGAAAGTCTTTCCATTTCTTGATTTTGGTCTTGTCCAACTCATGTTTCTGATGATCTCGGATAAGATTTTGTTTCGCCGCTCTCAATTCATCGATGTCAATTCTGGCTGGGTTTCCGAGCTCCGGTTCTTGTGACCACTGAACTTTTGCCTGAATTTCTCTTTTCCTTGATTCTGGCAGATTTTTGGAGATTTTTCCAATGAATCTCTGGACAAGAGCTGTTATGCGCTGAGCTTTGAAGAAGGAAGAGTAGCGTTCGCATTTGAATAGCGTTTCTGACCTTTTGGTTGTCTCTTTTCCTTTGCTAACGACGACATTAGCCATGTAGACGTCATTTGAAGTGTTGAGTGAATCTTCTTCTTCCTCTCCTGGTTCTTCCGGAAGTTGGAACAAATTTGTTTCAGATGGCCATGCTTCCGTTGGAGTTGTCGCGAATGTTGGACCTGTCCACCAAATATGCTGACTGAGTTCGGAGTTGACCAATCCTCGAGTAGCGCAATCAGCAGGATTGAGATGAGTGCGAACGTATCCAAATCGTATTCTGAATCCTTTTCTGACCAGTTCTGCTACGATTTTTCTGATTTCATGGATTCGATTTTTCACAAGGACTCCTACTTCTTTTGATCCTGGTGTCATTTTCAGCCATTTCAGTACAATTTCGCTGTCGCAGAGAATGATTATCTCTTCCAAACGTACTCTTTTTGCTTCTAGACTTTCGCAGATCGATTTTGTCAGTCGAACTCCAATTGTGAGTGCTTGCATCTCCAGTTTCGGAATTGTAGATGGTAGTTTTGATGAAGCTAGCTTTGACTTCGCCATTAGAAGATTGCTCTTTCCTTTTTGCACAACATAAGTACAAGCTGCCATCGCCACTTCATTGACGGTCCATTTTTAAAATGGCAACTTGCGTCATAGACCACTCTGCACTTCGTCGTTTCTTTCCCAGGTGTCAAGACCGGCTGGTGAGGATTATAATGAATCCTATCTGAAGTCTTCTTTTGGGTGTCGACCTCCTCGATTATTCCTTTTTCGAGTTGATCTTGGAAAATGTCGTCTATCTGTTTCAAGACTTCCAATGGTTGCTGATTGATAACGCTTTGTAGGCGTTTTTCTGCAATCGCGTAGTGTGTCGGGAGTGGAGTTTCATCTGATTTCCACGGGAACTTCACGTAGTATCCGTCTTCCCTTCGCTGAACGGTTTCTTTGAATTCTTTCAGAACTTTCTGGTTGATCCTTTCTGTTTCTGAATTGAGTGAGCCGTGGGCATGGTCTTCGATTCCTGCGTTTTCGAGGTCCCAGAAATCGTTCCAGGGGTCACTTGATTCTTTGGAAATTATACCGTTTGCGAAAATTCTATCGGTTGGAGCTGTGCTGCGACCTGTTCCTGAATAACCGAAAACGGTTGGTATCAGGATCGTCCCTGATGGGAGTTTGTGCTGAGGTTGCGTTGAGTCGATCATGTCAAACATGAAGTCTGCTCCAATTATGACGTCTGGTGTCACTTCTGAATACCACCAATCTCCGCTCATGTGTAGTTTCCTATCTGATATGAACTTCTTGTCTTCCCCAGATAGGTCGGCTTTCGGGACTGTACCCACTAGGATTTCTGATTGTAGAGTAGGTACTGTGAGTTCTTTGCCTTCCACCGTTCGAAGAATGATTTCTGATTCTTTCAGTGTTGTCTTCCTGAGTTCAGGAGTTCCAAATGTTTGGAGCATCAATGTTTGCTTTCCTGTTACCGTCAAGCCCCATTCTTCTACCAACTGTGAGCTGATCGAAGAAAAATCGGCCCCTGAATCGAACATGATGGAAATTGACGTCCACTGTTGTTTCGATGGGTTGAAGGCTGTTGCAGACGTTGTTAAAAGCATTCCTCTGACGTGTCGCTTTTTTTATCTTCTTCGTCAGTCGCGTCGCGCGGTTGTCTTTTTGATTTTTTTACCGTCTTCGCGTTGAGTGCTCCGCATGAATCAGCGTCCTTCCCTTTCCTCGAAAGAGACTGTTTTTCTGCTCGATTTTTGAGTGAAAGCGTAGGCGTCCTGCTGCTGCGGCTTACTGTGGCCTGAGTTGCTCCTGTTGCTTCTTGCCTTTGGACTGAACTGGATAAATCTTTCTTACAAAGAAGATGATGATGTTTCCCGTCAGTACATCTTTTGCACAAGGGTGCCTTGCAGTCTTTGAAAAGATGGCCCCTTTGAAGGCATCTGATGCATTTTTTGACCTTTATGATTTGGTCGTTCCTGGATTGCACGTCAGGAAACTTACGACATTTGTATGAGAGATGTTTTTCTTCGCAGAAATAGCAGGTAAGTCCTGTTCCTGTCTTCTGCTCCATGGATGATTTGCCTTTCTGCATTGGACGGTTTGAGCTTGAGTTGTTGCTCTCCCTCTGACTGTGGTCTGAGTAATTTGGAGCTTGAGAAGTTTTCGTCGTCTTGGATTCGATTCTGATTCCTTGGTTTCGAACGCGTTCTTCTCTACGAATTGCTGCTTCCAACGCAGTACACACAAGATTTATGGTCCAATCTTTTTCTTCTATGGCTAACTCATGGGCTAGGACGTCTCGGCGGATCTGAGTATTGAACTTTTCTACCATCATTTGAGTGTGGAGCAGTGAGTTGAGGTTCTCTCCATATCCCACTAGTTGGTTGATGATGATTTTGCATGACTGCAGGAGCTCTTTCTGTGCTTTTGTGTCGAGTCCTTTTCCTTCAATAGTCAAGAAGTCTCGGTAGAGATTCGTGATGGCGCTGCTCTCGTTGCCATATGTTTCCTGTAGCAATTTGATGGCCAGGTCGTAATTGTTTTCTGTCACCCTGAATTGACGTACTAGATCTAATGGCGGACCTTGTAGTGAGTTCAAAAGGTGACTGAATTTGATTATTTTATGATGTGGGTTTTTGTGAATTGTTTCTTCAAATATGACCCAAAATGTATTCCAAGTTTCTAAATCGCCTTATAGACTGGAATTTTTAAAGCTGGCAAACTTGGCGCTTGAATTGAAGTTGAAATGGGATTCGATGGTTGATTTGACCTTGTTGTCGTCCTGCTCCCTTCTGATGAAGCTCGTTCCTGGATGTGAGCTCTGAGGCTGACGAGGGTCGATGTTGCCTTCTCTTGAATTCGAAGTGTTGCGTCAATTCGAGTTTCCAATTTCTCCTCCTCGTCTGCTGTTGGTTGAGGGTAAGCTTCATCAAACGCCGTGGCAAAAATTTTTCAAGCGCATGCTGAACCGTTTCTAGACGTTGATTGAGTATGTCCTCCCTTTTTGCGAAGATCTGAGAGAGCCACGCTCTGAGTGAGTGACTCTAAGTCCAGCAACTGTTGAGCTTCTTTTTCGCATTGAGTTAACCAGTTATCCGACTTTGTCAGCTGTGTTTTGAACAGTCTGAATGGAGTCGCCATGATGTTTTCCTACTTTAGCCGATGCACCATAAAAAGGGGATGACTATGGTTTTTTGTCTGAGCTAGATGAGTAGGTTGAGGAAAAGAGTCAAATTGAGTCCTACTGAATTTCTCTTGATTTGAGAAAATGTAGAAACTGACTCTTTTTCGTTGCCGCTCCCTGCTTAGCGGTGTTGTTGCCTGCCACGCGGGTCTTCCTGAGTGAGCGTTGAGTGCGGGTCGGACAGCGATCCGTTCAACCTCAAACTTGGGTAATTAAACCTTTATCATAAATATTCCGCGAACAAATTATAACGATAAAGTAATAAATTCAAATAAACAATAAGAATGAGTAAAAAAATGAAAAAGAATGAAAGGTTAAATGGTTTGGAGGCGAACGACGTGGCTGGCTAGACAGGTAATGGAATGGCTCCTAATGGACCTTTCCCCTGGCGAGCCAGCCACGTCATCCTCTGAGTGGCGGGGAGGCATCTACCTTTGAGTCGGTGTCGACAGGAACGTCGCTTCGGAAGAGTTTCGTGTAGAAGTCGACCGTCAGGCGCTCCATCTCGTTCCTTGACGTCTTCAGCTGGCCGTTCTCGTCCTTCAGTGCTGTCATCACCGTTCGCTCGTCGACGAGCTCGAACTTCTTCTTCTTGAGGCTTTGACGTTTCTCAGCTGTCTGAAGGAGTGCACTCCTGCGTCGGTTGGCTAGAGACTCTTGCACGGCCATTCTGCAGGCTTTGTCGATCGTCAGACGTTCCAGGTGCGTGGCCTGCGGGTCTCGTCTGACTTCTCCTCTTCTTCGCAGCAGATCTTTCGCTAGTTGGTCGAGTCGCGGCGGTAGAGACGAGGTTGGTCGAGCTGCAGGTTCTGCACATCTGATGAGGCCATCGCAGAGGGATTCGTAGTCGGCTGTCGGGTCGTCGAGAAGCTGCCAGTCGTGCTCCGAGATCTTCTCCTCCAACGTGGTGATGTCGTAGGTTGGTCTTCTCGGTCTCGATGGCTGGTGGTAGTCTTTCTTCAGGAACTTCTGGTTCAGACGGACCTTGGCGCGAACGAGTCGATGGTCGGATCCAACGTCGAAACTGGGTAGTACGGCAACGTCGAGGAGAGACCATTTCCGGTTGGCCAGAATGTGGTCGATCTCGTTGGTGGTGTCTCCGTTGGGCGATTTCCAGGTCCAGCGTCTCCGATCAGGCTTCTCGAAGAGAGTTGCCGTGGTAGAGCCTTCTGGAGTCGAGAAGTTCGGCTAGGCGTTCTCCGTTGTCGTTCCGAATTCCGAGTCCGTGCTTCCCGTGACGAATCGAGGGAGTGGCGCACTTGCCCATCTTCGCGTTGAAGTCACCCAGAACGAAGATGTAGTACGCCTTCTCTCGTTGGATCGTTTCCTCGAGCTTCCGGTAGAAATCGTCAAGTTCCTTTTCCTTCTCTTCCCTTTTAGCCTTAGATTCGGCTTCTGGTGAGGTCGGCGAGTAGACGTTGATGATGGTGAGTCTTCCTCGTTTTCCTAGGTTGAGTCGGAGGATGCCGAGGCGGGCGTTGACGATTTCGTGCGAGTCGACGAGGTGTTGGACCGAGCGATTGACGAGGAAACCGACGCCGCCGACGTTCTTCCCAGGGACTTTGTGGCCGAGGATGAGAAGTTCACCATTTGGCCAAGTCTTACAGCTGGTGTCTTGAGATTTTTGTTTCCTGGAGCGCCACTATGTCGATGAGTGCGTTTCGGTTTGCCGCGAGCAATTGCTCTTTTGCTGCATCGGAAGCGAGCGAGCGGCAGTTGAGGGTTCCGAAACGTAGACAGTCACCGTGGCGCGTCCGTAGTCCGTTTCTATGGTATCCTGTTGCTCCGAGATTTGATCGCCCCTCGTCGGCAGAGGCAGCCCCCGATACCGGAGAGGCGCGTGACCGACGGGCGGAGGACTGGGGCCGTCTTGTTGAACGTGTTTTAGCTTTTTTGTGGTCTGGTTATCCTCGTTGCCTTGCCAGGGCTAGGAGGACCGCCCATTCTATTAGCATAAAAGCAAGGCGAACTGCGTGACCGGTGTACCGTTAGCCGCCATTTATGACGTTGCCGCCATAAATGGTCGTTGATCCCCATCACCGCGGAGAGGTGGTACATGAAGGAGCTTGGGAATATGGGTGAGAAAAAATAGCCTTCAATATTGGTAATATGTGCTCTAAGGATAATAGGGTTTGGATTTGATTTTTGATTGACGTTTTTTTTGACCAATAAAAATGAATATTCTCAAAAAAGTAAATCGTTCTGAAATGGGGTTAGTGCGCTCTACGGATAAGGAGATTTTATGAAGGAACTATAACATTTTTTTTCTGGAATTAATTTTTGCCAGTTTATAGTACATCCCTGCTTCATTTAAAGGCGCAGGGCGGAGCTTCATTTAAAGGTCTTGAAATGATGCCTCTGTAAACGGTTGTCGATGAACCACACTGTTTTTGAACCTTTTTTTGAGAAAAATCCGAAACTTTCCTAGTTTATAGTACATCCTTGCTTCCTTTAAAGGCGCAGGGCGGAGCTTCATGTTTTGGTCTTGAAATAATTACTGTAGATCCAAATTTTTAGTTAAGAAAAAAAAAAATGTTGCTATCACGAATATTTTCCAAATATCAACCTTATGCTCAAAAAAAAAAGAAAAACCTCAAGGTTTCTAAAAAAATTAATTCCAATATTTTTCCCGGCTTTTTCCAGTGTTTCAACTCGCCACGCGGGTACGTCGATGACCGACGAGCTGGACTCGTTTTTACTCCGTGACATAGAAACTCAAACCCCCGATGTCAATTTCCCAGCCATGGAACGGGATGAATACTGGCGATGGCGTGATAACTGATTTATTGGAAAAATCCAAATTTCTGTCTTTCAGGTCATTGAGAAACTCAAAGTGCTCTTATCTGCAAAAAATGAAATTTTTATGTTATGCATGTGTAAAACTATGTGAAAAGGCGTAACCAGTGAGAGGTCGGACGCGAAAATTTGATTTTTCATCGGAAAGAAGATTGCAAGTTTTTATTCAGAAAAGGTTTTCTTCGACGATTTTTAGAAGGACGAGATTTTTCTGGGAAAAACTTCAGTGGCCTCTATAGGGTTTTGAAGTTTTAGTGGCCACTGTAGGGATTAAAAATTAGTGGCCACTATAGAGTTCTAAGGGGTACTACTAGATGACTGAAACTACTAAAGTTGCCATTAAGGAACAAATAGTGGCCTCTATAGAGGTGGTTTTAGTGGCCACTTTAGTGTCCTCTTCAAGCAGACCTTGGGGAGTCTCTACAGTGGCCACTAAAAGTTTTCCCATCATATCTTTTTTTGTAGAAATGCGTTGAAATCCCGCGAAAGGTCGGGTGCAAGCCATTCCCGTTTATTCCTTCTTTTTCTTTCGTTCCTGTAAGACAAAGCTTCAGAGGGATTTTTCGTAGGAAAGTTCGTTCCGTTATGAGGAATTTTCAAGTTGATGAAGATGATATAGAGCGGAACCCGCAAAAAGTCTGGGGCGAGTTACTCTTCCAAACGGAAATAATTTGAAAAAATAGGAAAGTCGGGATGGTGGATAATGGCCGCTAAAAGGGATAGGCTCAAAAAAGGCCGGATAAAGGCAGCAAAAAGGGTCCCTTTATGGAGCCTTCCATTTTTTCTGGGATCTCAAAGGCTCAAGAAATGGTGGAAAAGGCAGCAAAAAAGGACCTTCTATGGAGCCCTTTTCTACCCTTTCTGACTTTGCCTATGCATCGACCTTTTTTCACCGATTTAAATGATTTCCAAAATGTTCCCATGTATAAAAGAACGAGTAGAAGCGTAACTCGGTCAGGGTCTGACGCAATTCTTTCAGACACGTAGTTTTATTTTTTTTAGTGAAGCAAAATGGCTGGTTTTGAAAATGAAATCGTGACTTTTAGGATTTTTGTTATGAGAATCTTTCAAGTCCAGAACCAGGGAAAGTTTGGTGGTATGAAAAAAAGACCAGCGAAAATTCAAACGGCGACTTTTCCGATTTTTTCATATCGCTAGGGAACTTTCCGACGGCCACCTTTCCGACGAAACTTTTTCCGACTTTTTTTCTCGATAAACTCTTCGTTTTACATCTTCCTATATAATGTAGGTAGTTGGTTCATGATTTAAATACAAAGATATAAGAAAAAAATGTTTATAGATGTTTTATAAACCGAAAATATAAGGGAAAAAGTCGGAAAGGGATTCGGCGGAAAGTTCCCTAGCGATACAAAAAAAATCGGAAAAGTCGTCGTTTGAATTTTCGCTGGTCTTTTTTTTATACCACCGAAAGTTTAAAGGCGCAGGGTGTGGTCTGAAAAATCGGTCTTGTTAATTTATATCTATTAAAATTGTGGCATGGCAACTTTTCCACGCACTTTACGGGTTTTTCAAAATAATTTTTTTGTCATTTTTCCCACGGTTTTTCTTGTAAGTGAACCTTATACCAAGATCAAGGATTATCCCATTTTCTCAAAAAAAGCGGCTGGTTCCCAAGGTTCAATTTTCTTACCATTCATCGGAAGTTTAGAAATAGCTTTTTTTCACTTCCGGGTTAAGATTTTTAGAAAAAAATTTTTTTCTTTCGTATTTTTTTCAACTTTTTAGTTATCAGTTCTGAAGCGGAAGTTTTTTTTCTAAAGTTCGGTCGTTTCGGGTATAAAAAAATACGTGGGTTGAGCTGTTTTGAAAAAATCAAGGTTTTTATCATTTATATAAAGGATGATAAATAGATTTTCGATAAATTATAAGAGAAAAAATGAGCTACAAGGCAAGTGAAACGTAGTGCTAACAAAAAGGCCGTGAAGAGGTTTTCAAAAAAAATGTAAAAAATAGAGAATTTTGAGATTAATATTGGGACTTTGGACCGTGGAATTTGGACCCAAGGCATGAAATGGCGTAACTTTGATGATAGGAAATTTTATAGGTTCAGTTTGAAACGAGTTTTTCGGTAAAATAGGGGAGAATGGAAAAAATTGAGCTAAAGGGTGAAAAAACAGCCGCGTACTTAATGCGCTCCACGGCTAAAATTACAATTTTTGTTTGGAGAGGTCCGGAAAAAAAGGTTTTCGAAAAAAAGAATCCGTTATAAGGTGCTTGAGAAATTTCAAACACTCAAAGATGGATACTTAATGCGCTCCACGGCTAAAATTACAATTTTGCTTGGAGATGCTGGGAAAAAAATATTTTCAAAGAAAATGCTTTATAATATCCGCTAGAAAAACTTCAATTCCATAAAAGATAAAAATTTAATGCGCTTACAACTTTGCTTAGAAAGGCCCGGAAAAGAGTTTTTCAAAAAAAAAAAAATCCGTTATAAGATAAAGGGTTGAAAAAACAGCCGCGTACTTAATGCGCTCCACGGCTAAAATTACAGTTTTGTTTGGAGACGCCCTCGGACATTGGTAACGCGAAACGGACGTGCTCCGGACGTTTCTTGGCTATTCAAGGGATCACTTAAGAGCGTTGAGGCGACTAAAGTGGTCACTAGAAATGCCCTAACACGTCCGATTCGCGTCCCGTTCGATTTACCATGGTCCGAGCCCGGAAAAAAAAATTTTCAAAGAAAATGCTTTTGAATATCCGCTAGAAAAATTTCAAGCAATAAAAGATAGATACTTAATGCGCTCCATGGCTAAAATTAAAATTTTGCTTGGAGAGGCCCGGACAAAGTTTTTCATTTTTAGTCTCCGCTTGAGAAATTTCAGACGAAAAAGATAGATATTAGAAGAATCAGCCTCAAAAAAATTAAAGAGTGCGCTCATGGATAAACTCCGAAAATACCCTGAAAAACCTTCAGACGGAAATCAAGCATGTATACATTCTAACCGTGAGAAAATATACTCGTCATTTTTTGGTTCCCAAGACTTTTAGACCTTCTAAAAGCTATATTTTCCTTCTTTTTTATCATTGAGTATCAAAATGCTCGAGTTCCGTCACTATGCTTCGATCGTCATGTTTTTGGTTGGTTTTTTTCAAATTCCCGCCGAAAAAAATCCACTTAAGGTGTCAATTTTCGGCACGGTGTCGAATTGTCTGGCGATCCTGGTCGTTTTGAAAAATTCGGCTTTAAAAAGTTCGTTCGGCGCCTTGTGCTTCTCCCATTGTGTGGCGAATTTGGGAGTCTTGGTCATTTTTGGATTTTTTGCGGCTCCGTTGAACTTTCTGTGAGTTTTTTTCAGTTTGGCTCAGTGGTAGTGAGCTCGCCTCACATTGAATAGGTCACAAGTTCGGATGCTTTCGACTTTTTTTTGCCTTTTATCTTTTTTATCGGAATATTTCTAAAGTTCTTGAAGGTATTTTATCCCTTTTAGACCCTTGAGTGGCCTCTTGGGCTATTGATGGGGAGCTGACTTTTACAAATATCCTTCACAGTGTTTAGATCATTTTTTCCATGATGTCTGACCATTTTTTTCAAATTTTGATCATTTCCTATTGTTCGCAAGTTGTTGACTTTCGTAGGCATTACAAAAATCCCTTAAGGGACCACTTTGACTTGAACTTGCATTTTGTAGTCTTCACTTAGGAACTCCAGAGTGATCCCTATTGAGACTTTGGAGGGTCCTCTCTAGGGACCACTTTACCACCCCCTATAGGGATCACTGAAGGTTGAAAAAGTGGCCTCTAAAGGGGTTTCAGTTTTTTTATTGTTATGAACTCTAAGCGAAGAAGCATTTCCATGTGAAAAACTGAATAAATAAGCGTTTTTGAATAAAAATGAAAAACCCCTATAGGGTCCACTTGAGCTTAAGGGTTAAGGGGTGAGATCCTAAACCCCTATAGGGACCACTTTTTTTCTGTCTCCCCGAAGCCCCATAGAGACCACTCCGGAACTCCTAAGTAGCACTGTTGAAAAACGATTTTTATGCATTAGAACCCCTCAAGTGACTACTCAGACTTTTTTTCAGTCTCAACAATTTCGAGAACATCAATTCCAGTTTTGCTAACCAGAGAATGGGACAGGTTTTTATTCAAACTTTATCGGAAAAAAAAAATTTATTTCTAGATAAGCTTAATGTTCTACAACGCTAGCATCGTGTCGCATCTCTTCGTTTCCATAAATCGATTCGTTTTCATCATTTTCCCCACGAAGGTTAAGCCATTCCAAGTGCGACCTTTTATTCCTTTTTTCAGGCTGTTCAACTGATGGGCCGTCAGACGACCGGCTGGATTATCGTTTTCATTTGGGTGCTTTCGATCGTTTCTGTGTCCCCCCTTTCTTCCGGTGAGTTCGGCCGCATTTGGAATGGCTCAGGGCGGAGCGGTTGCGTCGCGTTTTTTGGTCGCAGCTCATTTTGAAGTCGGGCGCAATAATCACGTCGCAACCTGAAATTATTTAAAAATTTGACTGGAATTTCAGTTTTTGCATTTTTAACAGTGGAATGGTTTCCGAATCCAGGTAAATGTCAGGTCCTAGATATCAAAAATTGATTCAATTTTTTTAAAAAACAGCCCGCGAAAGTCGTTTCATAGTCGGGTGCATTATATGGTGAGCAATTTCAAGCGACCCTTTTCATCTTCAGACCAGACAGCCTGCGTCATAAATATGGAAACAGCTTTGAAGACTCATAACTTTTCTCAAACTCAATCTTGGAAACTTCTAGCGTGATTTCGAAATTTCAGAGACCTGTAACTTCACATTCACCCCACCAAGTCTTCAATGGGGCTACTCGGACACCTATTGCGGACAAACCTATGCCCAATATGGCGATTTCTATTTTGGAATCACTGTCGTTGGCTTGGTGGCCCTCTTCGATATGATCACTTTGACGAAACTGCGGAGAGCCAATGAGGTTCCTTATATAGTTGAACGAGGAATGAAAAAGAGATTTTGAAGGTCTGGCAGTCGAAAAATCTACAAGCGACTACGACCAAAACGATCAACGTTAGGAGGAGCAACGAACTTCGGCTCTTTGCTCAGGTTTGGTTGACTGACTTCTCTGCGCTCTCTCTTCATCCTTCTCTCTCGTTGGTCAGAGAGAAGAGGGTGCATACGATCAGACTGTCTGAAATGATGAGGGATGAGGTCGAAAATGGTTTTGTTTTGCTGTCTGACGTCTCTGCGCTCTCCTTTCTTGTTGGTCAGAGAGAAGAGGGTGCAGATAGGTTAGACTGCTTGAAGTCATGAGGGGTGAGGTTTGGTTTGGCTGTCTGACTTCTCTGCGCTCTCTCTTCATCCATCTCTCTTGTAGGCCAAAAAAGAAGAGGGTGCAGATAGGTTAGACTGTTGGAAATCATGAGGGATGAGGTCGAGAATGATTTGGCTGTCTGACTTCTCTGCGCTCTCTCTTCATCCATCTCTCTCGTAGGCCAAAAAAGAAGAGGGTGCAGATAGGTTAGACTGTTGGAAATCATGAGGGATGAGGTCGAGAATGATTTGGCTGTCTGACTTCTCTGCGCTCTCTCTTCATCCATCTCTCTCGTAGGCCAAAAAAGAAGAGGGTGTAGACAGGTCAGACGGTTTGAAGTAATGAGAGACGAGGTCGGAAAGGGTTTGGTTTGGCTGTCTGACTTCTCTGCGCTCTCTTTTCATCCTTTTCTCTTTTCGGTCAAAGAGAGAGATAAAGAAGATGCAGACAGGTCAGACGGTTTTAAGTCATGAGGGATTGAGTAGAGAAAAGCAACAACAGGAAAATGTTAAAACCTGATTTCTCTGCTCTATCTAGCTAGAGTGAAGAGGGTGCAGACAGGTCAGACATTTTATGAAAAAAAATTTTCAGGCATTAATCCAAGGCTGCCTATTGCTCATCGTCCTGTGCAGTTTTAACATTTTCTCGGGATTTAGTGATACCGCTTTATCATTGTTCATCACGACGACTCTGGTCTGTCAGATTTTCCACGCCTCCGATGGGTAATTTTTACCTTCTAAAAATGGAAGTTGGCGAAAATTTGATCGGTCATAACTTTTCTCATAGACCTCTTAACACCCAGTTTCGTGGACTATATCGCAGCGAGAGTGGCGCGACATAGCAGCGACATATCTCGCTGCCATCTCGCTCAGCTCTAGCAAACTCCCGGCGCGATATCGGCGCGAGGTCGCGGATTATCGATTGGTCACTATTTACGTGCCATCAAAATTTTACTTGAATTGTTTTATTTTTTTCGTCTGTTAGATTCTCTCTGATTTTTTTTATGTCTATTTTTTTCACTTAATATTTCTAAAATGTTAATTTTACAACTAATGTAACGCTCATACAGTACCGTCAGAAAAGGAAAAATGTTTTTTCGCTCACAACTTCCTCGTATAGAGCTCAATCTTTCTGAAACTTTTTCAGCTGTGTTTCTAAGTTTTCACCACGGTGTTACAATCAACAGTCATCATATTTCCAGAAAGTTTCAAAAGGGTGAAATCCCATTAAAGAAAGTTGTGATAAAGAAAAAGCTTTTTTGTATATATTTTGACGGAACTGCACACCTTTCTTGAATTTGAAAGTCCTTTTTCCGCGTTTTTTTTTAATGTTTCAACCAAGAATTTCAGGTTATTAGTACTTCAAAAAAGGCATCTAACCCTTTTTTTCGATCAATAAAAAGTCAAGAAAGATCCGTGGGAGATGGCACCGAAACTTTGCTTTTGGATACAATCAATAAGATTTTTTTGGTAAACTATTTTTTTGAAACAGTATATCCATTTTTTTACTTGAAGATATGATTTGCACTTTGGCGTCGATGGGTAAGGAAAAAAAGAAATGAGGCATGATTTCGAGAAAGCACGTACTGCTGTCTTGATACAGTCGCTCCTGTGAGTTATTCTCTTATTCAAGGTTGGACTTTTTTTCAGTATTTCTCTTTTTTTAACCGATTTTATCATTTAGAAAAAGTTCTTGACGCAGCAAATGAAGGATATGCCGAAAAACTATCGAGTCAAAGCTTACAGTAACATTTTTTTAAAGGGAACTTAGTGTCAATCTGATTGTTTAACTTAATTTTCTTTTTTTCAAAAACTTCTTTCATTTTCATTTCGAGCCTCCCTCATTCATTTTTTTCTAATTTGAACTTTTTAAAGATCATCTACGAGCTTACAATCGGTTTACTTTTTCTGTTTTTTTATTGAACCTACTCTTTTCCTAGTCACATTTTTTTCCTATCAAAAAAATAAACGATACACATGTTTTTTTCGTCATATTGTCCTTTTTCTATTCTTACTTGAAGCTTCACTCTTTCGCCTCAATTCAATCTTCTTCAGATTTGTACATACTTTCCGTTTACTTCGAATTCGAAAATGTATCATCAATTATTTGGAAAAAATTTCTTTAATGCTCTCAAGTTTTCATTTTTAATATATATTGTTTAAATTAAATAAAAAAAGTAAAGAAGGTTGATAAAGACCGATATGTTATCATGTACAACACAATAAAAAGTATGAAGCATAGAAAGCAAATCAAGAAAAAAGCCCAATCGAGCTAAAAAAATTTTTTTTGAAAGAGCGACATAGCAGCGAGATGTGAGCGACCTTGCGCCGAGAGGCGAGCGATATAGCTCGCGGCTCCCCCGCGATATAGCGTTTCTCTCGCTGCGACCTCGTCCGTAAAACTGGGTGAACATTTCTTGAACCTCCAAATTTAGAAATATCAGTAGTTTTATTTTTATTTTTGTAGGGTTAAAGTCGACTACTTGTGAGACTTTCTCATGTAGGAAACAATTTTCAGATTTGTCGTTCTGGTGTTCAACTACAAGTTCTTGAAAACGAAACTTTTGTCGATAGTTAAGACTAGCGAACAAAGGAAAACGACGGTTACTCTGTTTCACAAGAAGTAACCAAGGTTTTTTATGTTATAATTGTAGAATAAAGGTTTTCAGAGGTTCATTTTGATGAGATAAATGCATGAGGAAAAATGAGCCGTCAAAAAATAGCAAGAAGGCTCAAAAGTGCACTCTATAGCTAATGTTATAATTGTAGAATAAAGGTTTTTGAAGGTTCATTTTGATGAAATAACTGCATGAGGAAAAATGAGCCGTCAAAAATAGCAAGAAGGCTCAAAAGTGCGCTCTATAGCTAATTTTATAGTTGTAGGATAAAGGTTTTTGAAGGCTCGGTTTGATGAAAAAAAGCATGAGGAAAAATGAGCCGTCAAAAAATAGCAAGCAAGCTCGAAAGTGCGCTCTATAGCTAATTTTATAATTGTAAAATGAAGATTTTAAAAGCTTCAGTCCAATAAAATGTCAGTGAAAGGAAGAGATGCATGAGGAAAAATGAGCCGTCGAAAATAGCAGAAAGGCTCGAAAGTGCGCTCTATCGCTAATTTTATAATTGTAAAATGAAGATTTTAAAAGCTTCAGTCCAATAAAATGTCAGTGGAAGAAAGAGAAGAATGAGGAAAAATGAGCCGCCAAAATTAGCATGAAGGCTCGAAAGTGGGCTCCATTGCCAAACTTTCCATTTTTCTCCAGAGCCTCAAGGATTTTGATATTTTTTAAGGGTTCTTTATTGAACTTTTTCTGAATCTAGGCGAAAAAGCCCCCAAATTTGCTCTTCGGATAAATGTTTGCTGTTGATCAGGGAGACTTGGGGAATAATATTATTCGAATTTTCTTTCTATTTTGATGGGTTTCAGAAAATTTACAGCACTGAAACAGGGTCAAGCCTTGGAAAGTTCACCTTCTCTTCCCCTAATATAGATCTCATTGTTTTTTCTAACCTGAAAAAAATGTATAAATAAGCACGTTTACCGTGAGAAAAGAACGATTCCCAAGGGTTGTAGTCCTCAAAAACTTGCCACTTTTTCCTCATTTATTCGAAAAATGCTCGAATTCCGCCACTATGCTTCGATCGCCATGCTTTTGGTTGGTTTATTTTCAAATTAAATCCGAAAAATTCTACTTAAGGTGTCCCTTTTTGGCACGGCTTCGAATTTATTGGCGATTTTGGTGATTTTCAAAAATTCGGCTTTGAAAAACTCGTTCGGCGCCTTGTGCTTCTCCCACTGTTTGGCGAATTTGGGAGTCTTGATCATTTTTGGGATTTGGGCGGCCCCGATGAACTTTTTGTGAGTTTTTTGTTTTTGGAAGCATGGCTAAATGGTAGAGAGCTGGCTTGTCATTGGATGGGTCACGGGTTCGGATCCTCTTGACGTTTTATATGGATTTTTGCCGTTTTTCTGGAGCGTTAAACATTTTTCCCTTTATTTGACCCTTAAGGGATCTCTTGGACTCCTGAATGGATCACTTTAGGGTTTTTTTTCAGTATCGAAAGTGCAAAAGAAGTCGCCCCAAGCTTCGCTGAACAGAGAATCGGACAGGTCTATTTTTTTCCCTCGGAGCAAAAAAAAATTTGATATTTTTTTCAGGTTTGCCTGTTCTTCTACAATGTTGGCCTCCTGTCCCACCTTTCCGTTTCAATAAACCGCTTCGCCTTTATAATTTTCCCCACGAAAGTGACACAACCTGGCCGCATTTGGAATGGCTAATATATGCTTTTAGGCTCCCCTAGTACTGGGCCGACGGAAAACTGGCTGGATCATTATTTTTATTTGGATAATCTCAATCTTTGTAGTACTTCCTGTGTCTTCCGGTGAGTTTGGCGGCATTTGGAATGGCTTAAGTTTGCTTGAATTGCCGCATCGCTTTGAGCCATTCCAAATGGCGAAATATAGTGCGACATAAATATTGAAACACTTTTGAAATTTCATATTTTTCTTGGAATCGACCGATTTTTTCGAATTTTCGAGCTATTTTGATTTTCTAGACACGTGCTCCTTCACATTCGCCCCACATAATCTCCAATGGGAGTATTCGGACACGATTTGCGGCCGAACCTATTCCAAATTCCTCGATTTTGTTTATGGAATCACTGTCGTTGGACTAATGGTCATCTTTGATGTGATTACTTTGACCAAACTCCACAGGACCAATGAGGTTTCTTTTGAGTTTTTCCTCAAGTTCGAGAGAATTTTTTGAAGATCTGGCACACGAAAAATGTCCAAAGTACTTCGAGGAAAGTGAGCAACGTCAGGAGGAGCGCGGAAGTTCGCCTTTTTGCCCAGGTTTGACTGAAAATTGAGTTTCTCGAGAATTCTAGTGTAATTACTACTCTTATAAGAATGAAAAATGTGAACTCAAATTTTAAAAAGTTCGTATCTCGATCTGCGTCATAAATATTGACTCAGCTTCGAAATGTATAATGTCGTTGAGAGTTTATTGAAATGTGTGTTACTAACGTGCGCAAGACTGTTTTGGTCGGGTGCACTGATATGTGAAGTAATATTTGGCCATACCACAGCCGCTAAGCTTTTATCCATTCCAAACGCAAATCTAAGTTTTCAAAAAAATATATCCACACTTTCTGCGTCATAAATATTGACTCAGCTCCGATGTTTTATCATTTTTGTGGGAGTGGATCGAGGTATCTGATACTAACTTGCGCAAGTCGGTTATGGTCGGGTGCACGGATATGTAAATTAATATCTGGCATGACTACAGCCGCTAGGTTCATCCATTCCAAGTGCGAATCTAAGTTTTTGAAAGTAAAGCGAATTTTCTGCGTCATAAATATTGACTCATCATCGAAATTTTGTTTTTTTTGTGAGAGTTGATCGAGGTGTCTTATAATAACCTGCGCAAGTCGGTTATGGTCGGGTGCACGGACATGTAAAATAATATTTGGCTTTACCACAGCCGCTAGGCATTAATTCATTCTAAGTGCGAATCTAAGTTTTTAAAAAAAAGCGACACTTAGTGCGTCATAAATATTGAATCAGCTTCGAAATTTTATCATTTTTGTGTGAGTTGATCGAGGAACCTGATACTAACCTGCGCAAGCCGTTTATGGTCGGGTGCATGGATTTGACTATACCACAGCCGCTAGGCGTTAAGCCATTTCAAGTGCGAATCTTAGTTTTTGAAAATAAGACGACACTTGGTGCGTCATAAATATTGACTCAAATGGAAAGCCTTTGCAAAAAAAAAAACCCGACTTCTCTGCGCTCTATTTCATTTACATGCTTTTTCTTATGCTTCTCAATGGTGACAGAAAAGAGAGCGCAGGCAGGTCAGACTGTGAATGAAGTATGCATTTTCCAGGCCTGTATTCAAGGATGCCTCTTGGGATTCGTTATCATCAGCTTTCACTTCATTTCGAGACTCAGCAACGCCGAATATTACTTTTTCCTGACCACGACTCTAGTTTGGCAGCTTTTCCACGCACTCGACGGGTCTCTTTTTCTGGGATTTGTCACGTTTTTTCTGCAAAAATATCGAGTTTTGTGTTGATTTCTCCCAAGACTCGGTGAATGTACCCGAGTTTATATTATTTTTGTTGTAGATAAGAGAAATTTCTCACGAGAATCGCTCGTTCCCAAGTGATTTCTTATCGAAAGTCTAAAGTTTATATACTCTTTTTTTAGCTTTTCCGAATAGTTTTCACATGATTCGAAGGTTTCTCAGGAATATGGCATCAAAAAGCAACAAAAAAATATATGATAGAAAATTTCACCACCGTAGTGTTGAGCTTCTATTGGATGGATAGAAATGAAATTTAAAAAACTTACAATTTTTCAGCTTCGTCGTCATCTTTTTCCACTTTAAGTTGGCCATTCTGAAAAGGAAAATCTCGTTGTCAGTCGTCAAGTCCAGTGATAACAAGGCGAAGGTTCGTATCTTCTTGAAAAAAAATGGCAAAAAAGTTTTTTCTCATCGGGGATCGAACCTTGGTATCAAAACTCCTAAACGGTTTCTTTACAAACTGCGCCATATCTCAGTTTTTCCTAGACCTTTCATTTTATGGTCGTCGTTACAATAATCAGACCGAGAAGATTTTTTAGTGCAACGGAAAAAATGGCAAAAAAGTTTTTCTCACCGGGGATCGAACCTTGGTATCAAAACTCCTAGACGGTTCCTCTACAAACTGCTCCTTGAACCTATTTCTGTATAGTCGTCGTTAACAATAATCAGACCGAGAAGATTTTGTAGTGCAACGGAAAAAATGGCAAAAAAGTTTTTTCTCACCGGGGATCGAACCTTGGTATGAAAACTCCTAGACGGTTCCTCTACAAACTGCGCCAATCTCCTTGAACCCATTTCTGTATAGTCGTCGTTAACAATAATCAGACCGAGAGGATTTTTCAAGTAAACGGAAAAAATGGCAAAAAAAGATTTTCTCCCCGGGGATCGAACCTATGTCTCGAAGTTCAAAGACAAGCCCTCTACCGACTGTGCTATATCTCAATTTTTAGAACTCGCCGAGTGTCGTCAAACGGGACATTCATCGGCTCAGCACCGTCTCAATACTCAGCCAAGTCATGTAATCAAGAGCAACTTTGTTTGATTTGTTAGTTTTTTTGATATTTGGGGAAGAAAAAAATCAGTTAGCATAATAAAAAAATCAAAAAAATTTGAAAAAAGATCAAAGAAGGAATGAAAAAAATTACGTCACTTACTCAATCTTTTAATGACGTCATTGATTGGATATCAGTTTCTGGAAAGATCTCAAACTAGTTTTGAATAAATAAACCATTGGGAGGCTGCAAAAATGAATTTTTCATCCAGTGACGTCATAATTAAAGGCTCATTATGACGTCAATAATTAGGTCAAAATAAAATCATTGAGAAAAGCCACAGAATGAAAATAAAATGACGTCACTTATTCAATTTTTAATGACGTCATTGATTGGATATCAGGTTCGAAAAGAACTGAACAGTTTTAAAAAAAATTGGGGGCTGCAAAAATGAATTTTTTATTCAGTGACGTCATAGTTAAAGGCTCATCATGACGTCAATAATTAGGTCAGAATCAAATCATTGAGAAAAGCCACAGAAGGAAAGTAAAGTGACGTCACTTATTCAATTTTTTAATGACGTCATTGATTGGATATCAATTCTGGAAACAACTCGATAGTTTGAAAAAAAAATTGGGGACTGCAAAAAAAGAATTTTTTATTGAGTGACGTCATAATTAAAGGCTTTTTATGACGTCAATAATTAGGTATGCCCTTTACATAACTTTACATTACAGCCAGGAAAAGAGTTTTTATTTCAAATCAATGGAAAAAGCATATTTTCTGACGTCATCTTTTGTTTTGTGACGTCACTTATTCATCGCTTTGATGACGTCATAGATTTTGTCTAGAACCCCCGTGCGAAAGTAGATTTAAGTAGGTCGCGCTGAACTTTCAAAAATTTCAAAAATGATCCCAAAGCTTTGAATTATTTTTCTCGGGGTTTCAAGTTCCTCATTCAAAAAAATTTTAAAAAAATTCAAAAAAATCATCAACTTCATCTCATTTTTTTCCAAAGGGCCTGTTACTATACCCAAAAAAAGAATGTCTTACTATTTCGTAAAAAAAAAAGTTATAAATGAGCACTTATTTCGTGGGAAAAAATGTCCGTCAACGTCGGCTCCCAAGATTTGTAGCCATACTCAAAAATTAACGTTTTTTTATTTTCCTTCATTTTTTTCCAGATGCTCCAATTCCGCCACTATGCTTCTATCGTCATGATTTTGGTTTGCTTATCATTTTTTTATTCTTAGAAAAATTCCACTTAAGGTGTCCCTTTTCGGCACGGCTTCGAATTTGTTGGCGATTTTGGTGATTTCGAAAAATTCGGCTCTGAAAAACTCGTTCGGCGCCTTGTGCTTCTCCCATTGTTTGGCGAATTTGGGAATCTTGGCCGTTTTTGGAGCGTGGGCGGCTCCGCTGAACTTTTTGTGAGTTTGGCTCAGTTGTAGAGCTCTTGATTTTCATCAAATGGGTCGCAAGTTCGGATCCCCTCGATGTCCAATTTTCGATTTATTTTTTTGCTTTTTTTGAGAAATGTTTGTCGCCTTTTTTTGAGATTCATTTTCAGTATCGACAACGGAAATGAAATTCCTTCCATTTTCATTAACCTACGGATTGGACAGGTAATAATTTTCCAGGAATTATAATAGAATAAACTTTAGATTTGCCTATTCTTCTACAATATTAGCCTTTTGTCGCACCTCTGCGTCTCCATGAACCGATTCGCTTTCATTATTTTCCCCATGAAGGTAAGCCTAACCATTCCAAATGCGGTCATGGCTAATTTTGATGCTTTTCAGGCACCTCATCTGATGGGCCGTAGAACGACTTTTTGGATCATCGTGGTGGTTTGGATTATTTCCGTTCTCGAGGTTCTTCCGCTGAATTCAGGCTAGTTTGGCGGCATTTGGAATGGCTCGAGGCCTCGCGTTTTTCGGAATATAAAAGTGCGCAAGTCGTTTTTCAGTCGGGATGCAAAGATTAGATACCCGCAACGCATCGAGTTGTTCTGAAAATGCATATGAAAATTATCCAAGGTGTTTGAAAATCGCGCAAGTCGTTTTGCGGTCGGGTGCAAGGTTAATTCGAATTCGAAAAAACTACAGATTGAGTTTTTTTTCTTTTCAGTATAGTTCTCAGTCATTTGGAGGAAGGCTAAAGTCGTTTCAATAGACTGCGTCATAAATATCGAAACACCTTGTCTCATTTTTTGAAAGTCAAAAAGTCTTGTTGCCAATAAAATTCAGAATAATCTGAACCCTCTTTTTCCTAAATTTATTTTTCCCAGTTTCCCTGACCTTATCAGTGAGGGAAAAAGAGCGTAGACACGTTAGAGTCATGCAAAATGAACAATTTTTGAAATTTTCACCGAAAAACACGGATTTCAGACACGTGTTCCTTCACGTTTGCTCCACAGAGCCTTCAATGGGAATATTCGGACACAATTTGCGGGCCGAACTTTTGCCTTACTCGGCGATTTCCTTTTCGGGATCATTATCGTCGGGATCATGTCCATTTTGGACATGATAACGTTGTCGAAAATTCGCAAGACTAATGAGGTGATTTCGAAACTTTCTTTAAGCTTCAAAGACGATTTTCCAAGGTTTGGAGCTCCAGAAACGATAGAAGCACTTCGAAAAAAGTGAGCAACGCTAGAAGGAGCTCCGAAGTTCGGCTCTTTGCTCAGGTGGGGCTTGAAAAGAAGTGAAAGGAAAGTTTGATCTCTCTGTGACCTGAATGCTGAGAGAAAAGAGAGCGCAGACAAGTCAGGCAGCTGGAGGAATGTAGAATTATCTACAGCTTGAAACCAAAAGACCACAGAAAAGTCTGTACCTCTTCTTTTCGCACAATCTTTCGCTTAACACTCTCCTTTCGTCTCAAGGAACCTTTTCCACGGCTTTAGTCATTCAAATAATTGTTCGATGCGACGCGGTTGCGATGCGGCTAGCTTCAAGATAACCCGACCGACCAGAAACTACTTGCGCGCTTTGACAAGCTTCAGCCTAGGCGAAACCAAACCGCGAAAAGAAAAATACAGCCTCAGGCATCAAAATAAGGGTCCAAAGCAATGCGGCTAGCTTCAAGATAACGCGACCGACCAGAAACTACTTGCGCGCTTGGGTCTGGACGAAACCAAACCGCGAAAAACAAACCCACGGCCTTAGTCATCCAAATAATGGTCCAACGCCATCCGGCTAACGTCAAGATAGTGCGCCCGACCAGAAACTACTTGCGCGCTTCGACAAGCTTCAGCCTAGGCGCAAACAAACCGTGAAAAAAAACATACAGCCTTAGGCATCCAAATGATAGTCCAAAGCAATGCGGCGAGCTTAAACATAGTGCGACCGACCAGAAACTACTTGCGCGTTCTACCAAATTCCACGGTTCCAGGCCTGCATCCAAGGCTGTCTCCTGGTCATAGTCCTGTGCAGTTTCCACATTTTGTCGAGGTTCAGCAAAGCCGAAAACTACATTTTCATCACGACGACTCTAGTTTGGCAGCTTTTCCACGCACTAGACGGGTTCATTTTTTGTCACGTTTTTCCCAAATTTATCAGATTATTGTAGCTTGTAGCTTGTAGCTGATTTTCAAATTATATCCTGAGATTTCTCATGAGAATGGCTCGTTCCTAAGGGAACTTAGGAACTTCGGAGTGATCCCTATAGGGGCAACCTTAGGGGCTCCTCGAGAGACCACTTTATTAACTTCTATAGGGGCCACTGAAAGCTTGCAAAAAGTAGCCACTGTAGGGATATTTTTTAGTGAACTTTATTTGCATCGGAAAAAAACTGAATGAATAAACATTTTTTTAATGACGTTGAGAGACCCCTATAGGGTCCACTTGATCTTTAGGGGCTAGGGGGTCAGATCCGAAACCCCTATAGGGACCACCTTAGTTTCACCCCCATAGGGACCACTCTGGAATTAAGGAACTTTGAAGCTTCTACCTTTTTTTTGTACTTGTCTGATAGTTAGATCAAAATATCACCTGATCTTGATATACAATAATAAATTTGACTCCCTCGCCGTAGTGTTAAGCTTTCATTAGACTGAAGATCAATGAACAAAAAATTTTAAAAATTAGAAATTTTCAGCTTCGTCGTCATCTTCTTCCACTTCAAATTGTCAATTTTGAAGAGAAAAATCTCGTTATCAGTCGTCAAATCTAGTGATAACAAGGCAAAGGTTTGTGGCGAAAACGGCAAAAAAATTTTTTACTGAGCTCGGGATCGAACCCAGGTCTTGAAACTAGAACATAGACCTACTACCGACTGCGCTATAACTTGATTTTTTCAGCTCTCTCCCCGCGCGATTACGGACAGGAATAGGACCAGTACTGTTTCAGTACCAAGCCAACTCCCTGGATGATTCGAAAAGTAACTTTGTATATTTTGTAAAAAGAAAAATAATACATTTATGTACAACAAGACTACATGAATAATGAAGGGAAAAATGACGTCACTTTTTGTTTTAATGACGTCATAAGAGGGGTTTGAAAAAGGATACAGAGGGTATTGTGAACAGCCTGCATGAAAAATGGTGGGGTGGAGGATTTATGACGTCAGCTTTTTACTTCTAATGACGTCACTAAATCTTTTTTCAAGGATGACGTCATGGATTTTTTTAAAAAGTTGTCAAAAATGAATCAATAACTTTTGAATAACGTCAATGATTTAGTAATATGAGGAAAAGCTATAAAGTTTTTTGAAGTGCTGGGAAAACGTTAAGTGGCCACTTTAGGGTTTTGACGGTTTAGCCCCTTATATGGCTTCTTTAGGAGTCTAAGTGGTGCTACCAGAGGATTCGGAAAATCTATACAATTTTCGAAGTACTGAGAAATCTTTTAGGGGCCACTTTAGGGTTTTGGCGTTTAAGTGGCCTCTTCACTGGCTGAAATGTAGTGACCTTTTTAGAAGTTTGTGGTGCTGAACACTATAGTAGCCCCGAAGACTCATAGTGGCTTCTATAGGGGTGTTTTTAGTTGAGAAACCTCTTAAGTGGCCCCTAGAGTTTTCCCAGTGATGCGCTAAATAAGTTAGATATCTTGACGTCACTTGATTTTTTCAGGCTTCCGAATTTTATGGATAGTTATTACAAGGGGGAGAAAAAAGGGCTTTTCGGGCTCTATAAATACTTATGACGTCACTTTTAAAAATCGAATCTGAGCTTTGTCATTACAGCTTGATGATGACTCATCAAGAAATCAGTTCAATCGATGACGGACAAGAAGAAGAGCAGTGAGAATGGTGCTGCCGAGGGCAAGGGCGGCGTCGACGACGGCCAGCCAGAAACAGTACCCGAACCACATGGCCTCCGTCCGGTATTCCGAGGCTGAAATGGGAAGTCTTGTACACCGAGGGATAGAGCTTGGAATGAGGATTCAGAATATGTAAGTTTCATCTTATAAAACTTGCTGGTTCTAGAATTATCAAGGCTTGAAACTCGCCTATGTAAGAAGAGGGTATTTTATGATATTGAGACTGGTTTTCAAGGTCTTTGGAGGTATGAGGGCTTGAAAAATGACTTTTTTCGAGAAAAAATTCTGGAATATTGTTACTGAGGTGCTACAGAAGCATGAATCCCTTTAAAAATTGGAGAAATCGTCAAGAAAAATATTTTGAACCCATTTTTTCCAATTTGTTTCAAACCTATGTGTTCCCAAGACAGCAAGGGGAAAAAAAGTTTTTTTATTTGATTTATTCAAAGTTTACACTTTTTCTATAGCTTCTGAAGCTTGAAAAGTGACATTTGAAGAAAAAAAAACCAACTCTTGAAAGAAGAAGCGTAGAGAATGAAGGCGATGAACAGAAGAATGGTAAAAACGACGGAAAAGGCAAAGTTCACGAGCAAACTTTTCTTCGAGCCACTTTCAAACTGATCCGGAGCAATTCTGAATCAATTTCCTATTGATATTTTGAATCGAAAAGCTAAAAATTACAGTTGCGCGACGACCCAAACGAGGAAAAGTCCGCCAAAGGCCAGGGCGATGATTTGATTGATCGCCAGGTAGTAGAACCAGCCTGGGACTTCCTGAAAGTTCAGGTACTTGATGGAAAAAGTAATCTATTTGATTGAATTTATGAGCTGTCAGGGTTTTGAAACAAATTTCTAAATTTGAAACTGAATTATCAAAAAAAAAGGGACCAAATTGACCAATTTTGAATCGGTCTTAATAACTTCTAACTATAACCTTTCTGATGGCGAAAAACCTTTAAAAAAATAACAAAGTTCATTTGCTATGTTTTTTTCGCGGACTGTAGATCGAAATTCTGCAAGGTGTATGCACAGAAAGCAAGTGCGCTCCAATGAACATCTCTTTTTCTTTTTTGAAATCTGCTCCTATTTTTTTTGCTTTTTCTTTTTTTCCTGTATTTAACGGTTATTTTCACGCTATTGGATTTTAAAACGTTCGATAAGCTCACGGCGTTCCCAAACGGGGCGGGAAAACGTCAAAAAAAAAAGTTTCTGGCGCGAAAATTTAAATCACAAGTACGCAGCAAAAATCAAGTTATTAACGTTGAATACTCAATGCAATTTGTGACGTAGAATGACGTATCGTGACCTAATTATATTCGGAGCGCGCAATTGAAAAAAATAAATTATGACGCCTCGCGATCCTTAGCTCGCCCCATTAGGAATCCCCGTAAAGCTGCTCAAATAATTCAAGTGTCGTTTTTTTCGTTAACAGTTTTTCAAAAATATAATAGTTTTTTTATAATTTCCCTAAAAAAATATCACTTTTACTATGTTAAATTTTTTTCTAATGATCAATTTTTTTCAGAAAAAAACGCCGAAAAATCGAGGAAAAATTGAAGGCTAGAAGTTCTTTGGTGTCTACACAACGTTGCGAACTTTTCTACCTACCGTAATTTCCGAAAATGACAAAAATTGATGGAGATTTGGACTATTTTAACGCCTATTATCGCCTCACTGGTCAGTTCTACTTTCACTTCCAAAGTTTCTAGTTTTTAGAGAATTTTTTAAGGAAACTATCAAAAATCATGTGGAATTAGTTATTTCTGTACCGTATTATTCAAGAAAATAACTACATTTTCCTCAAATTCACCTTGGAAAAGTCAAATTTTTGGACTTATATAAAAGTTTTTTCTAAAGGTACCGTTGGAAACGGGATCAAAGTAGATAGAGGTGGTGGGGCTCCGTGATTTCCATCGATGTAGGACGCGTGGGACCAGCCTGGAAATTTATTATTTTTTTATTTTATCAGCTTATTGAAAAAGCTATAATTTAAGCTTCTTCTTCAGAACAAATACCAGAAAAATCGGCAATTTTTGTCTTTTTTTCTCGTCTCGATTTTTTTAAGACAACAGTCGACTTCCTGAAAAAAATGACTAGGACTTCCAAAAAAATCTTTTTTTATAGTTTTATTGAAACGTGGAATGTTTTTGGACCATTTATAGGTTGATTAAAAAAATTTTTCTTAGGATTTTTATCGTTTTGCAATGATCCTTCATTGAAAAAAATCACAATTTCTGCTACAATTTTTCCGGGTTTTTTTGAGATTTCTGTCATTTAAAGGGGCTTTTTTTGGGGCCCTTAAAGAAGAACTGAACTTTGAATTTTTTAAATTTCAACTCTGATTTTTTGACGATTTTTAGGTCAAAATCCCTTCAAATAATCCCTTAAGCGACCCCTCCAAATTTGACTACTTTACTCACTTCACCCAACAACCCCAAGATCATTGAAATTTTCGTGTTTCAAATCCCTTTAAATAATCCCTTAAGTGACCCCTTCAACTTTAACTATTTCATCATCAGGACTTTTTAGGGCCTTGAAAGAACTTAACATTGAAATATCAATTCTGACTTTCTGAAGATTTCTAGGTCTGAATCTCTCTAAAAAATCCCTTAAGTGACCCCTTCAACTTTAACTATTTCATCATCAGGACTTTTTAGGGCCTTGAAAGAACTTAACATTGAAATATCAATTCTGACTTTCTGAAGATTTCTAGGTCTGAATCTCTCTAAAAAATCCCTTAAGTGACCCCTTCAACTCTCACTAGTTCACTCACTTCACCCAACAACCCCAAGATCATTGAAATTTTCGTGTTTCAAATCTCTCTAAAAAATCCCTTAAGTGACCCCTCCAGCTTTAACTACTTCACTCACTTCACCCAACAACCCCAAGATCATTGAATTGTTCGCTTGAAGGGAGAAAATATTGGAGGCTGTTTGCGAAGGCTATTATTTCGCTTCACTCCCTCAATAAACGTGTCCTTTTTTTTTGTTGACGGCTTGAGTAGGGAAAAAAAAAAGTAATATACGAAATCGGAGGTCTTTGTTGAGATAAATGGATTGCGGGGTCTGTTTTTGGACTTTGAGATGGAAAATTTTGGGTTGAGATCTCATTTAGTTTCTGAATAAGTTTTGGCAAATTTATTCCGGTTAAAATGGATTTTTTTTCAGACTCTATAGGAAGTTTTATTCATGGAGACTCAGTTATTGGAAAATCTGGTCATTTTGAAACTTCTAACCGAATTTTTTGAAGATTTTACTGAAAAAACTAGTCCAAAGAGTCCTACAGAATTTTTGAAAAATTGAGCTTTTCTTATTCTCCAACTGTAGTTCTTGTTGTATGAATGATGCATTTTGCTAATATTGAATTAAAAAATTTGCAAATTTTACCTTTTTTCGAATACTTTCACATTTTCCTTTTTTTTCGTTTTTAACTTTTGAAAAATCCTTCTTTCGATTTTTAATCGTCTATAAGGCTTTTTCGTGCATTTTCCATGTCTTTTTCTTTTTTTTTTCTCACTATGAATTCATAGGAAGAACTTAGAATAAAATAAATACCTCCTCCGAAAGAAATTATAACGATAATTTCAACAATAAGAAGTAGAAGACCGGTCGTGAGGGCCTGAATCCGCGAATTGTCTCCCAAAAGCGACATTTTTCTGGATAATCTGAATTTTTTTTTTATCATTGAAGGAAAAATGAATAAATTGTAGAGAAGGATGTGAAATGGGACCAAAATAGTCCAGAAAAATCTAAGAAACAGAAAGAAATTCGAAAAAAATGGTTAAAAAATGAACTAGAATGGTCCTCAATGCATTGAAAAAATTACTTTCCACTCAAAAAAAATTCTGAGACCTTCAAATGAGACTTTGAATAAACTTCAAGCTTTAAAACACCAAAAAAGGACAACAATTCCATGAAATTTGATGCTTTTCCCATGCAGGTGATCCTTATTTATTTACCTTTTCCAGTTCTAAATTTGGGCCAAAACAACAAAAACCAACAAAACAAAAAAACACATTTTTTTACATGGCTTCATGAAAAATGAAGGATTAATCATCAGACGAGGGAAATCGAGCCAATATTTAAAGACTTTCGGCGGGAAATTTGACAGCTTTTCGGCAAAAAATAAATAAATAGGCTGGTGATTGTCAATATGATGTCATCTTTAGCGAATTTCGGAGCTTTGGGAAGGAAAATTTGGGAAAAAAATGGTCGTGGGTTCGAACCTGTGACCCTTCGAGTGATAGACAAGACCTTAACCGACTGAGCCTTCAAGAAAATTTGATATTTTTCTGGTTATTGAGCTTCTAATGTGAATTCAAAGCGAGAATGACTATATTTTGTGGAATTTTTAGAAAATTTAGGAAAAAAGAAGCTTTTTTTCATAGCAAAAATGTTCGTGGGTTCGAACCTGTGACCCTTCGAGCGATAGACAAGACAGTAACCAATTGAGCCAATACAGTAAGCTTCAAATTCCAACAACTCCAGGCACATAATTCGATTAACTCTCCAGCAAATATATGATTTTTGGCTCTACCAATGAACCTCTTGCAAATTCAGAATATTTGAAGTTTTTGACTGGAATTCCTATTGAAAAGGCTTTGTTATTGAGCAATACAACTGAAAATGCAAGAAAAAAGGCGAAAATTCCATTTTTTCGACCATAAAAATGTCGTAATGTTTGTATCAACGATTAAAAAGAATCTTGAAAACAAAAGGGCATTTTTTGTTTGAAAACAGCCTTGGAGCACCAAAACAAGTGTTTTAAGAGCCGGAAAGGTGGGCGTGGCCTTTTTTCTGCCTGGAAAACCTCAAGCCCATTCAAGGGTAGCAAATTGCAGAAATAAACAACTTGACATTTTCTTCAAGGACGTTAGCGTAGAGCGTAGGAGGCTATCTGGACGCGCCAAGTCGATCTTGACAGCGTCAGCATCGGTGGTTCAGTGGTAGAATGCTCGCCTGCCACGCGGGCGGCCCGGGTTCGATTCCCGGCCGATGCAATTCTCTTTTTGCCGTCATTAAAAATGAACATTAGGCTCAAAACGCTTCAATTTTAATAATTTTCGAGGGGATTCAGAATAAAATTCATTTGATACTGGTTTCAGAAGTCGGGAATAAGCTTTTGAAGTTGAGCTTTTCGTAAAGTTCGAAAAAATCAACTTCGATTTGATCTAGATACTTTTATTATAGTTTTTTTTTTTTGCGCTGTAGTAGTAGATTACCATATTTGGAATCAGGAAAAAGCCCAGATACCTGGATTTTTCCAAAAATAGCGTTTTATCACAACAAAAACTGAAAAAGATCGTCTTTCACTTTTTTTCGTTCTAGAAGCTTGTTTTAAACATTTTGATTTTTTTCGAATTCCGAAGTTCTACCTTTTGATTTCACCTCCCAACGCAATTCGAAGCAAGAAAAAATTAATTTATTCATAAGAAGCACAAAAATTATGGAAATCAGACCCATATAAATTGATAAGTAGTGGTGAGATATTAAAGCTTCAATGATAAAAATAAAAAAATAGTCAAAAATAGTACAAACATAGGGGATTACGAGGCAAAAGTCCAAATCTTGGCTCTGGCCAGATAATAATTGTCGTCGCTGCCAAGCAAAAGATTGCCTTTTCCGTCGTCGACTGCGATGCTAACTGAGGAGACTTTTCCGGTCGGATCATGGAAAGATTCGGTGACCGTTCCGGTTTCCGTATCGACCTGAAAAATGTGTTCTTTGAGGTCAAAATCCACTCGAACTTTGAGCTTAAACTTTCTCATTTTTTTAATCTGAAAAAGTAACTTAAATTTTTTTGGGATTATTCCAGAATTCCCCCCGTTGGTCTAAGAAATAAAAAAAGAAAAAGGTCTTGATTTTCACCCCCCTTCACCAGTCCAAATTTGCCTTGGGGGGCTTGTTCAGACGTGGGGGGCTGTAACCTGGGGGTATATTTTAGTAACTTAAATTTTTTTGGGATTATTCCAGAATCCCCCCTGGTGTAGGAAATCTAAAGAAACGAAAGATCTTGATTTCCCCTTCACCAGTCCAAAATCGCCTTGGGGGGGCTTGTTCGGACGTGGAGGGCTGTAATCTAGGGGGAGGGATTCTGAATTGTTTCTATTATTTCAATCTAAATTCACTGGATTCCCCTTCAACCTTAAAAATCACACGAAAACATTCTACAGCCTCATTTTTTGACGGAAATTGACCTGATATCGCTTAATTTCAGCCTCATAAAAAATCCCGAGCTGCCTTATTTTCATCAAAAAATCAGAATGACTTTCATTATTGCATTCAAAAATAAAGAAATATTTTACCTTTAATACGAATCCATTCGTGTTCGTAAAGTAGGAGAAAACTATCTGAAGAGACTGCGGCGAGAGTATCTGGAAAAAATCTTTATTTTCGATTTTCATGACCCTTTAATATACATTTATTACTTAAAATCTCAAATGGGTGTTATTTCTATGAAAAGGTCTACAAAAATCGTCTTCATCACGAAAAATGAATGTCGAATAGAAAAGAAAAGCTTTCAAAAAAGAATTGCATCGGCCGGGAATCGAACCCGGGCCGCCCGCGTGGCAGGCGAGCATTCTACCACTGAACCACCGATGCTGACGCGGTCAGCGGCCGCCGACGGGGACTCATTACTGCGTAATAAGTTGGAACAAGCCTAACCTTTGTGATGAACTCTCGAACTTGCGGATTTTTCTCCATAGACGAGTCATCAGAGGTCCTATGTGAAGGCAGAGGAACCAGTAATTTTCCTGAATTTTTCTCGATTTATAATTTTTCCAAGGAACCAACCATCATTAGCCAATCGAATATTGTCAGGATATCCAGGCAATTTATCGATTAGGACTTTGGTTCTTATCTTTTTCTTGGAATAATGATCTACTGGAGCCCTAAAAATTTATTTTTTATATTCAAAATAGGATGGAAAAACCATAGAGCGACAATTCGAGTCATGCCCATTTCACTGAAAAACACGCGAACATCGTCGGTTTTCGCTGCACCCGACTCCGGAACGACTTGAACTCCATTTGGGAAGTAGAGACCGTCTTTTAGGATTCTAAGGTCTTTTTTCCTGGGATCGTAGACGAGAAGTCTGGAATTATAGCGAATCAGAACTTTTTTTCGATAGGAACAGTGATTCATAATAGGAAGATTGCTGTTATTTTTGACCTCTTTGATAAAAATTTACTTCATTTTTGGTGCTCAACTGATACAATTGAACATTTGGAGCTCTAGAACCTGAAATTATCAATGGAGCGCACTTGGCAAGGAAAATAGGGCTTCGGGTTTTCCTTGTCATAGCAAATTGGCTTTTTTGAGGAATTGAGTTTTCAAAAAAGCCCTGAGACCTCCATTTTTGAATTTCGGAGTGTTCAAGGCTCGAAAATGAGCTCCAGAAAAAAAAAACTTGATCCATTTTTTTTTCAATACAAACCTTCCATTAGGACGATGCTCAAACATGTCGTAGAGGAAATCGTGATCGTCGAATTTCGTTGAAGACTCGGAAAGTACGATCCGACCGTCGGGAAGGAAGTCAAAGTCGTTTAGATACCTAGAAAAGTTTAAAAATAATTAGATGAAAAAGTGATAAACCTTATTGGAGCGGCCGTAGGATCGTCAGAGATCAGCTCACCGGCTCCGAGTATTTTTACAATATTTTCTGGAATCGAAATAATGATTATTTCATTTTTAATAGCCCCTTTTATCATTGTGAAGTTTGAAAAATCAAGCTTCTCCGTTGTAAATTTTGGAGAAAAGTTTTTTGTTCTTTTTTTCAAGCCTAATTAAGATCTAATTAACTGACCTCCATCCCAATTGATAGCAAAAAGTCCCAAGTAGGCATCCACGACGAGCAGCTCGTTAAACTCGTTGAATCTGAAAGACATCCATACGCATTGGTTGGCTAACGACGCCGTCAGCATCGGTGGTTCAGTGGTAGAATGCTCGCCTGCCACGCGGGCGGCCCGGGTTCGATTCCCGGCCGATGCAATTATTTTTTGCTATTTTTTAAATTGCACTTTCGATGTAACTATGAGGCAGATTTTGTAAGAAAAGGACTTTCTAAGATTCTCCAGAAACTAATGAAGTTCAATAGATGATCAAATCGTAAAACTTGGCAATTGATAAGAAACGAGAGGGAGAGCAAACCTCAAGCCCAATGGACGACCACATTTCGCCATCGAAGCGTAGGAACCGTCGCAATCTTTCATGCTCGTCAGTCGGACCGCTTTCGTGATCTTTGGCTGGGAATTTATTTGATAAGTGGAGAAAAGTCTTATATTTTCTTGGATTTGAATAAAAATGGAAGCTTCATCCTTTAGGCAATTTGATCCTCTTGAAATGGGATTTTATAATTTTAACAGTCTTCTGGGAAAATTTTTAGTGGCCACTGTAGAGGCTAAGGACTACTTGAAGAGGACACTGAAGTGGCCACTAAACCCACCTCTATAGTGGCCACTATTTACCGTTTTAGTGGCTACTTCAGTAGTTTTTCATCCAGTATTCCTTTCTGTAACTCTGATAATTTAAAAAAAAATAGATTGGACCAGTTATGTTGATCCATTAACCCCTAAAGTGGCCACTTAAATTTTAGTAGTAGCACTTAGACCTCTATAGTGGTCCCTAATTTTTACCCCTCTAAGTGGCCAAAATTTTGATTACTATAGGGGCCACTAAAATGTCAAAACCCTATGGTGGCCACTAATTTTCAACCCATCAAGTGGCCACTAATTTGACTACTTTAGTGGCCACAAAAACTTCAAAACCCTATAGTGGCTACTAAAAATTTTCTCAGTTTCCTAGAAAGTTAGTCCTACAGAAAATAATCCTTTGAAAACTACAAAAACGCTTGCAAATTTTAAAGGAGCATGGCATTTTTTCTTATAAGGTCTTAAGGCGATTCGGAGTCATAACGGACCATATCTATGACTTTTTCTTGAAAGCTCACCTTGGTCAAGTACAAGTCGATCTCACAAATGAGGCCAGTTTTCAGTCCGGTGTAGATCAATCCGGTCTCTTTGTGAATCGTCAAAGATTCGGGTCCATATATTTGATTTTCCAGTAGGATTTCCGCTTCTGACAGCCGTTTGTTCTCTGCCAAGACGCCTTCCAAGGGGCAAGGGTGTTCCTAGGCTGGAAAAAAAGGTGATTTGAAGGAAAATAGCCCAATTTTTAAATCTCAATATCAAAAATGGTCTGAAAAACGCTGAAAAGTGCACGTTTTCATCGGTTTTTCACATGTTTCACCGATTATGAAAAAATTGATTTTTGAAAATTTCAGCTTCTATTGGCTATTTTTTGAATATAGCTTGATTAGGCTCAGAAAATTGCCACCTAAAATGTAATAAAAAAACAAGATTTTGAAAGCTTTTTTTCGTTTTTGTGTAGATCATATTCAATTATTTGGCTTGAATCAGCCTTTTTTTAACACTTTCTGCTCGATTTTATCATTAGAGCGCACAAGGTCTGAGATAAATTGCCTCAGATTCAAGAAAGGTCAAAAAAATTAACAAAGATTATAGGGTTAGAAAAGCTATGGGGGAGGTATTTTGAAATAAAAAAATGATTAAGCCTACAAAAGTGACCACCTGAAATGCTCAGAACAAGATTTTGAAGGCTCTTTTGTTTTTTATTTATTTATTTGGCTTGAATCAAGCCTTTTTAACAATTTCTGCCCAATTTTATCATCAGAGCGCACAAGGTCTGAATATTTTGCTCCAAATTTAACACTGCCTCTGTAATTTTCAAAATCAATATCCACAAAAAAAATTCATTTTTAATTCTGATGAAACTTCATCCATTGTGATAAAAAAAAATTTTAAGCCATTCCCTCTCGCCGGGTTACGGTAAGCCACCTGCGCATCTAAGTATTGAAGAGTTTTTACTAGGCAAGTGATATATCAATCGATAGGTAAAGCAATTTTAGAAATTTTTCTCAGTACATACCATAAGGGGTCACTGTAGAAATTTTTGAGATACGGTACTTTTTGTGTTTGGGCACCCTGCTCACGTGATTTTTTGATTAATTTTCCCATTCAAACTCACTCATATTCGACGGCCTGGAATTTAGCTGGTACCACGTAGTAGATAACGGACGAGGACATGAATAAAGCGCCCAAAAAGGCAGCCACGAAAAGCCAAAAGTTCCCTGAGTCGGCTGGTTTTGTCTGAACTTTTCGACTTATAACGGGGATTTTTCATGTATCAAAATGAATACATTGAGTTTTTTCAGTGATTTTTAGATAAATACTGGCTTTTATGGATGATTTTTGCCTCAAGATTTGGTATAAAGTAGAATTTTCTGTTATTTTTATGAAAAGCAACTTTTTTTCCTCAAAATTTCACTTTAATTGTACAAAATAGATCGCTCCGTACAACATATTTTCAACATAGGACCACAGATTTTAATCAAAAATCAAAAAAAAACCTCAGTTTTGACCTTCTCCTTGATCTTTTTCAAGTCGCCCCTGCCGCGCTCTTTTGGTAGCGATTTTTTAGCCATTCTTACCTGTAAAATTGAGTTCAAATAGGTGGGAATCAGTGAAAAAATGACAAAAAAATCGCGATTTTTCGACTTTTTAAGCAGATCTGACTTGGAAAATTGATGAAAAATGACAAAAAAAAACGCAATTTTTTGACTTTTTAAGTGAATTTGACTTGTGAAAGTGATGAAAATTTGACGAAAAAAACGCGATTTTTTTCGACTTTTTAGATGGATTTGACTATGTGAAAATTGATGAAAAAAATGACGAAAAAAACGCGATTTTTTTCGACTTTTTTTAGATGGATTTGATATGTGAAATTGAGGAAAAATTGACGAAAAAAACGCGATTCAAACGAACTTTTCGAGAAAAAAACGATATTAACTGAAAAAAATTGAACAAAAAAATTATTATATTGGAATTTGAACACTAAAAAGGTTTAAAAAAAGCCTTGAAAGGGGGTTTTTTGAGGGTTTGTAGAAAGAAAAATTAGGAATTTTGCGAAAAACGATACAATTTTTAGCTGAAAAATTGTGGAAAACGAAAATTTATACCCGAAATTTTGGAAAGAACGAGAAAAAGATCGAAAAATCACGATTACAAGTCGAAAACAGACTGAAAATTCACGAAAGGTCGATGAAAAATGCCTTTTTTGAAGATTCCCTATATGGAAAATCAGAAAAAGATCCCTTGGACAAGAAAAACCCCCAAAACTGCCAAAGATTGAAGAACAAAGAGGTCAAAACCTTGGGTAGACCAAAAGAAGAAGAAAAAGACGTGAAAGGGGGGAACGGCGCTTTTTTTTTTTGGCTGGTTGTTTGCCCCGGCAGGTCAGCAAATGGACGGTCTCAAATATTTCCGCTTCAAGACCCGCCTTGTATGTTTTGTGGCTGGTACCCATGTTCAGGTCACGTTTTATCAGTTTCACGTCAAAAAATTGTACACAAATGCTTGAAAATTGACGATTTTCTAGAGAAAATGATTAGATTGACACGGTTTTTTTCATTTTTTACCTTACTCCTTTACCTACCAGGTTCAGGTAACGTCTTGACAAGGTTTTATCAGAAAATTGTGGACAAATGCTTGAAAAGTGATGGTTTCCTAGAGAAAATGACTTGATTTTCTCGATATTTTCGCTATTATTTTTCGTTTTTTTTCATTTTTACGTTACTCTGAGTCAAATGATATTTAATTCAAAGGGGTTTTTAAAGCGAAAAAAATCATTTTTTTGATGTGAGGAAAAAAACGAAAAAAATGACATATATTTCAAGAATTATCAAGAAAAATAGAGCTTCTAAAGACAAACTGACCAAGAAAAATCGAAATTTAAGTGACTTTGATTTTTAGTTTTTTTGGTAATTTTGCGAATTTTTACGTTAATCCTAGTATAATAATAGTTAATTCAAAAGAATTTTGAAGCGACAAATATTTTTTTGATATGAGAAAAAGGACGAAAAAAATGACATATATTTCAAGAATTATCAAGAAAAATAGTGCTTTTAAAGATAAACTAACCAAGAAATTTGAAATTTGAGTGACTTTTAAGAATGACATGAGTAAATAAAAAAAGGAAACACTTTCCCAAGAAAAAAATATTTTCCCAGAGAATATTAGGAAAAATAAACCTTGCAAGGTGAAAAACACGAGTCTAAAAACACATTTTGAGCAATTTTTCTTCAAATAATTATCATTATTTATATTTAAAAAAACCTTTCAAGAATAAAGAAAGTTAATGAAAAATGACAAAAATCCGCTTCGAAAATCGAGGAAATTCATGAAAATGACAAAAATTACCTTTAAACATTGAGAAAATTATTGAAAATGACAAAAATTCCCTTCAAACATTGAGAAAATTCATTGAAATAACAAAAATTCATTTCAAAAATTGAGAAAATCTACGAAAATGACAAAAATTCCAACCGAAAAGATCAATATTTTGTATGGACCCCCGTGACGGAAAAATATGCTAATTTTCTGGTTTGCAAGGGAAAATTTGCGAACTTTCGAGAATTTCATCGTATATACGACAGTTACAAGGGGAAATAGTACGAAGGAATTTTGGAAAAAGACAAAATTTGTTTCAAAAAAGTATTAGTTCAAAAAAATATATTGAAAAACACTTTTAAGTGGGAAAAATGAAATAAAATAGCTTTGTTTTCAAATATTTGAAATCAAAAAAAAGCCAACCCAGCACAAAAAAGACCAAAAGGAAGAGGGTAGAGGGAAAAGAAACGAAAAAAAAAAGGTGGACGAAGGGTCGTCTCCGCCATATCAAGTGCAAATATTGCCGCGGTCCCTTTTCCAATCTTCCAACCGCTTGAAATTTGTTGCCTTTTTTTATTGATCAATTTGAATGGTAATTTTAGAGTTAAAA